AAAAGTTTGGCCCTTTTACTACAGACCCAGCCACCTCTGGATGTAAAGATACTTTTCTCATTGGAAAGCCTTTAAGACTGCCCCACTTTAGCTAATACATGCTGCCCTACTTTAGCCAGCTGTGGTTAGTAAAACATTTCTGAATTACAATTTGTAAACATAATATTGGCAACTTTTTTAAATGTATTTTCATGCACCAGTACATAGTAGGCACATTTACAATTTGGCACAGTGCATTATGTATGAGTTTTTACAATCTTACATTTTACATTTTAGTCATTTAGCAGACACTCTTATCCAGAGCGACTTACAGTTAGTGAGTGCATACAGTTTTTTTTTTCGTTTTTTTTTTCATACTTTAACATCAACACTGAAGAAAAAAAAAGCTATGTCGTAACAATAGCTTAGATTGTCTCTTGTCAGACCAATAAATACATGCCTCAGTTTATATGATGTCCACTCTGATCTGAATTCACCCTATAAGGTATGAAATATATATATATATATATATATATATATATATATATATATATATATATATATATATATATTTACAAGTATGGACTGATACCGACCCGTTGTTGTCGGAGGTAGGCTACACTCCGCCTAAATTAATCGCCTCGCAACTCAACTCCTTTGAGTATCGTGGAGTTGTATAATTCTTTGCTAGGGAGCAATAACCTGTGGAAATGCTGAATAAATAAAGTCGCGGAAAGATTATATATCGATGACTGTTTCACTCGGGGAGTTGCTGAGGGGCACTATGGTACGGACTTGTTAGCGTGTAACACCCGGTGTTTGAGTTGCGGTATGGAGTTTCGTTGACTCTGTCCAGTCAGTAAATCTTCTATCGTTGGTATCATTCTCTTTTGTTACACAGTGAAATAAATCGGGATCACAAACCCGAACATCATGGCAGAAAATATTGTAAGTATGACAACACGTTGTAGTTAAAGGTAAAATATTTTGGATTGATAGCCATCTAGCTAACGTTACCGAAGTCTGACCGGCGGAGTGATGAGGCAGCAGAATTAGCCATTTGCTAGCTAACATAGTTAGCATCTCACTAGAATGACAGGGCCTAGATAACCGCTAACTTCCTCTGTTAGCAAGCTTACCTAGCTAGTTAATCAGACATTTGTATTTCAAATCAGCCCACATGTAACGTTACGGTGGTTCAGTTTACGTTGAACTATCATAGCTATTTATTAGAAAAGTAGCTAAATCGTGTGTTAGCTAGGTAGCTAACTATCTCTGTAACTATTGGTTTTGAAAAATGCGTGGACGTTCACTTCGACAAAGGCACGTTGCTGTTGACGTTGTTAGCTAGCTTCCTAAAGCAGCTAACGTAGGTAGCTAAGTTAACATGTTTTATCAACATTGTCCCGGCCCCCAGTTGTTTTTTGCAAGAAATAAGTGATAGCTAGCTACAGTAGCTAACTTTATTAAAAGTTAAATGATCTAGTCAGTGTTCATAGCGACCTTGTCTTCAACTTGTGGCAAAAAATAGTTTTAGCTAGCTAATTACTTAGCCACAAGAGTTGGCTTGCTAGCTAAATAATTAACGTTAGCTAGCTAGTTATACTGTATTAGGGTTGTTGTTTTCTCTGCTCATTCGAGACAAAACAATCCAGCTAGCTAACGTACCAAGCTACAGTAATTATTTAAAAACCAGCCACCGGTAATTTAGCCAGTCCATGACAGAAGCTGCTCATATCATGTCCTTTACAATTCCTAGCTAGCTAACTAGCTAGATTCGATAACTAGTCCTAGCTAACTAAACTAGGTAATTCACCATCGCAACCAAATTATTGCTTGTTAATTATTATATTTTATGTCACTACATCAATGAACGATGGGTGCCAACGACCCTCCACCATCACCCACATTTCTGCACTGTCATGGCCCTGGCACTGCCAGCTCTAGCAGAACAATCTAGCAGGCTAGCTAGTTACAGCAGTGTCATGTTTTCAGTGGGTTGCAGCAAATGTCAGCGAGCCAGTTTGGGGTGTTCATCAAATTAGCTGAGTCAAATCACATTTTATTTGACACATGCTTTGTAAACAACAGATGTAGACTGACAGTGAAATGCTTACTTACGGGTCGTTTCCCAACAATACAGAGTTAAAGGTAAAAACAACATATAAATAGTGACACAAATACAAAGTGAATAACAATGAGTAAAAATAACATGGCTAAATACAAGGAGTACCAGTACTGAGTCGATGTACAGGGGTACAAGGTAATGTGTACATAGGTAGCTATGTGTCTAGGCAACCTGATAGATAGACAGTAGCAGCAACGTATGTTAAAGTGTGCGTATGGCATCAGTATGCATGTGTGCTCGTGATGTGTGTGTGGGCATATGTGTGTGTGTTGGGGTGTCAGTGTAATAAGTATGTGTGGGTAGAGTCCTGTGTGTGTGCATATAATTAGTGCAAAAAAGGGTCAATGCAGTAGTCCGGGGTAGCCATTTGATGAGCTGTTTAGTATTCTTATGGCTTGGGGGTAGCCGCTGTTGAGGGTCCTGTTGGTTCCAGACTTGGTGTGCTGGTACAGCTTGCCATGCAGTAGCAGAGAGAACAGTTTATGGCTTGGGTGGCTGGAGTCATTTACCTTTTTTTTTTTTTTGAGCTTTCCTCTGACAGCCTGGTATAGAGGTCCGTACTCACCACCCTCTGTAGTGCCTTGCAGTCGGGTGGCTTGCAGTTGCCGTACCAAGTGGGGATGCAGCCAGTCAAGATACTCTCGATGGTGCAGCTGTAGAACTTTGAGAATTTGCCAAATCTTTTCATTGGTGATGAGTCATGATCAATATGATTTTCCAATGTATTTGGTTTGGCAAAGCAATATACATTTAGGAGATAATGGAAATGACCGATTATGATGTGGTGAAATGTAATGTTTTTCCTAATTTACAGATCATCCGGGTTCAGTCCCCGAACGGGATGAAGAAGATCCCCGCCACCAAGAAAGAGACAGCAGCCGCTTTCCTCAATAAGGTATGGAAACATGACATGAAGACAAACATGGGCTCTGAGTGATATTGTAGGCTGTATGGTTGGGCTGTATACAAAAACCAACTACTCCCCACAAACACATGGAAAACTTGTGGGTCTTTCTGTCATTCTGTAGTCATATTCATAGTACATTCTGTCCAACTGTGCTATTGGCCAGGTAGCGTCAGAAGATGGTCATCTTTCTCTCTCTTTCTCCCTTTGCCTAGCCTGTGCTCAACCTCAGTGTTAATTTATTTATGAGGCAGGCAGCTCTGCAGTAAAGGGGGGGGGGGGGGTATTTCTGCAGTGTTCCCCATTGCCTGTGCACTGGGCAGCTAATGGGAGTGGCCATCCACTGTGGAAGGATCCGATGCATGGCCCAGCAGAGACCTGTGGGTGTTATGTGGAGAGGTAGAGCTGTGTGTTAGAGGGAGAGGTAGAGCTGTGTGTTATTGCAATGCCTTTGAACAGTGGTTTATAAATAGCTGTATCACAGCAGCTTGCTTGCTTGCCTGCCAGTCTTGGACCTCGGCGACTGTGAGACAGTATTGGGTAGGAAATCAATGAAATACCTTAAAGGGGCAGTCAGTAGTTCGGACAACAACTAAGTGCCCACCCCACCACTGTTTTGGTAAAGAGCTGAGGGATGGGGTTTGAGAAATGTAACCACTTTCAAATTCATAGACGGCTATGGATACAAAGAATATCCATCCATGACATCAACATTATAGTTAACCATGTTTTGAAGCTAAATAGTGTTTGTTTACAATTACATAGTTTACAAACAATGGAGTAAAACAAGCTTATATTTTGTGTTCTGATGGAGTAAGACAGTTGAACTAAGCTCATGAAGCATTTATAAGTTATATTATTCAAGAATCAATGGGTACATTTAATTTAAGTCAAAAAATGGATGTAGCAATTACAGATTGCCCATCAAAGTCAATTCCAATATCAGTGTCTGAAAAATAAGTGACCGGCTGTTTGGTTAGAGTGGAGAAGGGTTGCCTCTTAAAAATTCATGTCTTTTAGTTAAAACAGAAATGTGTTGCAGATCAATGGAGAGAGTAGTCTATTGTGTATTCCCTGCCTCTGATGTGCAGTCAGTCAGTCAGTCAGTCAGTGAGAGGGAGAGATGGAGAGTTGCATGAAGAGCCCAGAGAGAGGCACTGTGTCTGATCCAACAGGGAGGGAGGAATTTGCCCAGATGCATTCATACGTTATACTCCTTTGCATGGCGTTGTTATATTTATGCTGATATAGGCTAGGCCGCTACTGTTGTCTTGCCCATAAGAATGAATGAAATGCATTTTTGTGACCTGTTCATCTCCCTAGATAACTTTGGGTAGAATGTCAAGTATGGCTGACACAGGATTTTTACCTTGAGCAGTCTACTGATAGAGGATCTTCACACTAACTAGACTTTTCGCAAAAATACCGTCGCAGGGCTTTACAGTGCTATCACTTTGGCCACATATGCTCCTAAATATTTTACTGTGCTAACTGGAATTTTTATTTGGGAGCACCAGTGCCCCTAGGGGGAAAACTTTTCTAATTGCTAGCGATTCTTATTATTAATACCTCAAATATTTTTCATTGTGCTCCTACATTTTTCAACAAAGTGAGCACATGTGCGCCTTGTAAAAAATGTCAGCGTAAAGCCCCGGCTATATTTTACTGCAAACTTGTCACGGCGGTAGCGCACGACACTCGCCTGACAGTTGCCCCCTTATGTGTTGTATTGGAACTGTTTTATTGTAGCGCATGGTGCAAGTATAGGCATGACGTCATAAAAGGTGATTGGGCAAGTCAGTCCGCGTGCATCCGTCATCATAAGTCCAGTGAAGACAGTCTCCTGTGTTATGTTTAAGTGATAATGCCTGAGAATCCGGTGTTTGGAGGATATATTGGCATGGGTGTTGTTCGTCGAGGGCCGGCAAACCATGCCAATATATCCTCCAAACATCGGCTTTGAGGGCATTATCACTTTTATACCCAGTCGTTCGTTGGAAATTTTCAATTGCCATACAGGCTGGCAACGTGCCAATCCCTTGCTTGCTAGCTAGACATCTACGGCTAACTTGTAGTGAAGTCAAACAGTGCAGCCAGAATAACAACAAAGTAGCTGCATTTGCATTTGTTTAAGCTGTTTTCTAGTGACATTTATTTGGAAACATCCATAACAATGAGCTAATGATGCGCGATTTCACCTGGCATAGAAAATGTTCTCTCTCGTCAGCACACTGTTGTTCAGAGGAGCTAGCTAACAACACAGCTAACACAATCACTTCAAACTGAAGCTGGAAAGACTGCAAACTAGAAGCACTTTGTTTTGTTTTAACTGTTTGCTATTTACATTTCTTTGTATACAGTGGGGGGAAAAAAGTATTTAGTCAGCCACCAATTGTGCGAGTTCTCCGACTTAAAAAGATGAGAGGCCTGTAATTTTGATCATAGGTACACGTCAACTATGACAGACAAATTGAGAAGAAAAAAATCCAGAAAATCACATTGTAGGATTTTTAATGAATTTATTTGCAAATTCTGGTGGAAAATAAATATTTGGTCACCTACAAACAAGCAAGATTTCTGGCTCTCACAGACCTGTAACTTCTTCTTTAAGAGGCTCCTCTGTCCTCCACTCGTTACCTGTATTAATGGCACCTGTTTGAACTTATCAGTATAAAAGACACCTGTCCACAACCTCAAACAGTCACACTCCAAACTCCACTATGGCCAAGACCAAAGAGCTGTCAAAGGACACCAGAAACAAAATTGTAGACCTGCACCAGGCTGGGAAGACTGAATCTGCAATAGGTAAGCAGCTTGGTTTGAAGAAATCAACTGTGGGAGCAATTATTAGGAAATGGAAGACATACAAGACCACTGATAATCTCCCTCGATCTGGGGCTCCACGCAAGATCTCACCCCGTGGGGTCAAAATGATCACAAGAACGGTGAGCAAAAATCCCGGAACCACACGGGGGGACCTAGTGAATGACCTGCAGAGAGCTGGGACCAAAGTAACAAAGCCTACCATCAGTAACACACTACGCCGCCAGGGACTCAAATCCTGCAGTGCCAGACGTGTCCCCCTGCTTAAGCCAGTACATGTCCAGGCCCGTCTGAAGTTTGCTAGAGTGCATTTGGATGATCCAGAAGAGGATTGGGAGAATGTCATATGGTCAGATGAAACCAAAATAGAACCTTTTGGTAAAAACTCACCTCGTCGTGTTTGGAGGACATAGAATGCTGAGTTGCATCCAAAGAACACCATACCTACTGTGAAGCATGGGGGTGGAAACATCATGCTTTGGGGCTGTTTTTCTGCAAAGGGACCAGGACGACTGATCCGTGTAAAGGAAAGAATGAATGGGGCCATGTATCGTGAGATTTTGAGTGAAAACCTCCTTCCATCAGCAAGGGCATTGAAGATGAAACGTGGCTGGGTCTTTCAGCATGACAATGATCCCAAACACACCGCCCGGGCTTCGTAAGAAGCATTTCAAGGTCCTGGAGTGGCCTAGCCAGTCTCCAGATCTCAACTCCATAGAAAATCTTTGGAGTAGGGCTGAACGATTAATTGCATTCGCGATAATATCGCGATTTGACTGAACGCGATTTTCTAATCGCAACGTGCGCGATTTGAGGTGGTCACGTGACGCGACTTTTCATGCTGTCCAGCGCAATGGCCTCTTGCTCGACGGAACAGTCAGAAACTGACACAGCTGATACTTTAATATCGAAGAGGAACAGCACGTCGGTGGTGTGGAACTATTTTGGTTTTAAAAAAGAAGATGCTGAGCAGCGTCAGGTGTTGTGCAGAGCATGCCGTGCTCCGATTGCTACTTCACGGGGTAACACTACAAACCTGTTTCAGCACTTAAAAAAATACCACGAATCAATGCATGACAGTTGTATGACCAAAATGCCGAGCATCAGTGCGCGAGACAAGCCAAATACCTCAAGACAGGGATCACTGACAGAAATGTTCGAAAGTGTCACTCCGTATGAACGTAATTCAAAACGGCACGGAGAAATCACTCGGACAATAACCGAGTTCATAGCCAAAGATATGATGCCTCTCAGTCGCAGAGGCAGAGATAAACAATTACCTGATGACTCCTACCATTGATGGAGAAGATGATCCATTGGCTTGGTGGAGGGTGCACAAGATCAGCTACCCACAGTTGTGCACCATGGCACGCAAGTATCTTTGTGTACCTGCTACAAGCGCTCCCTCAGAGCGTCTTTTTAGCACAGGAGGGAATATTGTGACTTGCACTCGCTCATCCTTGAAGCCAGAAAAAGTCAATATTCTGGTTTTCTTAGCAAAAAACCTGTGAGCCACTGAGAACAGAACTGTTGGATAAGTATGGCTGGCAGTGCCATACTCGTAGTGAACTTTAGTCTGTGTGGTGTGTTATTGTTGTGTACTTGAGATAAGTGAGGCTCATCTATTTTATATTATAATATTCAAATCGTTTATAAAAAATAGTTTGTCTAAATTAAAAGTGCATTTCTCATTTTTTATTTATAACTTTATTTACTTTGATTTTACAAAATATTTTCAAAGCAAATTCCTTGTTTCAGTTGTGTGAAATGTTACTGACTTGGGAGCAGTAAGATACATACAATTTAAAATTATTTTTTTCTTAAGACTGTACCTTTTGCACACAGTGTTTACAAAGTTCATGCCTTTGTTTAAATTATTTAAATGCACAGTGGCAAAGCCACAGATGTTTCTGTAATGAGCAGTTCAATAAAAATGTCATTTATTTCAAGTCATACATGTTTGAATTTAATTCTAACAAATAGACCCAGCCTATGGGAAAGAACATTTCACACTAAATGTATATACTATTGTGTTGGTCATATTTATATCATTCATTATGTTTTGTAGGGGAAAAAGGATAAATAAATTAAATTGCATATTAAATCGCAATCGCAATATTGGGGGCAAAAAATCGCAATTAGATTATTTTCCAAAATCGTTCAGCCTTAAGCGACAGCCCCAAAACATCACTGATCTAGAGGAGATCTGCATGGAGGAATGGGCCAAAATACCAGCAACAGTGTGTGAAAACCTTGTGAAGACTTACAGAAAATGTTTGACCTGTGTCATTGCCAACAAAGGGTATATAACAAAGTATTGAGAAACATTTGTTATTGACCAAATACTTATTTTCCACCATAATTTGCAAATAAATTCATTAAAAATCCTACAATGTGATTTTCTGGAAAGAAAAATTCTCATTTTGTCTGTCATATTTGATGTGTACCTATGATGAAAATTACAGGCCTCTCTCATCTTTTTAAGTGGGAGAACTTGCACAGTTGGTGGCTGACTAAATACTTCCCCCCCCCCCCCCCCACTGTATATCCATAAAAATTATGCTGATTCATGATTTCGACTGGCTGAGAAAAGCTGCCTGTCTGCCTCATCCTGACTCCCAACCCCTACACATTCATTACTATAGGACAGCGGGAGATATAATTTCAATACTGAAACAGTGGTGCAAATGTCAGACAGACAGCAAAGTTTATACAAATCTCCGCTATTGAAAACCAATTTTTAGTCTAAAAGAAATGGGAGACAATGTCTAGATTATGTTTTACAGTGGAGATCAAGTTTATAAATTGTCTGGCTGGGCTGATGAGACAGTGGATTGCTTAGTGAGATGGAACAGAGTAAATAGGCATTTCAACGTCATAGCTTTAGCCGGTGGTAACTTGTGGAATGGACACCGGCTGGAATGCGGTTTTAACCGATCAGCGTCCAGGATTAGACTCACCCGTTGTATAACACTTATTGATTCCTTAAAGTCAACCAAAGTGATATTCGCCTCCAGATTCTTCATATATAGCATAACACTACATGGTGTCAGAAGATCATTAATGATGGCTATGTTTCCACCTCCAGAAGACTTCGACTTCGGTCACCCAGAACGCTGGCCAGAATGGCGCCAAACAATTTCATCGTTACAGGATAGCAACTAACCTAAACAAAGAGGATGGAGAGGTACAAGTTTGTACTCTGCTCTATTCGCTGGGTTAAGAAGCTGAACAAGTTTTCAGGACATTCATGTTTTCTATGGAGGAGGATTAGAACTATTATGAGATTGTTTCTGGGTAAGCTGGACAATTATTTTGTGCCCAAAAAGAACACTGTTCATAAAAGAGCCCGCTTTCATCAGCGCGCCCAAAAGCCTGCGGAATCCGCTGAGGAATACATCAAAGCCTACACGAGCTAGCTGATAAATGCTCTGTCGACATTGCCAAGAACCAAGAATATATCCGTGACAGGTTGGTCATAGGGATATTAGATAAGGAGTTGTCAGAGAAGCTTCAACTAACGCCTGACTTGACGCTTGACAAAGCGGTAGAGCTTGTGAGGCAATCAGAGCAAGTAAAGGGGCATATTAGCGAACAAGGGGCTAATGCTAACGGTGCACAGCTCAGTGAAATAGCATACAAATGCATGGTGCAGAAACAGGCATGTACAGAACAAAGGGGCCAAAGCAAAAGGACACCATGTGAACATGACAGGATGCAAACGCTTCAGATGTGATAAGGCACATACTGATGTGCTACTAAGAATGCAGAATGCCACAACTGTAGGAAGATGGGGCATTTCGCGGTCGTTTGTCGCTCGCGTGTGGTCAACAAGGTTACTGCACCCAACGAGGGAGGAGAAGCGGATGAGTTCCATATCCTGGGAGTCACAGATGTTGATGACTCAAACAATGCACGGACAGTGAAACTGCCAATAAAAGTTACTGTATTAGACTTTTTAAGATTGATACAGGGGCAGATACAAGTGTCGTATCAGAAAATACTTATAGCACACTGAAAAACATGCCACCACTGAATAGCACAGTAACTAAACTAGACTGCAAAGGGGGTAAAAACTCATTCTGATTGGCTGGGCCTGGCTCCCCAGTAAATCAGAATTATTTTTTCCCCCCCCCACAAAAGTTATTTAATTCAGACAGAAATACTCCTCAGCACCCACCACCCTCGAATGTGGAGGTCTTGGGCAAGCGTGGTTACACGTGGTCTGCGGTTGTGAGGGCGGTTGGATGTACTGCCAAATTCTCTAAAATGACGTTCGAGGCGGCTTATGGTAGAGAACATTCAATTCTCTGGCAACATCTCTAGTGGACATTCCTGCAGTCAGCATGCCAATTGCACGCTACCTCAACTTGAGACATCTGTGGCATTGTGCTGTGTGACACAACTGCACATTTTAGTGGCCTTTTATTGTCTCCAGCACAAGGTACACCTGTGTAATGATCATGCTGGTTAATCAGCTTCTTGATATGCCACACCTGTCAGGTGGATGGATTATCTTGGCAAAGGAGAAATGCTCACTAACAGGGATGTAAACAAATTTCTGCACATTTCAGAGAAGCTTTTTGTGCATATGGAACATTTCAGGGATATTTTATTTCAGCTCATGAAACGCTGTTTAGGTTCAAAGTGTATGTGATAAAGGGGTCGCGTGGAAGCCATCTGCTAGGCCGTAATGTCGCTGTTGTAATGGGCTTGGTGAAGAGATCAAAAACACAAAGTAGCTTGAGTGCTCATCCTGCAGATGTGGACAAGCTGAAGACTAAACCAACCAAAATAATTCAGAAATATGATGCGGTGCCCTACAGTGTAAACACAGCCAGTCGTGTGTCAGTGCCCATGCTCCCCAAAGCGAAATAGGAGCTTGACCGCATGGAAGTGAGTGGTGTGATCACGGAGATCAGGGAGCCTACAGAGTGAGGTGATCTAATGATCCTGGGACCCAAGAAAAACAAAGACTAGCTGAGGGTATGTGCTGACCTGATATGGTTAAACAAATCTGTGAAAAGGGAGAAATAAATTCTACCCACCATGGACGATAGCCTGCCAAAACTTGCTGGTGCAGAGGTGTTTTCTCTTTCAGATGCAGCAAGTGGCTTCTGGCTGATTCCACTAGACAGAGTGCCAAGCTTACCACATTCATAACGCCTTTTGGAAGGTTTTTTTTAACAGCCTTCCATTTGGAATCACTAGTGCTCCAGAAATCTTCCAGCGCGAGATGGACAGAGCTCCTGATGGACGAAGAAGGCGTGGCCATTTACATGGATAATATACTTATTTACTCGGACACGCCAGAGGATCATGTGGTGAGACTCCAGAAAACCCTATACGCACTGGAGAAAGCTCAACCCAGACAAATGTCTACTGCGTCAGAAAAGGCTTAACTACCTAGGATACTGCATCGACGAGAATGGCATTTTTCCTGATGAGTTCAAGATCCAGGTCGCCATGTAATGTCTGATCTGAGGAGGATCCTGGGTATGATTCACTACCTAGGCAGGTACCTACTGGGTCTAGCCGATGTCAACAAACCACTCAACGACTCTGCTCAAGAGTGATGCTACATGGACATGCAGTGCAGGAGGAGGCCTTTAAGAAGGTAAAAAGTATCGTCACAGAGTCACCTCTACTGGCATTCTATAATATGACAAAGCCTACCGTAGTCAGTGCAGATGCCAGTAGTTAAGGGTTAGGCGGGGTCCTACTACAAAAATAAGCTGGATAGTTAAAGCCAGTAGCTTATTGCTCCAGGACTCTCACAGATGCAGAGAAGCACTATGCACAGATAGAAAAGCAGTGTCTCGCAGCAGTCTGGACATGTGAGAAGTTTACCAGATATCTGTATGGCCTCGATACATTCACACTGCAGAGTGATCACAAACCTCTTATTCCACTAATGAACTGTAAAGACCTTGACTCAGTGCCTTTGAGGTGTCAGAGACTGTTGATGCGCATGATGCTTATAACCCTGCAGCTAAGTATGTGCCGGGAAACAGCATGTTATAGCAGACACCCTTTCCAGACATCCCCAGGCAGCTGTTACACGAGAGATCGTAGATGTGACCAGTGAAATCGAGTCCGATGAGGATGTAGTTCGTACAGCATTGCCTATCTCACCCACCAAGCTTGACGTCGTCAAGAAGCAGACACAACCAGGGGTAGCCTAGCGGTTATGAGCGTTGGGCCAGTAACCGAAAGGTAGCTGGTTCGAATACCCGAGACGACTAGGTGAATAATCTGTCGACGTGCCCTTGAGAAAGGCACTTAACCCTAATTGCTCCTGTAAGTTGCTCTAGATAAGAGTGTCTGCTGAAAGACATATGTAAACTGAGATGTTGAAGCGCATACACGATTGTGAAGTGCCGGGGCTAGAGGTAGTGTGTGGTTGCCTGGAATAAGTAAAAACATCCAGGAAATATTCAGTACATGCAAACACTGCCAGGAGTCCAAACCTACTCAGAGGAGGGAACTTCTGATCACAACTCCATTCCCAAGTTGCCCATGGGGAAAGAGTATCAGCTGACATATGTGAACTCAACAAGCAAAACTACTTGATAGTTGTGGACTATTTCTCTTGATGTATAGAAATAGCTTACCTCAAATACATGTCAGGAGAAACTACTAGAGCTAAACTGAAGAGCATCTTCGCCAGGTGGGGGTGACCAAATATTCTAATTACAGACACCTAATCTCTTTACCTATTCTCTTTCCACAGCCGTGTCATGAGTCTGGCAAGAGAGACTAATCATTATTTCCCTATTTTTACTGTCAGGTGGGCAAAGAGTTTGGCTTCACCTCCAACGGCTTCTCTATCTTCCTGAACCGCAACAAGACCGATGAGATCCAGTCCCAGAATAAGACCCTCAGCCTGCTCAAGATCAAGTGAGTTTGGAGAAACATTGGTTTGTTACTATTAGACCTAAAACACACCTGTCACTCGGTTCTCCCCAGGAGTTTTTAACAAGGTGATGCTGCTGAGTATAGTAGCGGGAGGGTTGTGTTTTTTAACACATGTAACTTCCATTTTCTGCAATCTAGAGCAAAAAATGGCCTTAAATAGCTAGGTTTCCATCCACTTGGCGACACATTTTCAGGCAAGTATTCTAGAATCCGCATAAAGAAAATATGCACATTTTCCCACAAGTGGTGTTCCCACTAAATGGACTTGTTGCGGATAAAAATCAGTGTGTGATGACGTAGTGCACACAATGTACTTTTTCACTTAAGTTTTCATGTACCGAATAAAAATCTAAAGTTCAATATGTTTCCATCGCATTTTCAACTCCTAACGATTTAGTTTTGTCACAAACTGTTGCTTTAAATCGCAAATGTGCCTACTCCGGTCTTGGCAGGTGAGCTCTAGCCAACAGGTCGCAGATACATGATGACATTATTATGGATAAAAGCGAGAATATTTGTCAAATTGCAGTCGGGCATCGATCATGTCACCAGAACAAGACCCTCAATATTTATTGGAAAGGAGCGTCAAGATCACAGTGCACTTTCACCACCCTGTGAAGTTCATAACTTATTTAATCTGTAGCCTAATAAACTGTTTGTCTTAGTGGGAGGACCACAGCCCATATCATCACGTGAGTGACTCCAAGTTTACTTTGATACGATGGTTATTATATCAATATTTCCACCGCCATTTCTCGCATAATTAATTTTACAAACACAAAATGATCCCACCACGTTGAACAAACAAATGATCTGTCGACATTTATACAATTGTACCGCGACTCCCTGTTCCAGCACAGCTGTCGCAGTTATATTTTTATATATACGGTATGACTTTACTCACATCAAAACTGTAGATAGAAACGTGGTTAGAGATAACAAAATACTTCAAATAACAAATTACAGTGGTGCAGCCAGTGCACAAGGTGACGCAGCACCCCTCTTACATTCTTTGGGGAGAACCCTGTCACTAATTGTTAGGCTACTCCATTTAGCTAGATACACATGTAGTCATTATTTACACTGATTATACCAAACATTAGGAACACCTTCCTAATATTGAGTTGCACCCCCCTTCTTTTGCCCTAAGAACAGCCAGTCTTCGTCAAGCGTTCCACATGGATGCTGGCCCATGTTGACTCCAATGCTTCCCACAGTTGTCAAGTTGGCTGGGTGTCCTTTGGGTGGTGGACCATTCTTGATACACACGGGAAACTGTTGAGCGTGAAAAACCCAGCAGTGCTGCAGTTCTTGACACAAACCGGTGTGCCTCGCACCTACTTCCATACCCCGTTCAAAGGCACTTAAATATTTTGTCTTGCCCATTCACCCTCTGAATGGCACACATACACAATCAATTTCTCAAGGCTAAGAAATCTTTCTTTAACCTGTCTCCTCCCCTTCATCTACACTGATTTGAAGTGGATTTAACAAGTGACATCAATAAGGGATCATAGCTTTCACCTGGATTTACCTGGTCAGTCCGTCATCGAAAGAGCAGGTGTTCTTAATGTTTTGTACGCTCAGTGTATATCGTCATTTCATTTTGTTCACTTGTTATTATCTTGGATTATCATTATGCTCATTGTGTGTGTGTTTCTCTAGACATGGAGACATGCTCTTCCTGTACCCCTCGGGCTCCCCAGGACCCTCAGGAGAGACCATGGATGTGGCCACGCCTCACTCTTCATCATCACTACCCTCATCCTCGTCTTCATCATCCATGATGTCACGCTCCCACTCGGGACCCCACATCCCCGAGGACGAGATTGACCAGGACCTGGCCAAGCAGGAGGGCAAGATCTACAGGAACAAAGATCCACAGCTGTAAGAGATTTATATCATTTCTGTACGTTGTTGTATTGAAGCAAAGATACACAGCAACAGAGATCCACAGCTGCAATATATTTATAGACTTAAAGATCTACGGCAGGGGTGTCAAACTCTGGGCAGAGTGTCTGCAGGTTTTTGGTTTTCCTTTCAATGAAGACCTAGACAACCAGGTGAGGGGAGTTCCTTACTAATTAGTGACCTTCCATTCATCAATCAAGTACAAGGGAGGAGCGAAAACTTGCAGACACTCGGCCCTCCATGGAATGAGTTTGACACGTGATCTACGGAAATGGAGATCCACAGCTGTAAGAGATTTATAGAATTAAAGATTAACAGAAACCGAGATCCACAGCTCTAAGATATATATATATATATATATATATATATATATATATATATATATATATATATATATATATATATATACATACATACATACATACATACATACATACATACATACATACATACATACATACAGTGAGGGGAAAAAAGTATTTGATCCCCTGCTGATTTTGTACGTTTTCCCACTGACAAAGAAATGATCAGTCTATAATTTTAATGGTAGGTTTATTTGAACAGTGAGAGACAGAATAACAACAAAGAAATCCAGAAAAACGCATGTCAAAAATGTTATAAATTGATTAGCATTTTAATGAAATAAGTATTTGACCCCCTCTCAATCAGAAAGATTTCTGGCTCCTAGGTGTCTTTTATACAGGTAACGAGCTGAGATTAGGAGCACACTCTTAAAGGGAGTGCTCCTAATCTGTTTGTTACCTGTACAAAAGACACCTGTCCACAGAAGCAATCAATCAATCAGATACCAAACTCTCCACCATGGCCAAGACCAAAGAGCTCTCCAAGGATGTCAGGGACAAGATTGTAGACCTACACAAGGCTGGAATGGGCTACAAGACCATCGCCAAGCAGCTTGGTGAGAAGGTGACAACAGTTGATGCGATTATTCGCAAATGGAAGAAACACAGAATAACTGTCAATCTCCCTCAGCCTGGGGCTCCATGCAAGATCTCACCTCGTGGAGTTGCAATGATCATGAGAACGGTGAGGAATCAGCCCAGAACTACACGGGAGGATATTGTCAATGATCTCAAGGCCGCTGGGACCATAGTCACCAAGAAAACAATTGGTAACACACTACGCCGTGAAGGACTGAAATCCTGCAGCGCCCGCAAGGCCCCCCTGCTCAAGAAAGCACATATACAGGCCCGTCTGAAGTTTGCCAATGAACATCTGAATGATTCAGAGGAGAACTGGGTTAAAGTGTTGTGGTCAGATGAGACCAAAAATCGAGCTCTTTGGCATCAATCGAGCTCTCACCGTGTTCGGAGGAGGAGGAATGCTGCCTATGACCCCAAGAACACCATCCCCACCATCAAACATGGAGGTGGAAACATTATGCTTTGGGGGTGTTTTTCTGCTAAGGGGACAGGGCAACTTCACCACATCAAAGGGACGATGGACGGGGCCATGTACCGTTAAATCTTGGGTGAGAACCTCCTTCCCTCAGCCAGGGCATTGAAAATGGGTTGTGGCTGGGTATTCCAGCATGACAATGACCCAAAACACACGGCCAAGGCAACAAAGGAGTGGCTCAAGAAGAAGCACATTAAGGTCCTGGAGTGGCCTAGCCAGTCTCCAGACCTTAATCCCATAGAAAATCTGTGGAGAGAGCTGAAGGTTCGAGTTGCCAAACGTCAGCCTCGAAACCTTAATGACTTGGAGAAGATCTGCAAAGAGGAGTGGGACAAAATCCCTCCTGAGATGTGTGCAAACCTGGTGGCCAACTACAAGAAACGTCTGACCTCTGTGATTGCCAACAAGGGTTTTGCCACCAAGTACTAAGTCATGTTTTGCAGAGGGGTCAAATACTTATTTCCCTCATTAAAATGCAAATCAATTTATAACATTTTTGACATTTGTTTTTCTGGATTTTTTTTGTTATTCTGTCTCTCACTGTTCAAATAAACCTACCATTAAAATTATACACGGATCATGTCTTTGTCAGTGGGCAAACGTACAAAATCAGCAGGGGATCAAATACTTTTTTCCCTCACTGTGTGTGTGTGTGTGTATATATATCTTAAAAGCCATTACCACGAGCCCATCCTCCGCAATTAAGGTGCCACTAACCTCCTGTAGTCTACAGGAACAGAGATCCACAGTTGTAAGATATTTCATAGACTTCGTGTATGTTGTATTGAAGCAAAGATCTACAGGAACAGAGATCCACAGGTGTAAGAGATACACAGCTTTATAGAATGTAGCTAGTTATATTATTGTATTAAGGCATTCAATTGTATCAGTGTATTGATTCAGTTTTTATCTTGTTTCAGGTGTCGACATGGATCGATGGGAAAGTGTGTGCACTGCGTACCACTAGAGGTAAGTGTTCTTGCCACCTTCATTCGTCCAACTAGTACTATTTACTTTAAAATTGTGGTTTACATGTCAGGTTTACTTCTTTGCTGTAAATTGAATTGTTACCTCTGGCTGCCAGCCTTTTGACGAAGAGTACTTGAGCCATCTAGACCCGCCTGTCAAGCACATGTCATTCCACGCCTACATCCGTAAGCTGACAGGAGGCGCTGACAAGTGAGTGGCACCAGATGTTCTGTAGCCTGGTCCCAGACCTGTCTGTGCTTTCTTGGTAACATGTTTGGCATGACCACGTCCATAGAAGTTGGCAAGATTGCACAAACAGATCTGGGACCAGCCTATGCACTCTTCAATTCCCTAGCAGGAGAATTGGCCACATCCACAAGCTCTTTGTCTTTATTTAAAACCTATTTTCCTCTACAGAGGGAAGTTTGTGGCCCTGGAGAACATCAGCTGTAAGATCAAGTCAGGCTGTGAGGGCCACCCTCCCTGGCCAGAGGGGATCTGCACCAAATGCCAGCCCAGCGCCATCACCCTCAACAGACAAGTACGCCCCATAACTCTCTCCTTCTTGTTCCCAAGGGTCCATCTCAATGCTCCCCTTTGCTGCCAAGGGTCCATCTCAGTATTCTAAAGTGGCTTCCTCTCCTTGTCTCCTTTCCTTGGCTTCATTTACATTCACATCAGTTCAGATTAAAGAGAAGGAGATGACGAGAGGAATCCAATTTAAACTATTGAAATGCGCCACGGGAGATTTCTCAGTCACTACTCATACCTAATGGAGATGGTGATTTTTATAACCCGCCTCATCCCTGCTAACAGAAATACAGGCATATAGACAACATCATGTTTGAGAACCACACCATCGCAGACCGTTTCCTGGACTTCTGGAGGAAGACGGGCAGCCAGAGGATGGGCTACCTGTACGGCAGGTACACCGAGCACAAAGACATCCCTCTGGCCATCCGAGCGGAGGTCGCTGCCATCTACGAACCCCCGCAGGTGAGTGCTCTGCTCTCTCGGGAGTCAGTCCAGTGGCTTGTTAGTGTGAGTTGTAGATGTAGTAAGGTTGGTTAGCCACAGGATGGCAGTAAGTTCACGTTCAATGGTGTGTTGGACAGTGATAAAATGCTGCTTTTGCAGGAGCAGTTGTCTCCAATAGCATAATAAATAAATGGATGTATGCAATGAACTGATTATTTAAAGATGAACTCTCGAACTTTTGTATAGTTTCAGCCAGTAGTTATGAAAGTGGTGCTCACGACCCAAAACAGGTCCCTGTTTTTTGTGTTCTACATCATCCAATTGTGTACTACATTGTCCATTTCGTGTGATAGGTTACGAATTTTGCAATTTGTGTGATCTGTTGCTAATTAGGCAAATTGCAAAATTAGTCATTAGTGGTGGTGCGTTAAGCCAATCAGAAATACTATCAGATCCCCAAATGGGCACATTTATATGCCTACATTTGCGCGCAGGCCAGGTAGCCTATAGGCCTACTTCTATGAGCAACTCAACATTGACAGGAGCGCTCCAAACAAAAGACAATGACTAAATTGACGAAAGGGAATAAAATAAACCAAAACTTGTTTCTCACAAGTGTAGCAATTTGTGCAATATGCTATGAATTTGTTGTGCTTAAGATCCCAGAGTTCATCTTTAAGTCTGTGATAGAATTACTGTAAGATTGTGTACTTTTTCTGAAATAATGTTAATCCTAGATGTGTTATATTTAATGGTTTGTTTAGTTTTAACTGTTGTGAATTCCTCTGTCCATTAGATTGCCACCCAGAACAGTCTGGAGCTGGTGGAGGACCCTAAAGCTGCAGCCGTAGAGGAGATCGCAGCTAAGCTGGGCCTGCGTAAGGTTAGACGAAACCACTAATTTATACTATTGACTTTATTTGAGCTATTCTAGATTCGGTTGTCAACCTCCCTTCACTCCATATCACTATGAATTCAGTTAAATTGACTGAATTGGAATAGAATTGACCCCAACCCTGGTCAAGACACTAAGATTGTGCTCTGTAATATACATCCACCCTGGTTTATATGGTGTAACTTTAGACTTAGACGTCGCGTTAATGCAGAATTCTGCATTTTTCACAAAGGAATAAAAAGATACAACGCATAATGCACTTCTCCACTCGGATGAGAGTTCAGACAGCACACTGATGTGTAGCTACTTTTCTCCAGTACTTTTCTCAGTGTAGCCAACTTTTCTCAGGTAAAATTCAAGGGTAACTTCAAGCAAAACATTTGGAAATGTAGCTGGCTACATTCTTTCTATCATAAACATTAGAAATATGATGGGCAGAGCCTCCCGAGTGGCGCAGCGGTCTAAGGCACTGCATCGCAGTGCTTGAGGCGTCTCACAACCGTGATCGGGAGTCCCATAGGGCGGCACACAATTGGCCCAGCGTCGTCCGTGTTAGAGGAGGGTTTGGCCGGGGGGGCTTTACTTGGCTCATCGCGCTCTAGCGACTACTTGTGGCGGCCCGGGCGCCTGCAGGCTGACTTTGGTCGTCAGTTGAACAGTGTTTCCTCCGACACATTGGTGCAGCTGGCTTCCGGGTTAAGCGGGCGGGTGTTAAGAAGCGCGGTTTGGCGGGTCATGTTTCGGAGGACACATGACTCGACCTTCGCCTCCCGAGCCCATTGGGAGGTTGCAGCGATGAGACTAGATCGAAGTTGGGGAGAAAAACGGGGTTAAAAAATTATATAATGGCCGTGCATCGTGTTTGCCAAAAAATACATTTCTTTTTCATTGTAAGCTCATTTACTTGTGTGGCTGCTAGCCAAATAGTGTTGCACTTCAATTGTCATCTGATGAAAAGGAAGCTATTTTCTGCCGAATGTGTTGCACTGATGTATTTTCTGTGAAGAAAAACTATAGTTTCACTCTATTGAAGCAAAAAAACACTGTTGATTTTCAATATAAAACACAGGTAAAATGGTTTAAAATGCAGATTTCTGAACTCTAACGCAACCCCTGGACGTCACAACTAAACTAAACAGTCTATCCTTCCCCACCTCCACCACCTAACTCCTTCCTGTCAGGATAGAGGTAAAGAGGAACATCTGGGTTCAAGCAGTAAACTCAGGAGGCTACAGACAGGATAGCCTGCGCCTGTCTAGTCTGACTGGCCAGTACAGCCCAACCCAACCCACTGGCCAGAGACATCGATGGGTGGAGGGTCTCTGTCTGCATCCCTAATGGCACCTTATTCCCTATAAAGTCTGCACTGCTTTTGACTATTTGGGATGCAGCTTCTTTCTCTCAGGCCATGATGCTCTAATCAATTCTCAGGATTCCTTAGTCTTCACAGGATGATGGCTTAAACAGCTTCCATATGTGTAATGTGTAGAGCTTACACAACCAGCATGGGTTCTCTGGTTTTTGACTCAACCGGGGTAGGGACAATGGTGGAGGACAAACTGTTTGCCAAATGTATTTTCCAAAATGGTATATGTGAGTCAAGCACTACACCTTATTCAAAAGATTAGCCAGCTGGCTCTATGGCTGGTTCTGGAGCTGGATTTGTCATAAGCAAACTTCCCCGCAGATGGAAACCACTGGCCTATCTTTGACGCCACTATCTATTATTAACTCCAATGTTTTGGCATCTTCCATAAATCACGCCAGCGAATCCGCCACAGAAATAGTCAGAATGAATAGGATGAAGCTCTGGTAATATGGATAACTATTGAAAGATGGATGATGTGTTTTTCTACAGCCTACCTACCAAAGGTGCAACAGGTAGGCTGCTGGCAGGCTGATGATGCACGCCACAGATGACGTCCAGTGCCTTCAGAAAGTATTCATACCCCTTGACTTATTCCGCATTTTGTTCTTACAGCCTGAATTCAAAATAAAAAAGTCACCCATCTATCTACACAACAATTTATTGAAAATGAAATACAGAAATATCTCATTTACATAAGTATTCACACCCCTGAGTCAATACTTTGTAGAAGCACTTTTTGCAGCGATTAGATCTTTGAGTTTTCTTTGGTATGTCTGTATCAGCTGTGCACATCTGGATTTGGGGATTTTCTTCCTTGCTGATTTCCTCAAGCTCTGATAAGTTAGTTGGGGAGCGGCGGCAAACAGCAACCTTCAACTCTTTCCACAGATTTTCAATGGGATTCGAGTCTGGGCTTTGGCTGGGCCACTCAAGGACTTTCACATTCTTGTTCTGAAGCCATTCCAGCATTGCTTTGGTTGTGTGCTTTTGGGGTTATTGTCCTGTTGGAATGTAAATCTTCGCCCCCAGTCTGTCGTTTGCACTGAAGCAGGTTCTCAATAAGGGTCAAGGATTTGCCTGTGTTTAGCTCCATTCATTGTTCCCTTTATCCTGACCAGTCTCCTAGTCCCTGCCGCTGAAAAGCATCCCCAATGCATTATGCTGCCACCGCCATGCTTCACGGTAGGGATGGTGTGACGGGTTTTCTCCAGACATAGTGCTTTGCATTCAGGCCAAAGAGTTACAATTTTGTCACATCAGACCTCGTAATCTTATGTCTTTTGTCTTTCACATGCCTTTTTGCAAACTCCAGGCGTGCTGTCATGTGCCTTCCACTCTCCCATAAAGCCCGAATTGGTGAAGTGCTGTAGAGACTGTTGTCCTTCTGGAAGGTTCTCCCATCTCAGCCAAGGAACTCTGTAGTTTTGTCAGTGTTCATTGGATTCTTGGTCACCTCCCGCCCAGTTGCTCAGTTTGGTCGGACTGCCAGCTCTAGGCAGAGTGGGTAGTTCCATATTCTTTCAATTTCCCGAAGATGGAGACCACTGTGCTCTTGGCAACTTTAAACACTCCAGAAATTGTTTTATACACTTTCCCAGATATGTCTCATCACAATTATATGTTGGAAATCTACAGACATTTCCTTGGACTTCGTGGTATAGTTTCTGCTCTGACATGCACCATCAACTGTGGGACCTCATATAGACAGGTGTTTCTTTCTAAATAATATAATGTCCAAACAATTTAATTGGCCACAGGTGGACTCCAATCAAGTTGTTGTGACATCTCAAGGATGATCAAAGGAAATGTGGTGCACCGGAGCTCAATTTGGAGTGTCATAGCAAAGGGGTGTTAATACTTATGTAAATGAGATTTCTGTATTTCATTTTCATAACATTTCAAAAAATATTTTGACTTTGTCATGATGGGGTATTGTGTGTAGATGGGTGAGGGGGGAAAAATAACAATTTAATCCATTTTGAATTCAGGCTGTAACAAGTTCCTTGAATTTTCTTTCGCTGTTGCCTTTTAATTATCTGGATAGACACTTGTGGTCTAGCTAACGTTACACCAATCAAAGCAGTGGAGCGTGTAGTGAAGCAAAACTTTAGTGGTCAAAACCATACATCTTGGGGCGACGGGGTGCGGGTTTGCAAAATGCTATCATATCACACAATTATACCATTTATGAAATGGTCAGATATACACTGAGTGCACAAAACATTAGGAACACCTACCCCTTCCATGAGACTGACCAGGTGAATTCAGGTGAAAGCTATGATCCCATATTGATGTCATCTGTTAAATTTACTTCAATCAGTGTAGATGAAGGGGGGAGACAGGATAAAGAAGGATTTTTAAGCCTTGAGACCATTGAGACATGTATTGTGTATGTGTGCCTTTCAGAGGGTAAGAACTGCAATGCTGCTGGGTTTTTCACACTCAACAGTTTTCCCCTTGTGTATCAAGAATGGTCCACCACCCAAAGGACATCCAGCCAACTTGACTCAACCGTGGGAAGCATTGGAGTCAACATGTTCAACAGGGATGCTGGACCACTTTCCATGCCCCAACGAATTGAGGCTGTTCTAAATAAATAATAATAATAATACAATAATATGCCATTTAGCAGACGCTTTTATCCAAAGCGACTTACAGTCGTGCGTGCATACATTTTTGTGTATGGGTGGTCCCGGGGATCGAACCCACTACCTTGGCGTTAAAAGCACCGTGCTCTACCAGCTGAGCTACAGAGGACCACTGTTCTGAGGGCAAAAGGGGGTGCAACTCAATATTAGGACGATGTTCCTAATGTTTTGTACACTGAGTGTATTGACATATTTTTTAAATACAGACTAGCTAAAAAACAAGTGAAAATTGACTAATTATCCAATTAAGTTTGCACCACCACATTTTAATTTGCTCCATGGCTCAGGTGGCCAAGTGGACACAAGGCTGTTTGGCTCATCTTTCTGATTTAATAAACAATGCCATGCTGGTTGGTGGTAACATTCAAATAAAACACAGCCCTCAAACTGGCTTAAAGAATTTGTATGTCATATCAAAGAAAATAAACCGCATTCACACGGATTTGGACGATGTGGGTGGTTCGGATTTGTCAATTCAAGGCCAAATATATCATACTTTGACTAAAACGTTGACTTATTGACTTAAATCGTTGTGCAACATCATGGGTAAGCTCTAGCCATCGTCTTTCAGTTCAAAAAAGTGGATTTCCACCTCAATTTCATTCAGGATCAAACTCTAGACTACTGATTTGGCTACATTGTTTGATGTAATTTTAAGGAAATTGCAGTTACATATGAAAACAAAAAAAAAAGGTAAATGCTCCAACTTCCTGACGGAGTCAGTGACCCCCTCCGGACCTCACCCCTACCCAACCTTAGGTCTACATCAGCACCACCTTCTCAGAAAATTCTAGGGAGAGCCCTGACTGTACATTCAAAGTTATTTATAGTTAGCTACTGAAGAGAATCCAATTACCAAGTACCCAAAACAGTCTTTTGCCTACCATTTCTACTGAGGCAGTCTTCTGCCAACATTATTAGGGGTGGAAAAGGGTGCATTTGCCTATGATCTGAGCAGTGTGGGTGTTGCGCGCGCCGCCGTGGGGTCCGAGGCTGGGAGTGCCGCCGCCGCACTAAATTGGTACTCATAAAGATTATTCAAGTTTGACTGTCTTCCTGTGTTGTCTGTGCTGTAGGTGGGGTGGATATTCACTGACCTGCTCTCTGAGGACACCAGGATAGGAACAGTTAAATACACCAGGAACAAGGTGAGAGAACACATCCCTACCCTGCCCGGACAAGCACTTTAACCTGTAAACCAGAATAGCCAAAAACCAGGGAATAGCCTAACACCTTGTGACTGTTTCTAAAGCATTAGTTTTGTGAACGAATACAGACTTCTCTAGGTGGACAAAGCTGAAATATCTCGGACTTCTTTATTTCTTTGATCATTTAAAATGTTTTATCTTGTCTGTGTAGGACTCGTACTTCCTGAGTGCAGAGGAGTGCATCACGGCTGGACACTTCCAGAACCAACAGTCTAATCCCTGCAGACTCTCACCCGACGGACACTTCGGGTCCAAGTTTATCACTGTGGTGGCCACAGGTACACAGGCTATCTATGGCTCACTTCTACAACAGAATACTACCACACCAAAAGCATGTGTAGATGTGCCCGAGTTGCTTCTGACTTTAGGGCGGCAGGTAGCCTAGCGGTTAGATCGTTGGGCCAGTGACCGAAAGGTTGCTGGTTTGAATACCTGAGCTGGCAAGATGAAAAATCTGTCGATGTGCCCTTGGGCAAGCCACTTAACCCTAATTTGCTCTATGGCTGACCCTGTAAAACAACACATTTTCAATAAAACATTATTTGTTTTTATATACAGTATATTACAGTGCATTCGGAAAGTATTCTTTTTCCACATTTTGTTACATTTACAGCCTTATTCTAAAATTGATTAAATAAAAAATGTTCTCATCAATCCACACACAATACCCCATAATGACAAAGCGAAAAACGGTTTTTTGAGATTTTAGCAAATAAAAAATAAAAAACCTTATTTACATAAGTACTCAGACCCGTTGCTATGAGACTCGAAATTGAGTTCAGGTGCATCCTGTTTCCATTGAACATCCTTTATGTTTCTACAACTTGGAGTCCACCTGTGGTAAATTCAATTGATTGGACATGATTTGGAATGGCACACACCTGTCTATATAAAGGTCCCACAGTTGACAGTGCATGGCAGAGCAAAAACCAAGCCATGAGGTCGAGGGAATTGTCCGTAGAGCTCCGAGACAGGATTGTGTCGAGGCACATATCTGGGGAAGGGTACCAAAAAAAATTCTGCAGCATTGAAGGTCCACAAGAACACAGTGGCCTCCATCATTCTTAAATGGAAGAAGTTTGGAACCACCAAGACTCTTCCTAGAGCTGGCTGCCTGGCCAAACTGAGCAATCGGGGGAGAAGGGCCTTGGTCAGGGAGGTGGCCAAGAACCCGATGGTCACTCTGACAGAGCTCCAGAGTTCCTCTGTGGAGATGGGAGAACCTTCCAGAAGGACAACCATCTCTGCAGCTCTCCACCAATCAGGCCTTTATGGTAGAGTTGCCAGATGGAACCCACTCCTCAGTTAAAGGCACATGACAGCCCGCTTGGAGTTTGCCAAAAGGCACCTTAAGGACTCTCAGACAATGAGAAACAAGATTCTCTGGTCTGATGAAACCAAGAATGAACTCTTTGGCCTGAATGCCAACCGTCACGTCTGGAGGAAACCTGGCACCATCCCTACGGTGAAGCATGGTGGTGGTAGCCTCATGCTGTGGGGATGTTTTTCAGTGTCAAGGACTGGGAGACTAGTCAGGATCGAGGGAAAGATGAACAGAGCATAGTCCAGAGAGATCCTTGATGAAAACCTGCTCCAGAGCGCTCAGGACCTCAGACTGGAGTGAAGGTTCACCTTCCAACAGGACAACGACCCTAAGCACACAGCCAAGACAACGCAGGAGTGGCTTCGGGACAAGTCTCTGAATGTCCTTGAGTGGCCCAGCCAGAGCCCGGACTTGAACCTGACCGAACAACTCTGGAGAGACCTGAAAATAGCTATGCAGCGACGCTCCCCATCCAACCTGACAGAGCTTGAGAGGATCTGCAGAGAACAATGGGAGAAACTCCCCAAATACAGGTGTGCCAAGCTTGTAGCATCATACCCAAGAAGATTAGAGACTGTAATCGCTGCCAAAGGTGCTTCAACAAAGTACTGAGTAAAGGGTCTAAATACTTATGTAAATGTGATCTTTCCAGGTGTTTTTTTTTTTTATATAAATTTGAAAAAATGTCTAAACCTGTTTTTTTTGCTTTGTCATTATGGGGTATTGTGTGTAGATTGATGAAGGAAAAAAACAATTTAATCAGTTTTAGAATTAGGCTGAAACGTAACAAAATGTGGAAAAAGTGAAGGGGTCTGAATACTTTCCGAATGCACTGTGTGTGTATACATAGCTAGCCTTGGCTTGCACTACTTTCTAAAAGAGCAATCTGTTTACATAACATTGAGTGATGATTGGCATTACCTGATCTTGTGATAATCGTCTTGCCACTCGTATTTAATCATTTATTTGTGTCCATTTCGAGAAATTCGTCTTGCATCTTCTCTCAAACTCAACAGTACAGCATCATCACATATAGGTTATAAATTACAGAAATATAGGAAGCAAATCCTATGGTCGTTGACCAACGGTGGTATCAACCCCCAGTCGGACTCTGTGTGTTACCCGCCAGGTGGTCCTGATAACCAGGTGCACTTTGAGGGTTACCAGGTGTCTAACCAGTGCATGGCCCTGGTGAGAGACGAGTGCCTACTGCCCTGCCGAGACGCCCCCGAGCTGGGCTACGCTAAAGAGTCCAGCACGGAGCAGTACGTACCGGACGTCTTCTACAAGGTACAGGAACACACACACGTTCTTAGACTGTCTGAACTTCTCAAAACTCAATCAACTCTGAAACACACTGCACTCAAAGGAAGTACCTTTCTCACCACTAACAGACCATTTGTTATTTTAGAGCACCAAACATTTCATTTTTGCTAAAAACTAAAGGAGCAACTGTTGACATGCTTGATTGATGACATGTATTATGCTTCAATTAAGAGAAAGTTAAATGATTCAGTAGATCAGTTAAATGGATGTGGCTAGAGTATGAATAAATGGAGCTTGCCAATAGTGTTGGGGGAAAAATCGATATGCCGTTACATTGCGATTATTATTTTGGAGTATTGATTGTTTATTTTTGCTAGGTAGCGTTAGCTAGCGCTAGTCGGCTGTACCTGTGCAATAACTCCAGTATTTTTCATCCTATAGCTTGTTCTCATCTTAATTTTAAATAGTGAGCCAACATGTTTTCTGCACTTTTATTTCTATTACTAACCATGTTTTCATCTACAGTTTTTATGCAATGAAAGTCCTACCGTATAAAAAATGAACCACGACATCTGTGATGGAAACAGGACGTTTCAGGACAAATGTATAAATGCCGACAGATAATGTTTGTTCGACATGATGGGATCTTTTTGTGGGTAAAATGTATTATGCGCAAATTGGCTGTGGAAACGCCTTAATGCGCAAATATTGATATAATAACCATCATATCGAAGTAAACTTGGAGTCACACGATGATATGGTGTGTGATCCTCCCATTACGAAAGCATGCAGTTTATTAGGCTACAGATGAAATAAGTTATGATGAACTTCACAGGGTGGTGAAAGTGCAGGGTGTTGAGCATGATGTTCCTTTCCAGTAAATATCGAGGGTCTTATTCTGGTGACATGATGATCGATGCTTGGCTGCCTTTTGACGAATGTAAAATAATCTCGCTTGTTTGTCCATAATAATCTCATCATGTAGGCTATACCTGCACTGTATCTGCGGGCTGTTGGCTAGAGCGGAGTGGGCACATTCGCTATATAGCGCAACATGTTTAGTGATAAAACCATCAGTAGAGTTGAAAAAACATAGGAAACCCATTTAAATTGTATTTTTTATTCAGTACATGGGAATTTCACCACAAAAGTTATTTTATGTTCACTACATCATACACACAGACTTTTGTCCCCAACAATTACATTTGATGGAAATACGTCTCTGGTGGGAAAATTAGCCTATTTTAGAACATTCACTTGAAAATCCGTCGGCAATTGGAAGGAGACCTAGCTACTGATCAGAATGAATTTTCTCATGTTCTGTCTCTCTGCAGCAGACATATAGGGCATAGACATCCTTCATGTTGACATGACCCTTGCTTGTCCCGTATCACAGCACTGCAGAGAAAGAAAGGGAGAGAGATGGAGTGTCACAGTTTTTTGCTACAGTATTACTATTTCTCTCTCCATTGATTGTTGTTCTTCCCCTCAACAGGACAAAGATAAATTTGGCAACGACATCACATATCTAGCCCGGCCTCTTCCCGTGGAGTACCTTATCATAGACGTGAGTATGATTGAACATTACCTTTTCATATAGGAAAACATCCAGAGTATGTTTGAACTAGGGATGTGACAAATGGGAAAGCAAGTCTTAAAGTTTAAACAGCCATTTATTTTAACTAGTTTTCTGTTAAAATGATAAAAATTCATAATTCCATGTGAATTCACAATGCTGCTGCCAGCAATGGTTTGGGTCTCATGTTACGTCCCTTTCACATGGTTAACTATTGCACCTGTACTACTTTACTTCAATTTCCTTCTCATTTAACTTCTCAAAGTATTACAGGACTTCATTGCTGTCGCTTGCCTTTCTCTTCTCTATTTTTCAAACTGTTAACGACGATGACGTAGTGGTGGAGAGTCGACTCCAAAATAATTGATTCCTCGACTTCTTGCACGTCGACTACCATTTCTGAGTGTCAAGATTCTACTCCTAAGATTCAGTATTTTTGGAACGGCGGAGACTGATTAGTTGCCGTACTTTCGAGAACGCTCGCATCTTTCATAGCAAGCTAGCGAGGGACGGAGAGTGCGTGGACGGCCACCAGTCAGAACCATGCTGTATCTCTCAATGGAAGGCTGTATGTCACAATATTCTTGGCTTGCAATGTCTCGCAACTTCAGTAGAGCATGGCCTATCATCAATGAATAGGCTAGGATATTGAGATGAGCGAGATGCAAGACTTCGCTCTCACACAGTCAAATCAAATCAAATCAAATTTTATTGGTCACATGCGCCGAATACAACAGGTGCAGACATTACAGTGAAATGCTTACTTACAGCCCTTAACCAACAGTGCATTTATTTTAAACAAAAAAAGTAAGAATAAAACAACAACAAAAAAAGTGTTGAGAAAAAAAGAGCAGAAGTAAAATAAAGTGACAGTAGGGAGGCTATATATACAGTAAAATAAAGTGACAGTAGGGAGGCTATATATACAGGGGGGTACCGTTGCAGAGTCAATGTGCGGGGGCACCGGCTAGTTGAGGTAGTTGAGGTAATATGTACATGTGGGTAGAGTTAAAGTGACTATGCATAAATACTTAACAGAGTAGCAGCAGCGTAAAAAGGATGGGGTGGGGGGGCAGTGCAAATAGTCCGGGTAGCCATGATTAGCTGTTCAGGAGTCTTATGGCTTGGGGGTAGAAGCTGTTGAGAAGTCTTTTGGACCTAGACTTGGCACTCCGGTACCGCTTGCCGTGCGGTAGCAGAGAGAACAGTCTATGACTAGGGTGGCTGGAGTCTTTGACAATTTTGAGGGCCTTCCTCTGACACCGCCTGGTATAGAGGTCCTGAATGGCAGGGAGCTTTGCCCCAGTGATGTACTGGGCCGTACGTACTACCCTCTGTAGTGCCTTGCGGTCAGAGGCCAAGCAGTTGCCACACCAGGCGGTGATGCAACCAGTCAGGATGCTCTCGATGGTGCAGCTGTAGAATTTTTTGAGGATCTGAGGACCCATGCCAAATCTTTTTAGTCTCCTGAGGGGGAATAGGCTTTGTCGTGCCCTCTTCACGACTGTCTTGGTGTGTTTGGACCATGATAGTTCGTTGGTGATGTGGACACCAAGGAACTTGAAGCTCTCAACCTGTTCCACTACAGCCCCGTCGATGAGAATGGGGGCGTGCTCAGTCCTCTTTTTTTTCCTGTAGTCCACAATCATCTCCTTTGTCTTGGTCACGTTGAGGGAGAGGTTGTTGTCCTGGCACCACACGGCCAGATCTCTGACCTCCTCCCTATAGGCTGTCTCATCGTTGTCGGTGATCAGGCCTACCACTGTTGTGTCGTCGGCAAACTTAATGATGGTGTTGGAGTCGTGCCTGGCCATGCAGTCATGGGTGAACAGAGAGTACAGGAGGGGACTGAGCACGCACCCCTGAGGGGCCCCCGTGTTGAGGATCAGTGTGGCAGATGTGTTGTTACCTACCCTTACCACCTGGGGGCGGCCCGTCAGGAAGTCCAGGATCCAGTTGCAGAGGGAGGTGTTTAGTCCCAGGATCCTTAGCTTAGTGATGAGCTTAGAGGGCACTATGGTGTTGAATGCTGAGCTGTAGTCAATGAATAGCATTCTCACGTAGGTGTTCCTCTTGTCCAGGTGGGAAAGGGCAGTGTGGAGTGCGATAGAGATTGCATCATCTGTGGATCTGTTGGGGCGGTATGCAAATTGGAGTGGGTCTAGGGTTTCTGGGATTATGCTGTTGATGTGAGCCATGACCAGTCTTTCAAAGCACTTCATGGCTACAGACGTCAGTGCTACGGGTCGGTAGTCATTTAGGCAGGTTATCTTAGAGTTCTTGGGCACGGGGACTATGGTGGTCTGCTTGAAACATGTTGGTATTACAGACTCAGTCAGGGACATGTTGAAAATGTCAGTGAAGACACTTGCCAGTTGGTCAGCACATGCTCGGAGTACACGTCCTGGTAATCCGTCTGGCCCTGCGGCCTTGTGAATGTTGACCTGCTTAAAAGTCTTACTCACATCGGCTACGGAGAGCGTGATCACATAGTCGTCCGGAACAGCTGGTGCTCTCATGCATGCTTCAGTGTTGCTTGCCTCGAAGCGAGCATAGAAGTGGTTTAGCTCGTCTGGTAGGCTTGTGTCACTGGGCAGCTCGCGGCTGTGCTTCCCTTTGTAGTCTGTAATAGTTTTCAAGCCCTGCCACATCCGACGAGCGTCAGAGCCAGTGTAGTATGATTCAATCTTAGACCTGTATTGACTCTTTGCCTGTTTGATGGTTCGTCGGAGGTCATAGCGGGATTTCTTATAAGCGTCCGGGTTAGAGTCCCGTTCCTTGAAAGCGGCAGCTCTACCCTTTAGCTCAGTGCGGATGTTTCCTGTAATCCATGGCTTCTGGTTGGGGTATGTACGTACGGTCACTGTGGGGACGACATCATCGATGCACTTATTGATGAAGCCAGTGACTGATGTGGTGTACTCCTCAATGCTGTCTGAAGAATCCCGGAACATGTTCCAGTCTGTGCTAGCAAAACAGTCCTGTAGCTTAGCATCTGCATCATCTGACCACTTTTTTATTAACCGAATCACTGGTGCTTCCTGCTTCAGTTTTTGCTTATAAGCAGGAATCAGGAGGATAGAGTTATGGTCAGATTTGCCAAATGGAGGGCGAGGGAGAGCTTTGTATGCGTCTCTGTGTGTGGAGTAAAGGTGGTCTAGAGTTTTTTTTCCCCTCTGGTTGCACATTTAACATGCTGGTAGAAATTAGGTAGAACGGATTTAAGTTTCCCTGCATTAAAGTCCCCGGCTACTAGGAGCGCTGCATCTGGATGAGCGTTTTCCTGTTGATTAATGGCCTTGTACAACTCATTCAGTGCAATCTTAATGCCAGCATTGGTTTGTGGTGGTAAATAGACAGCTATGAAAAATATAGATGAAAACTCTCTTGGTAAATAGTGTGGTCTACAGCTTATCATAACATACTCTACCTCAGGCGAGCAAAACCTCGAGACTTCCTTAGTATTTGATTTTGTGCACCAGCTGTTGTTTACAAATATACACAGACCGCCTCCCCTTGTCTTACCAGAGTCAGACGTTCTGTCCTGCCGATGTAGCGTATAGCCTGCTAGCTGAATGTTATCATTGTTGTCGTTCAGCCACGACTCCGTGAAACATAAGATATTACAGTTTTTAATGTCCCGTTGGTAGGATAACCGTAATCTTAAATCGTCAATTTTATTCTCAAAAGATTGAACGTTGGCTAATAGGATTGATGGGAGAGGCAGTTTACTCGCTCGCCGTCGGATCCTTACAAGGCACCCGGATCTGCGTCCGCGATATCTCCGTCTCTTCCTCACGCGAATGACGGGGATCTGGGCCTTGTCGGGTGTCTGAAGGAGCTTCAAGCTGTTCACAGCGTGGTAGCCAGGGCACCAAAGCAGCAGGGAAGTTGAGACTTGCGCTTCAACGCTCTTAGTCGTTGCTAGAAAATGACCCACTGTTTACTTTCTGCGTGTACATTCTTCTTAATGTTAAGGATCCCAATTTCGTTTAAACGTCCACACCCCTAGATTGAACATAGTATTTGCCTTCAGAAAGTATTCACACCTTCACTTCTTCCACATTTTGTTGTTACAGCCTGAATTAAAAATTGAGATTTAGTCACTGGCCTACACACAATACCCCATAATGTCAAAGTGGAATTATGTTTTTAGAAATCTTTACAAATTAATAAAAAATGAAAAGCTGAAATGTCTTCATTCAATAAGTATTCAACCCCTTTGTTATGGCGAGCCTGAATAAGTTCAGGAGTACAAATTTGCCTAACAAGTCACATAAGTTGCATGGACTTACTCTGTTTGCAATAAAAGGGTTTAACATGATTTTTGAATGATTACCTCATCTCTGTACCCCACACAATTATCTGTAAGGTCCCTCAGACAAGCAGTGAATTTCAAACACAGATTAAACCACAAATCAAATTGATTTATAAAGCCCTTTTTACATCAGCAGATGTCACAAAGTGCTTATACAGAAACCTAGTCTGAAACCCCAAACCGCAAGCAATGCAGATGTAGAAGCACGGTGGCTAGAAAAAACTCCTTATAAAGGCAGGAACCTAGGAAGAAACCTAGAGAGGAACCAGGCTCTGAGGGGTGGCCAGTCCTCTTCTGGCTGTGCCGGGTGGAGATTGAGTACAGTGGGGAAAAAAAGTATTTAGTCAGCCACCAATTGTGCAAGTTCTCCCACTTAAAAAGATGAGAGAGGCCTGTAATTTTCATCATATGTACACGTCAACTATGACAGACAAAATGAGAAAAAAAATCCAGAAAATCACACTGTAGGATTTTTAATGAATTTATTTCCAAATTATGGTGGAAAATAAGTATTTGGTCAATAACAAAAGTTTCTCAATACTTTGTTATATACCCTTTGTTGGCAATGACACAGGTCAAACGTTTTCTGTAAGTCTTTACAAGGTTTTCACACACTGTTGCTGGTATTTTGGCCCATTCCTCCATGGAGATCTACTCTAGAGCAGTGATGTTTTGGGGCTGTCGCTGGGCAACACGGACTTTCAACTCCCTCCAAAGATTTTCTATGGGGTTGAGATCTGGAGACTGGCTAGGCCACTCCAGGACCTTGAAATGCTTCTTACGAAGCCACTCCTTCGTTGCCCGGGCGGTGTGTTTGGGATCATTGTCATGCTGAAACACCCAGCCACGTTTCATCTTCAATGCCCTTGCTGATGGAAGGAGGTTTTCACTCAAAATCTCACGATACATGGCCCCATTCATTCTTTCCTTTACACGGATCAGTCGTCCTGGTCCCTTTGCAGAAAAACAGCCCCAAAGCATGATATTTCCACCCCCATGCTTCACAGTAGGTATGGTGTTCTTTGGATGCAACTCAGCATTCTTTGTCCTCCAAACACGACGAGTTGAGTTTTACCAAAAAGTTATATTTTGGTTTCATCTGACCATATGACATTCTCCCAATCCTCTTCTGGATCATCCAAATGCACTCTAGCAAACTTCAGACGGGCCTGGACATGTACTGGCTTAAGCAGGGGGACATGTCTGGCACTGCAGGATTTGAGTCCCTGGCGGCGTAGTGTGTTACTGATGGTAGGCTTTGTTACTTTGGTCCCAGCTCTCTGCAGGTCATTCACTAGGTCCCCCCGTGTGATTCTGGGATTTTTGTTCACCGTTCTTGTGATCATTTTGACCCCACGGGGTGAGATCTTGCGTAGAGCCCCATATCGAGGGAGATTATCAGTGGTCTTATATGTCTTCCATTTCCTAATAATTGCTCCCACAGTTGATTTCTTCCAACCAAGCTGCTTACCTATTGCAGATTCAGTCTTCCCAGCCTGGTGCAGGTCTACAATTTTGTTTCTGGTGTCCTTTGACAGCTCTTTGGTCTTGGCCATAGTGGAGTTTGGAGTGTGACTGTTTGAGGTTGTGGACAGGTGTCTTTTATACTGATAACAAGTTCAAACAGGTGCCATTAATACAGGTAACGAGTGGAGGACAGAGGAGCCTCTTAAAGAAGAAGTTACAGGTCTGTGAGAGCCAAAAATCTTGCTTGTTTGTAGGTGACCAAATACCTATTTTCCACCATAATTTGCAAATAAATTCATTAAAAATCCTACAATGTGATTTTCTGGATTTGTTTTCTCTCAATTTGTCTGTCATAGTTGACGTGTACCTATGATGAAAATTACAGGCCTCTCTCATCTTTTTAAGTCGGAGAACTTGCACAATTGGTGGCTGACTAAATACTTTTTTTCCCCACTGTACATGGCCGTTAAGGCCAGATCGTTCTTCAAGATGTTCAAACGTTCATAAATGACCTGCAGGGTCAAATAATAATCACAGTGGTTGTAGAGGGTGCAACAGGTCAGCGCCTCAGGAGTTGTCAGTTGGCTTTTCATAACCGACCATTCAGAGGTCGAGACAGCAGGTGCTGGAGGCTGAGACGGGGGGTCGGGGGACCCTGTGGCCATGTCCGACGATACCCCCGGACAGGGCCAACCAGACAGGATATAACCCCACCCACTTTACCAAAGCACAGCCCCAACACCACTAGAGGGATATCAACAGACCATCAACTTACTACCCTGAGCTAAGGCTAGCCCACGAAGATCTCCTCCACCGCACAAGCCCGAGCAAAACCGGACAGGAAGATCACGTCAGTGACTCAACCCACTCAAGTAGAGTATAGCAAAGAAAGCCTGGCACGACTTGAAGCATCCCTTATAGGGACGGCATGGATGAGCACTAGGAAACCAGTGACTCAGCCCTCGTAATAGGGTCAGAGGCAGAGAATCCCAGTGGAGAGATGGGAGCCGGCCAGGCAGAGACAGCAAGGGCAGTTCGTCACTCCAGTGACTTGCCGTTCACCTTCGCACCCCTGGGCCAAACTACACTCAATCATAGGACTACTGAAGAGATTAGTCTTCAGTAATGACTTAAAGGTCAAGACCAAGTCTGCATCTCTCACATGGATAGGCAGACCATTCTATAAAAATGCAGCTCTATAAGAGAACGCACTGCCTCCAGCTGTTTGCTTTGGAATTGTAGGGACAATAAGGAGGCCTGCGTCTTGTGACCGTAGCGTACGTGTAGGTATGTACTGCAGGACCAAATCAGAGAGATAGGTAGGAACAAGTCCATGTAATGCTTTGTAGGTTAGCAGTAAAACCTTGAAATCAGCCCTAGCCTTAACAGGAAGCCAGTGGAGTAATATGATAATTTTTTGGGATCTAGTCAAGATTCTAGCAGACGTATTTAGCTCTAACTTAAGTTTATTTAGTGCTTTATCCGGGTAGCCGGAGAGTAGATCATTGCAGTAGTCTAATCTAGAATTGACAAAAGCATGGATTAGCTTTTCTGCATCATTTTTGGACAAAACGTGTGTTACATAGATGGAAAAAAGCTGCCCTTTAAATATTATTGATAGTGCTTTATCCGGGTAGCCGGAGAGTAGATAATTGCAGTAGTCTAATCTAGAATTGACAAAATATAGTGAAAACAATTGTGGTCCTAAAACGGAACCTTGAGGAACACCGAAACGTACAATTGATTTGTCAGAGGACAAACCATCCACAGACACAAACTGATAAGATCTAAACCAGGCAAGAACTTGTCCGTGTAGACCAATTAGGGTTTCCAATCTCTCAAAAAGAAGGTGGTGATCGATGGTGTCAAATGCGACAATAAGGTCTAGGGGCACGAGGACAGATGCAGAGCCTTGGTCTGACGCCATTAAAAGGTAATTTACCACCTTCACGAGTGCAGTGTCAGTACTATGATGGGGTCTAAAACCAGACTGGAGTGTTTCATATACATTATTTGTATTTAGGAAGGCAGTGAGTTGATGTGCAAACAGGTTGTATTAACATTTTTGAGAGGAATGGGAGATTCGATATAGACCGTATTATTATTATTATTTTTATATATATACATTATTTTTTTTATAACGTTTTTTATTTATTTCCTGGGTCACCGTTTTTTTGGGTTTTTCAGGAGAGGCTTTATTACTGCCACTTTTAGTGAGTTTGGTACACATCCAGTGGATAGGGAGCCATTTATTATGTTCAACATAGGAGGGCCAAGCACAGGAAGTAGCTCTTTCAGTAGTTTAGTTGGAATAGGGTCCAGTAGGCAGCTGGAAGGTTTAGAGGCCATGACTATTTTCGTGAATGTGTTGAGATAGTGTTAAAAACTTGGAGTGTCTCCGTTGATCTTAGGTCCTGGCATTTCTGTGCAGACTCAGGACAACTGAGTTTTGGAGAAATACGTGAATTCAAAGAGGAGTCCGTAATTTGCTTTCTAATGATCATGATCTTTTTGTAGAAATTCATGAATTCATCACTGCTGAAGTGAAGGACATCCTCTCTTGGGAATGCTGCTTTTTAGTTAGCTTTGCGACAGTATCAAACATATATTTTGGATAGTAGGCTGATCGAGCAGCAGTGAGGACTCTTCGATATTGCACGGTACTGTGTTTCCAAGCTAGTCGGAAGACTTCCAGTTTGATGGAGCACCATTTCTGTTCCAATTTTCTCTAAGCTTGCTTCAGGGCTCGGGTGTTCTCTATATTGCAGGGAGCTAATTTCTTGTGACATGTTATTTGTTTTTCGAGGTGCGAATGCATCTAGGGTATTACACAAGGTTAAATACCTCTTTAAGGAATACCTGGGATAGGATAAAGTAATCCTTCTACCCCCCCCTAAAAAAAAATAAAAAAAATTTGTAAAGTGGTTATCCCACTGGCTATAGGGTGAATGCACCAATTTGTAAGTCGCTCTGGATAAGAGCGTCTGCTAAATGACGTAAATGTAAAATGTAAATGTAGATCCTCTGTTAGGTGGTTAACTGATTTTTGTTCTCCGTCTTCCTTGGGTCGGTGGAAGGCGTCTGGAAGGGCATCTATCAATCTTTGGGTTGTCCGAGAATTAATAGCGCAGCTTTTGGTAATCGTTGGTTGGGGTCTGAGCAGATTATTTGTTGTGATTGCAAATGTAATAAGATGGTGGTCCGATAGTCCAGGATTATGAGGGAAAACATTTAGATCCACAATATTTATTCCAAGGGACAAAACTAGATCCAGGGTATGACTATGGGAATGCGTAGGTCCGGAGACATGTTGGACAAAACCCACTGAGTCGATGATGGCTCTGAAAGCCTTTTGGAGTGGGTCTGTGGACTTTTCCATGGGAATATTGAAGTCACCCAAAATTTGAATATTATCTGCCATGACTACAAGGTCCGATAGGAATTCAGGGAACTCAGTGAGGAACGCTGTATACGGCCCAGGAGGCCTGTAAACAGTAGCTATAAAAGGTGATTGAGTAGGCTGCATAGATTTCATGACTAGAAGCCCAAAAGACAAACGTAGGCATTTATATATATATATATATTTGTTTTTTACATTTGCTGTCCTAAATGTTAGCAACACCTCCGCTTTTGCGGGATGCACAGGGGATATGGTCACTAGTGTAATCTGGAGGAGAGGCCTCATTTAACAAAGTCAATTTATCAGGCTTGAGCCATGTTTCAGTCAGGCCAATCACATCAAGGTTATGATCATTGATTAGGTCATTGACTATGACTGCCTTGGAAGTGAGGGATCTAACATTAAGTAGTCATATTTTGAGATGTGAGATATTATCACAATCTCTTTCAATAATGACAGGAATGGCGGAGGTCTTTATTCCAGTGAGATTGCTATAGCGAACACCACCATGTTTAGTTTTGCCCGACCTAGATCAAGGCACAGACACGGTCTCAATGGGGATAGCTGAGCTGACTACACTGACTGTGCTAACAGCCTGCTGCCTGGCCTGCACCCTATCTCCTTGTGGAGTTAGAGCCCTGTCTATGTTGATCGATAAGATGAGCGCACCCCTCCAGCTTGGATGGAGTCCGTCACTCCTCCGCAGGCCTGGCTTGGTCCTGTTTGTGGGGGAGTCCCAGAAAGAGGGCCAGTTATCTACAAATTCTCTGTTGGGAGGGGCAGAAAACTGTTTTCAACCAGCGATTGAGTTGTGCGAGTCTGCTGTAGAGCTCATCACTCCCCCTAACTGGGAGGGGCCCAGAGACAATTACTCAATGCCAACAGATCTTTCTAGCTGTTACATGCTGAAGTTATGTTGCGCTTGGGGACCTCTGACTGTTTCATCCTAACATCATTGGTGCCGACGTGGATAACAATATCCCTATACCATCTACATTCGCCAGTTTTAGCCTCAGCCAGCACCATCTTCAGATTAGCCTTTACGTCGGTAGCCCTGCCCCCTGGTAAACAGTGTATGATCGCTGGATGATTCTTTTTAAAGTCTAATATTGCGGGTAATGGAGTTGCCAATGACTAGGGTTTTCAATTTGTCAGAACCAATGGTGGGATGCTTCGGCAGCTCAGACCCCGTAATGTGTGGAGGAGAGACCTGAGAAGGCTCTGGCTCGGACTCCGACCCGTAGCTTAGTGGGGAAACCTGGTTGAAAGTTTCTATCGGCTGAATGAGTGACACCGGTTGAGCATGCTGAAAGCATTTCTTTCCAGAAGCCCTGAGAAAATTGTCCGGCTGTGCAGGGGCATTAACACTATTACCTGTATTTACTGATGGCACAGATGCTGTATCATCCTTTCCTACACTTTAATTGCCCTCACCTAACGATTGCATTTAATGCCGAGCTTGCAACTCGGCTATCCTCACCAAAAGGCGATAGTTCTTCTGTATATTAATAGGGCACCTATTGGTAGATGGGTAAAAATAAATAAAAAAATAGACATTGAATATCCCTTTGATCATGGGGAAGTTATTAATTACACTTTGGATGGTCACTACAGTGATACAGGCGTCTTTCCTAACTGTTGAAGGAGAGAATAAGAGAACCTCCTCCCAGCTGCCCACTGCACTGAGGCTAGGAAACACTATCACCACCGATAAATCTACAATAATTGAGAATTTCAACAAGCATTTTGCTACGGCTGGCCATGCTTTCCACCTGGCTACCACTACCCCGGCCACCAGCTCTGCACCCTCCGCTGCAACTTGTAACGTCTGAGATCCCCAGAGATTGGAAAGCTGCCGCGGTCATCCCCCTCTTCAAAGGGGGTGACACTCTAGATCCAAACTGTTACAGACCTATATCCATCCTCACCTGCCTTTCAAACGTTTTTGAAAGCCAAGTTAACAAACCGATCACCGACCATTTAGAATCCCACCGTACCTTCTCCGCTATGCAATCCGGTTTCCGAGCTGGTCATGGGTGCACCTCAGCCACGCTCAAGGTCCTAAACGATATTATAACCGCAATCGATAATAGACAGTACTGTGCAGCCGTCTTCATCAACCTGGCCAAGGCTTTCGACTCTGTCAACCACCGCATTCTTATTGGCAGACTAAATAGCCTTGGTTTCTCAAATGACTGCCTCGCCTTGTTCACCAACTACTTCTCAGATAGAGTTCAATGTGTCAAATCGGAGGGCCTGTTCTCTGGACCTATGGCAGTCTCTATGGGGGTGCCACAGGGTTCAATTCTTGGGCTGACTCTTTTCTCTGTGTACAGTGAGGGGGAAAAAGTATTTGATCCCCTGCTGATTTTGTATGTTTGCCCACTGACAAAGAAATGATCAGTCTATAATTTTAATGGTAGGTTTATTTGAACAGTGAGAGACAGAATAACAACAACAAAATCCAGAAAAACGCATGTCAAAAATGTTATAAATTGATTTGCATTTTAATGAGGGAAATAAGTATTTGACCCCCTCTCAATCAGAAAGATTTCTGGCTCCCAGGTGTCTTTTATACAGGTAACGAGCTGAGATTAGAAGCACACTCTTAAAGGGAGTGCTCCTAATCTCAGTTTGTTACCTGTATAAAAGACACCTGTCCACAGAAGCAATCAATCAATCAGATTCCAAACTCTCCACCATGGCCAAGACCAAAGAGCTCTCCAAGGATGTCAGGGACAAGATTGTAGACCTACACAAGGCTAATGGGCTACAAGACCATCGCCAAGCAGCTTGGTGAGAAGGTGACAACAGTTGGTGCGATTATTCGCAAATGGAAGAAACACAAAATAACTGTCAATCTCTCTCGGCCTGGGGCTCCATGCAAGATCTCACCTCGTGGAATTACAATGATCATGAGAACGGTGAGGAATCAGTCCAGAACTACACAGGAGGATCTTGTCAATGATCTCAAGGCAGCTGGGACCATAGTCACCAAGAAAACAATTGGTAACACACTACGCCGTGAAGGACTGAAATCCTGCAGCGCCCGCAAGGTCCCCCTGCTCAAGAAAGCACATATACATGTCTGAAGTTTGCCAATGAACATCTGAATGATTCAGAGGAGAACTGGGTGAAAGTGTTGTGGTCAGATGAGACCAAAATGGAGCTCTTTGGCATCAAGTCAACTCGCCGTGTTTGGAGGAGGAAGAATGCTGCCTATGACCCCAAGAACACCATCCCCACCGTCAAACATGGAGGTGGAAACATTATGCTCTGGGGGTGTTTTTCTGCTAAGGGGACAGGACAACTTCACCGCATCAAAGGGACGATGGTCGGGGCCATGTACCTTCAAATCTTGGGTGAGAACCTCCTTCCCTCAGCCAGGGCATTGAAAATGGGTCATGGATGGGTATTCCAGCATGACAAGACCCAAAACACACAGCCAAGGCAACAAAGGAGTGGCTCAAGAAGAAGCACATTAAGGTCCTGGAGTGGCCTAGCCAGTCTCCAGACCTTAATCCCATAGAAAATCTGTGGAGGGAGCTGGAGGTTCGAGTTGCCAAACGTCAGCCTTGAAACCTTAATGACTTGGAGAAGATCTGCAAAGAGGAGTGGGACAAAATCCCTCCTGAGATGTGTGCAAACCTGGTGGCCAACTACAAAAAACATCTGACCTCTGATTGCCAACAAGGGTTTTGCCACCAAGTACTAAGTCATGTTTTGCAGAGGGGTCAAATACTTATTTCCCTCATTAAAATGCAAATCAATTTATAACATTTTTGACATGCGTTTTTCTGGATTTTTTTGTTGTTATTCTGTCTCTCACTGTTCAAATAAACCTACCATTAAAATTATAGACTGATCATTTCTTTGTCAGTGGGCAAACATACAAAATCAGCAGGGGATCAAATACTTCTTTCCCTCACTGTATATCAATGATGTCGCTCTTGCTGCTGGTGACTCTCAGATCCACCTCTACGCAGACGACACCATTTTGTATACATCTGGCCCTTCATTGGACACTGTGTTAACAAACCTCCAAACGAGCTTCAATGCCATACAACACTCCTTCCGTAGCCTCCAACTGCTCTTAAACACTAGTAAAACTAAATGCATGCTCTTCAATCGAACGCTGCTGGCACCCGCCCACCCGACTAGAATCACTACTTTCGGCGGGTCTGACCTAGAGTATGTGGACAACTACAAATACCTAGGTGTCTGGTTAGACTGTAAACTCTCCTTCCAGACTCACATTAAGCATCTCCAATCCAAAGTTAAATCTAGAATCGGCTTCCTATTTCGCAACAAAGCCTCCTTCACTCATGCTGCCAAACATGCCCTCGTTAAACTGACTATTCTACCGATCCTTGACTTCGGCAATGTCATTTACAAAATAGCCTCCAACACTCTTCTCAGCAAATTGGATGTAGTCTATCACAGTGCCATCCGTTTTGTCACCAAAGCCCCATATACTACCCACCACTGTGACCTGTACGCTCTTTTTGGCTGGTCCTCACTACATATTTGTCGCCAAACCCACTGGCTCCAGGTCATCTATAAATCACTGCTAGGCAAATCCCCGCCTTATCTTAGCTCATTGGTCACCATAGCAACACCCACCCGTAGTATGCGCTCCAGCAGGTATATCTCACTGGTCATCCCCAAAGCCAACACCTCCTTTGGCCGCCATTCCTTCCAGTTCTCTGCTGCCAATGACTGGAACGAACTGCAAAAATCTCTGAAGCTGGAGACTCTTATCTCCCTCACTAACTTTAAGCATCAGTTGTCAGAGCACCTTACCGATCACTGCACCTGTACACAGCCCATCTGAAATTAGCCCACCCAACTACCTCATCCCCATATTGTTATTTATTTTGCTAATTTGCACCCCAGTATCTCTATTTGCACATCATCTCTTGCACGTCTATCATTCCAGTGTTAATACTAAATTGTAATTATTTTGCACTATGGCCTATTTATTGCCTTACCTTCATAACTTGCTACATTTGCACACACTGTATATATATTTTCTGTTGTATTTTTGACTTTATGTTTTGTTTACCCCATATGTAACTCTGTGTTGTTGTTTTTTATCGCACTGCTTTGCTTTATCTTGGCCAGGTCGCAGTTGTAAATGAGAACTTGTTCTCAACTGGTTTACCTGGTTAAATAAAGGTGAAATAAAATAAAAATAAAAAGAGGAAGGATTAATGGCTGTGATAGGAGAAATTGAGGATGGTCTCAATTGGTAGAGCATGGCGCTTGTAACGCCAGGGTAGTGGGTTCGATCCCCGGGACCACCCATACGTAAAAATGTATGCACACATGACTGTAAGTCACTTTGTATAAAAGCGTCTGCTAAATGGCTTATTATTATTATTATTATTATTTATCAACAACATTGTCGTTACTCCACAATGCTAACCTAATTGACAGTGAAAAGAAGGAAGCCTGTAAAGAATACAAATATTCTAAAACAAGCATCCTGTTTGGAACAAGGTACACTGCAAAAAATGTGGCAAAGCAATAAACATTTTGTCCTGAATACAAAGTGTTACGTTTGGGGCAAATGCAACACATCACTGAATACCACTCTCCATATTTTCAAGCATAGTGGTGGCTGCATCATGTTATGGGTATGCTTGTAATTGTTAAGGGCTGGGGAGTTTTTCAGAATAAAAAAGAAAGGTAATGGAGCAAAGCACAGGCAAAATCCTAGAGGAGACCTGGTTCAGGCTGCTTTCCACCAGACACTGGGAGATAAATTCACCTTTCAGCAGGGCGATAACCTAAAACACAAGGCCAAATCTACATTGGAGTTGCTTAACAAAAAGACAGTAAATGTTCCTGAGTTGCCGCATTACAGTTTTGACTTAAACTTACTTATATCTATGGCAAGACCTGAAAAAGGTTGTCTAGCAATGATCAACAACCAATTAGACAGCTTGAAGAATTTTGAAAATAATATTGGTCAAGTGTTGCACAATCCAGGTGTGGAGAGCTCTTAGACTTACCCAGAAAGACTCACTGCTGTAATCGCTGCCAAAGGTGGTTCTAACGTGTATTAACTCAGGAGTGTGAATACTACTGTAAATTAGATATTTCTGTATTTAATTTTCAATAAATGTGGAAACAGTTCTAAAAACATGTTTTCACTTTGTGATTATGGGGTATTGTGTGTAGATGGTGAGATTATTTTACAATTATTACTCAGGCTGTAACACAACAAAATGTTAAATAAGTCAAGGGGTATTAATACTTTCTGAAGGCACTGTAGGTAATTAATCAATGACATGTTGAGATGAGTAGCTGTAGCACAGGTTTTAGAGCCAGTCAACTGAAAAAAGCCTCTGTCAATCAATATTATTCCATTTACATTCTCCAAGCCTTCCAACTAGCAAGTGTATATACATGTTGTTTTCAGAACATGTTGGTTGCTGTGTGTGTTTACGAACAACTAAATGGTCAAACCGAAACTTTCCCAATGATGTCAGGATGATGTCTTCCTCTTTCCACAATAACGTCGTAAAATGTTGGCATCTCCACGCCATACATCTACCACCTCATCCTGGGGTGCTGCTAGCCAATGATGAGCCAGAGAAAATAAAGAGAACTAGACAGACTTGCCAAATATTTATTACCATCTGAGAGCACTTTATTACTTCTCTTGTATTCCTCTCTGTTTTCATACTGACATCTGTTTTCTTGGCTCTACATCTCACTGATGCAGAGGGAAGGAACGTGCTCTCAAATATCTAACTAGTTTCCTCTTCTTCTCTCTCTTTCCTTCCATCTCCATCCAGATAACCACCACATTCCCCAAGGACCCCCAGTACACATTCTGCTCCACACAACGCTTCCCCATTGAGAACAGAGACATCCTGGGAGAGACACAGGTACACATTATCACACACCATTCAGCTCCACACAACGCTTCCCCATTGAGAACAGAGACATCCTGGGAGAGACTTGCTCAGTAACACACCCACAATAACAACTAAAAGGGTTCTATTTTGTTTGCTTCAGTGGCCAAATGGTGACCTACATACTTCTCTCTGTCTCAGAGCTTTCAGAAGGCTCTGTCATTTCTTTCCTGACATATAACCCTCTTTGGCAACAGCCATCATTTCTGCTATGTTTCAACCTGACCTGATCACATATGGGTGTCTGCCAGTGAAAATGAATGCTCATGTTTAGAGTCCCTGGGCTATGGGGGGGTTATAGGAGTTATTAATCTTGATCATATTCCATGTTTTCCCCTTTCCTTATGTGTGTCCGTGTGTAACAGGATTTCCACAGTTTAGCTACGTACCTGTCCCAGTGCACCTCCGCTGTATTCCTGGACATTGTGTCAGACTTTCACCTACTCATCTTTCTGGTCACCAACGAGGTCATGCCTCTCAGAGTAAGTACTGTAATGCTACACTCTCTTTCACACACAAACACTCTCATACAGATTTGCTCACACACACACAAACAAAACACGTTCAAGCAAAATGTTTTGGTTTGTTGTCACGCTACAAAAGGTTCTGATTATCACCACGTTTGTCCAATGTGGAAGTGGTTATGGTTTTTCCTGAGAATATCTTTGTTGATTGCGGTTAGATACATTACACGCTTTACATAATCACGCTTCACCATCTGGCAGTCCGAAAAACAAATCTGGGTTTGGCGGATGCCAGGAGAACGCTACCTACCCCAATGCATAGTGCCAACTGTAAAGTTTGGTGGAGGAGGAATAATGGTCTGGGGCTGTTTTTCATGGTTCAGCCTCCTTAGTTCCAGTGAAGGGAAATCTTAACGCTACAGCATACAATGACATTCTAGACGATCCTGTGCTTCCAACTTTGTGGCAAGAGTTTGGGGGAGGCACTTTCCTGTTTCAGCATGACAATGCCCCCGTGCACAAAGCGAGGTCCATACAGCAAGTCCCTGCAGCAATGTTCCAACATCTAGTGGAAAGCATTCCCAGAAGAGTGGAAGGTTATAGCAGAAAAGGGGGGACCAACTTCATGTTAATGCCCATGATTTTGGAATGAGATGTTCGACGAGCAGGTGTCCACATACTTTTGGTCATGTAGTGTACCTTTACGTACTTTTACCTAAAAATTGCCTTTTGACTTATTCCAAATTTTTGTTGTTACAACCTGAATACAGAATGGATTACAAATCTTTTTTGCTCACCCATCTACACACGATACCCGCTAATGACAAATTGAAAACATGTTTTTAGAATTGTTTTGCTAATTTATTGAATATGAAATACAGACATATCTAACTCACGTAAGTATTCAAACCCTTGAGTCAATACATGTTCGATTCACCTTTCGCAGTGATTACAGCTGTGAGTCTTTCTGCATAAGTCTCTTAAGAGCTTTGCACACCTGGATTGTACAATATTTGCACATTATTATTTTTAAAATTCTTCAAGCTCTGTCAAGTTGGTTGTTGATCATTGCTAGACAGCCATTTTCAAGTCTTTACATATATTTTCAAGCCTATTTAAGTCAACTGTAATTCATGTTCAACACTTTTATTGCACGCAGAGTGAGTCCATGCAACTTATTATGTGACTTGTTAAGCACATTTTTACTCCTGAACTTTAGGCTTGCCATAACAAAGGGGTTGAATACTTTTCATTTGTTATTAATTTGTAAAACATTTGTAAAAACATATTTCCACTTTGACATTATGGGGTATTGTGTGTAGGCCAGTGACACACAATCTCTATATAATCCATTTTAAATTCAGGCTTTAACACAACGAAATGTGGAGAAAGTCAAGGGGTGTGAATACTTTCTTAAGGCGCACTGGACAGTCATGGTCAAACGTTTTGAGAATGACACAAGTATTGGTCTTCACAAAGTTTGCTGCTTCAATGTTATGAGATTTTTGTCAGATGTTACAATGGTATACTGAAGTATAATTACAAGCAAATTACATTAAATTTATGCAAAGAGTCAATATTTACAGTGTTGACCCTTCTTTTTCAAGACTTCTGCAGTCCGCCCTGGCATGCTGTCAATTAACTTCTGGGCCACATCCTGACTGATGGCAGCCCATTCTTGCATAATCAATGCTTGGAGTTTGTCAGAATTTGTGGGTTTTTGTTTGTCCACCCGCCTCTTGAGGATCGACCACAAGTTCTCAATGGGATTAAGGTCTGGGGAGTTTCCTGGCCATGGACCCAAAATGTCGATGTTTTGTTCCCCGAGCCACTTATGGCAAGGTGCTCCATCATGCTGGAAAAGGCATTGGTCGTCACCAAACTGTTCTTGGATGGTTGGGAGAAGTTGCTCTCTGAGGATGTCTTGGTACCATTCTTTATTCATGGCTGTGTTCTTAGGCAAAATTGTGAGTGAGCCCACTCCTTTGGCTGAGAAGCAACCCCACACATGAATGGTTTCAGGATGCTTTACTGTTGGCATGACACAGGACTGATGGTAGCGCTCACCTTGTCTTCTCTGGACAAGGTGTTTTCCGGATGCCCCAAACAATCGGAAAGGGGATTCATCAGAGAAATGACTTTACCCCAGTCCTCAGCAGTCCAATCCCTGTACCTTTTGCAGAATATCAGTCTGTCCCTGATGTTTTTCCTGGAGAGAAGTGGCTTCTTTGCTGCCCTTCTTGACACCAGGCCATCCTCCAAAAGTCTTCGCTTAACTGTGCGTGCAGATGCACTCACACCTGCCTGCTGCCATTCCTGAGCAAGCTCTGCACTGGTGGTGCCCCGATCCCACAGCTGAATCAACTTTAGGAGACGGTCCTGGCGCTTGCTGGACTTTCTTGGGTGCCCTGACGCCTTCTTCACAACAATTGAACCTCTCTCCTTGAAGTTCTTGATGATCCGATAAATGGTTGATTTAGGTGAAATCTTACTTGCAGCAATATATTTGCCTGTGAAGCCCTTTTTGTGCAAAGCAATGATGACTGCACGTGTTTCCTTGCAGGTAACCATGGTTAACAGAGGAAGAACAAAGATTTCAAGCACCACCCTCCTTTTAAAGCTTCCAGTCTGTTATTCTAACTCAATCAGCATGACAGAGTGATCTCCAGCCTTGTCCTCGTCAACACTCTCACCTGTGTTAAGTTCATTTTCATGGCAAAGAGGGACTTTGTAATAAATTGCAATTCATCTGATCACGCTTCATTACATTCTGGAGTATATGTAAATTGCCATCATCAACACTGAGGCAGCAGACATTGTGAAAATTAGTATTTGTGTCATTCTCAAAACTTTTGACCACGACTGTATGTTGTGTAACAGGGTTATAATGATCTGTTCACAGGACAGCATTGGTCTGCTGCTGGACGCAGTGAAGACAAAAGACGAGGAGCTGGCTCAGACCTGGAAGAAGTCTGAGCAGTGGGCCACCATCGAGCAGCTGTGCAGTAAGTACCACTGGACATCAAGGAGGGCGCTGACATGCCTTAGTTGAAATTATTACATTTCTATTGCTGTTGGGAAGTTTTTGGTTGGATTTTAAAGTGATGGATGAGTTGATCTTGTCTTGCGTTCAATTCAGTAGACCTTTATTGACCAAAAATACCAATTTGGATGCAGCTCATTACATGCATCATTCCTACATACAAAAATAAGTCTGAAAAGTCATCCCTGGTAAGAGTCACTGCTCTGTTGTCCTTAACCTCTGACCGCTCTCTCTTCTCTCCTCAGGCACGGTGGGTGGGCAGTCATCGGGCCCTCAGGAGTTCGGGGCCGTGGGCGGGGGCCCCTCTACCCCAGCGTCGTCCTCAGCCATGTGGTCTTGCCTCCACTGCACCTTCATGAACCAGCCAGGCACAGAGCTCTGTGAGATGTGCAGCCTGCCGAGGGGTTAAACCCCATCCCTCCTGTGGCCCCCTGCCCTGCTTCCCAAACCCCTCCTTTACCACCCTGTGTCCAGCCCTGCCCACCTCCCCGTCTCCTTACGCACCAATGACATCATTGCACCGGGATTGGAAGCTGCAAGCAGCTGTGTGATTGGATGTCTCCTCCTCTTGGCCCTCTGTTCCTCTGTTCCTCACTTCTCAGACTGCTAAGGGGATGATGAGCGTAAAATGATGGCACTCGTTTACACAATCCAATTATGTAACAAAGGATGACTGTGTGCTCTCAATCCTTTCTCTATCTCCGCCGTAGCCCCTGACTGAGACCGGCTGGGACATGTTTAGGTAAAAGCACTTTGGCAACAAGTCTTCTTCCCTATTTCTCCCCATGGCCCCTGATATTCCTCCATGACCTGGCTCCAAAAAACGTTGCTGTGCTTCAGGACAACGGCAAAAGAAAGACTGTTGAATTTGGATGTTATCTCTCACTCACACCGACCAGTGCCCCCCCCCCTCGCTGTCACAACTTATTCTGGAAAATCTGTTGTGTAAATAATATACATTATTTGAGGAATGATTGATGCTGTTTATTTAATTACACATGAAGCATTTTGTTTTCCTGATTGTAGCTACAGTATATATCTGGACTTTTGAATCAGTTTGGGTCAGTTTTGCTCAGTCAGATGCTACAGTTCTTGTAGAACTCACCCTCCCTTACAGTTCAACAGTTATCAGACAGTGATAAGATCTCTCGATTGGCCCAAGCTTAGAGACGTTAAATGTATCTATCATACAGTCTCATAAATCTAACCTCTTTATTTAGTGTTTTCAATTGCAGGAGTGATATTTGTTCTCGGTTGCTCAGGCTCTTCCCCTTGGTTGATGCCCTGCCCTCAGGAGTACTTTTGGGGAGATGGTTATATTTTTCATTTGAATTGGAACTGGCGTACATGCTCAGTATTTGTTAAATCTCCAGTTGAAGCTTATACTGTATAGTACACCATGCCTGTTTTGATGGCTGCTTTGAGATGCTTGCTTACTTACTGGGTTAGCGACCTACACACACTCTCGCTCTCTTGCTCTCTCGCGCTCTCTACCTACACTGGCGCCAGTCCAGAGGGGCCAGAGAATATCTCCTCTGACGGGCTCCTATGGATCTCATCACTCTGCCTTCAAAGACTCCATAGGTCACAGGTCAACATAGTGGGAGAGAAAGATGCCTTCCAGCAGGCCAATGTGCTGTGCACCTGGGATAGAGAGAGGAAGAAAGATGGTCAGGGAGGGAAAAGGACATTGCGAAGAGGGGGGGAGAGGGCAGGCAGTGTTGAAGAGCTTTGGGTGTGTTTGCTTTTGTTAAAAACAACCAATATTTCCCTCCACACTAAAAGCTGTACAACTGAACTCATTCCATCAGTAGTAATTTGATGTCAAATAACTGATGTCCACTGCACAATCAATTCAGTAGGGAATGTTTACCCTTCTCATGCCCCCTTTTTGAGATCCAGGTTACAGTGATCCAGGTACACTATAATGTCTGAATATGAATGGGTAAGCAGGTATCATTGACCTTCCAGACGAGCACTTATTCCACAAGAGCTCTGTGTCATCACTGGGGGGGTTGTGTTACTTCACATGTATCGCTGATTCAATGTATTCAGCTTTATATGCTTGAAATAAAGTGTGCAAGCCTTTACACTGCTATTTTGATGGCATTCAACTAAGTCGTTGGTTTGAGGTTTCTTTTTGGTTTGATTTTACTCTAATTTGACACTGTAGAAGTCAGATTTAGTCCAACAGATACCTCAACTTTTTCCAGCCTTGAAGTATTTCCTGAAGAGGGGCTTGATTCAAAATACGTAGCGAGCGTCCAAGAGGTTGGGCCTGTGACTTGAATTTTTATCCAATTTGGGGCTGCTATCAGGAAATTGGTATTTTCAGTTAAAAGGAGAGGGGAGGCGGTCATGGCTTTCAAATTATGCTATTTATAAAGCTGTGCTTTTTTTGTATGAGCTTGGGAGTCATTTTCATTGAAGTGAGTATATTAGATTAATTTGAGAATGCGTTAAGGTTATTTTGCCTGTTTCCATCCCTTTCCCTCTGTGAGTTCTTGCGAAAGATGATCTGCTGATGCCATGCTAAAGTATTGACGAACAGAACATAACATATGTCCTAGCTCTGGTCCAGGGGGATTATGTGTGGCTTGTTGATGAAGTCGCACGTAACGCCCTGGACCAGAGCTACATAAGTCCCAACTTCCCACTCAGAGCTGAAGAATGGGACCCTGAAAGAAAGTTGTATGATGGGGTACACTTGGATTTAAATTTTCAATATCAAAAATGCCAGTAAAACAATAAAAATAATTCCTATCAATGGATTGGCGTATTATTTTGTTGGTTCGTCCTAAAGAAAACCGACATGGTTTCTTCATAACTGTACTTTAAGGCTGATTTTGCCCTCTTAGTGACGTGGTTAAGGTTGGGGCCTATTTGAAAGGCCATATGGTGCGTGGCCTCAGAATGCATGTGTACATACGTGCATCTTCAAACAGTGTACATTTTGAAGCAGGCCATGGAAGAACTGGGACATTTTCAGCTTCCAGGAATTGTGTACAGATCCTTGAGGCATGGGGCCATGCATTATCATGCTGAAACATGAGGTGATGGCAGTGAATGAATGGCATGACAATGGGCCTCAGGATCTCGTCACGGTATCTCTGCATTCAAATTGCCATCGATGAAATAAAATTGTGTTTGTTGTTCGTAGCTTGTGCTTGCCCATACCATAACCCCACCGCCACTATGGGGCACCCTGTTCACAATGTTGACATCAGTAAACCGCTCACCCACACAACGCCACATAACCTTGGTCTCTGCGGTTGTAATAATAATAATGGCCGTTTAGCAGACTTTTATACGCCATCGTAATGCTGCATACATTTTTTTTTTTTGTTATGGTGGTCCGGAACCCACTACTTGGCGTTACAGGCGTTCCGCTGAGCTACAAGAGACCACTTGGTTGCCTTTCCTGTGTCGAGACTATGCCAATTCCTGCAAACACTCTCAAAACTTGGCATATTGTGGCATAGTGTTGTGTGACAAAACTGCACATTTGAGTGGCCTTTTATCGTGCGCAGGATGCACCTTGGTTATGATCATGCTGTTTAATCAGCTTCTTGATATGCCACACCTGTCAAGTGGATGGATTATCTTGGCAAAGGTAATGCTCACTAACAGGGATGTAAACACATTTGTGCACACAATTGGAGAGAAATAAGCTTTTTGTGCATATGGAAAATGTATTGGATTTTTTATTTCAGCTCATGAAACATGGGACCAAGACTTTACATGTTGCATTTATATTTTTGTTCAGTGTAGCTTTGGTTTTACTTTGTTTTCAAATGCACAATTTCAAATGGATATGATTTTAGCCATAAAGTCAAGATAACGTCTTAATATGATAAAATAGCCATAAAAATAACATAAGTGTAATGTCCCTGCTTCATCTGCTTCCAATTCAATCCACTAGTCTGTGACACAATGTACTCTATCGTTACTGCTGGCGTGCTGTCTTGATCATTCAGTTTTATGAGGGATCGGTGCACGTTATGGAGCAGTCATTTATAGGTGAGGGTTATCGACTTTGGACAGATGGAAACACTAGTCTCAACAGGACCCAGGTGGGAAGCTGATGAAGCACAGGCAGGATCGTGTTCACCAGGCACCAAATGGAATAAAACTGACAAACAGGGCGGGACTACGTGAACTTGACCAATAAGATGCGCTAGTCTTTGCAAAATGATTTGCTACGGTGTGCACTATTGAACACGACCCAGGAATGTCCATGAAGAGGTGTGCTCTCACATGTGTATGTGAAGTTTATCTCCCCTGGACACATGGGACACAGATGAAGCCCAGGAAGGAATGTCCAGGAAGAGAAGAGGTGAACTCAGCCTCACAAACACTAGTGAGATATTTATATATGGTACTACTGGTCTATGGGACTAAACTTAAGACCCACAGGGAACCCAGTTTAGCTAACCTTGGCTACTATCGTACAACGAGTACTCCTCCACTCCTGTCTGGATAACGACGCTCACTCACTCTTACTGTCATGCGCCATTTGTAGTCCTCTTGTGAGATAAATTACCATTTATGTCACATGCATTTCACATAGAGGTCACAACATGGGGTCAAGCATGACAGAGCAAGGAAGAGAATGCTGGGGTTAACCATTCTACTAATGAATTCCAACCCAGCCCCTACACATTCATGTAGATCTGAAAGGAATGTACAGATACTGGATAAGTATTATGATAAATGGACAATCATAATAGTGATACATGATGCATGATGTGGGTGTGTTTTTTCTTAGGGGAGTGGAGACATGGAGGACACACCCTTCTCTTGGCGAGACCGCAGTGTGAGGGAGGGGACATATTGATATATAAGCAGGTCCCTCTGTTGGCGCTCTACAAACTTGCACTGCTGTGGGATTATTATCAAACACTGTGACATATTCAGGACAGAGTTTTTGAGTACGAGCAGGTACATATTCTATGTCTTCTTATGTATTCTCAGCAAACACACAAAAAATTATTGTTGAAACATACTGTGAGAAAATAATCAGGTTATTAGACATTCAGTGGAAGATGATAGAATGGATGTCTGCAGAGCAAGTTAAACTGTCATAATTATATCAGTTCAGGTATAATGTATTATTCTATTAATGATGCTAAGTCTTTGGGCGGCTGGTAGCTTAGTGGAGAGAGCGTGTGCAGTAACCCAAAGGTCGCTGGTCTAATCCCGAGGCACTAGGCTGAAATCTTGTCGATGTGCCTGACAAGGCATACCCTAATTGCTTTCATTAAGGTCGCTCTGGATAAAGCCCGCTAAATGACTAAAATGTAATGTAAATGTTATATTCTGACTAGGATGGACTGCAGTGGCTTTGCTGAGCTGTGACTCTGTGCCAGCGCAGAAGTAGGAAGAGAATGAACAGACTCAAATGGATAGGACAGAGGGTTGAGTGGTGCTGTTTTTCATTTCAGAATCAGAATCACCTTTATTCGCATTTACAAGTACATTTACAGGTACCAGGAATTTGACCTGTTCAATTGGTGCTGACCACAATAAACAGAATATACAGACAGGATATATAGATGAAGAATTTACACACAATCCACATACACTACCAGTCAAAAGTTTGGACACACCTACTCATTCAAGGGTTTTTCTTTATTTTTACTATTTTTTACATTGTAGAATAATAGCGAAGACGTCAAAACTATAACACATGGAATCATGTAGTAACCAAAAAAGTGTTAAACAAATCAAAATATATTTAATATTTGAGATTCTTCAAATAGCCACCCTTTACCTTGATGACAGCTTTGCACACTCTTAGCATTCTCTCAACCAGCTTCATGAGGTAGTCATCTGGAATGCATTTCAATTAACAGGTGTGCCTTGTTAAAAGTCCATTTGTGGTATTTCTTTCCTTCTTAATGCGTTTGAGCCAATCAGTTGTGTTGTGACAAGGTAGGGGGGTATAAAGAAGATAGCCCTATTTGGTAAAAGACCAAATTATATTATGGCAAGAACAGCTCAAATAAGCAAAGAGAAACGACAGTGCATCGTTACTTTAAGACATGAAGGTCAGTTAATATGGAACATTTCAAGAACTTTGAAAGTTTCTTCAAGTGCAGTCGCAAAAACCATCAAGCGCTATGATGAAACTGGCTTTCATGAGGACCACCACAGGAATGGAAGACCCAGAGTTACCTCTGCTGCAGAGGATAAGTTCATTAGAGTTACCAGCCTCAGAAATTGCAGCCCAAATAAAAAGTCACAGACACATCTCAACATCAACTGTTCAGAGGGGACTGTGTAAATCAGGCCTTCATGGTTGAATTGCTGCAAAGAAACCACTACTAAAGGACACCAATAAGAAGAAGAGACCTGCTTGGTCCAAGAAACACGAGCAATTGACATTAGACCGGTGGAAATGTGTCCTTTGGTCTGGAGTCCAAATTGGAGATTTTTGGTTCCAACCGGCGTCTTTGTGAGACGCGGTGTGGGTGAACGGATGATCTCCGCATGTGTATTTCCCACCGTAAAGCATAGAGGAGGAGGTTGTTATGGTATGGGGGTGCTTTGCTGGTCACTCTGTCTGTGATTAATATAGAATTCAAGGCACACTTAACCAGCATGGCTACCACAGCATTCTGCAGCGATACGCAATCCCATCTGGTTTGGGCTTAGTGGGACGATCATTTGTTTTTCAACAGGACAATGACCCAACACACCTCCAGGCTGTGTAAGTGCTATTTTAACAAGAAGGAGAGTGATGGAGTGCTGCATCAGATGACCTGGCCTCCACAAACACCTGACCTCAACCCAATTGAGATGGTTTGGGATGAGTCGGACGGCAGAGTGAAGGAAAAGCAGCCAACAAGTGCTCAGCATATGTGGGAACTCCTTCAAGATGGTTGGAAAAGCATTCCAGGTGAAGCTGGTTGAGAGAATGCCAAGAGTGTGCAAAGCTGTCATCAAGGCAAATGGTGGATATTTGAAGAATCTCAAATATAAAATATGTTTTAATTTGTTTAACACTTTTTTGGTTACTACGTGATTCCATATGTGTTATTTCATAGTTTTGATGTCTTCATTATTATTCTACAATGTAGAAAATAGTAAAAATAAAGAAAAACCCTTGAATGAGTAGGGTGTGTCCAAACTTTTGACTGGTATTGTATAGTATATAGATACAGCAAAAACAGAGCAATCACACATTCTGGTTGGCCCCTCTTAGGAGGTGAATCATCCTCAGCAGTCACAATTTGCTCTTTCTCTCTTATTATTGCATTCCTTTGTTGCTAACGTATTCTTTATACATGATAAGGACAGGGTAGACAGGAATCAGCACAGGGATTTTGAAGAATTGTTAGAAGTAGAACTAAGTACAAAACACTATAAAGAAAACATTAACAACTTCCCTTGTTCATGCCACTGCAGCAGAGAAGGTAAACACCAGAGTCTGTGCCAACCTCACCCTAGTGTTGGACAACTGGAAGTTTGCCATCATGACCCAAGTCAAAGACCTTCTTCTCAACGACCACAGCACTGTGCTGCCTGATTACGGGAGGTGGGTAGAATCCTGTGTAGATATGTTTAGTAGGTTTTTAGATCAGAAGTTCATTGGTGAGCTCAGACAATGAACATACTGTATGATTTGATAAATAGAAAGGTAAGATACAGTGAAGTATCTATTACATAGCCCATTACTTTGGACATGTAACTTTAGCTTTAGTGTTTGTCAGTCAGATCCCTTTGCTATAACAGACACAATAAGACTCTATAAAAATAACTTGTTTTTGAACTTTAATGGACTATACTTTTCTTTTTTCCTCATGACACTTTTTTTCTCCTCACCCCGCACAATCACTCCCTTCCTCCAGGATCCCTCCTCTATCAGATGCCTTAGGAGACCTCTACAAGGAATTCAATGCCCTGAAGGAGCGCCTGGGGGAGCTGACCACCAAGTTTGAGGGCGTCGAGGCCTTCGTGGACGACGTGAGGGCAGGAAGAAGCCCCACCCAGAGCAGAGCAGAGCCCCACCCACTGACGCCAGAGGAGGAGAGCCAGAGCACCATGCTGACCGGAACTGGAGAGGGAACCGGTACCGGCTCCGGTATTAGACCACAGGGACGTAGGAACCGGGTGGTGGTCCGGAGAGTCAAGATACCTGCTAATGGTGCCCAGGTCTAAGGGGTTGGACTGTGACCACAAACATCCATTCACTCTCCACCTAAAACTCAGTGGTGAAAATAACAATCTCATTCCCTCCAAGCACTCAAGAATTGTAAAAACAACAATGAGTTGTAAAAATGTAATGCTTTCCCCTTTCCGTCAATGGACTCAAATTGTGGGAGACAAGTTGTAAATATTATTTAGCTATTTCTCATTTTTACACAACATTTTACTGAGAATGTGAACCTGTGGAGGAATCTGATAACCTTTTTGTTGATAGGTGGCGCCACAGTGTGTCCAATGACTATGTCCCAAGTTTGTGGCTTGCTTCAATAGGGTTTCCTGTGAGGACTTGATTGATGATTTTATATTTTACAGTACAATTATTTGTCATTTGTTGTTTTTATCTGATTATTGTCTTATTGTACTATTGTATTGGCCTATCATCACAGTTTCACATCTGCATATGAATGATATTATTGATATAATTACTTTGAATCTGTAAATTATATTATCAATCATTAGCCTATTGAGCTATTCGCCAAAGGATGGAGTTACCCCTAGGCACAGATCTGGAATCAGCATTTTACCTGAGAATAGTCATAGGCCTACATGTATTAGGGGTGTCAAGCATATCCTAGATCAGCTGCTTATTGCAGACCTAATAAAGGTATTCTGGTTTAGTTACGGTTTAATGAATGTTAAATAATAAACAAAATAAACAGAAAAAGCGCTTTAATTCATGCGTGTAAATCATAGTGGGCGTGACTGTGAATATGTTTAGGTTTCTATTTTGGAAAAAAACACATGCTCAGTTGTTAAGAAATGAAACCGAAAGCCAAAGAATAAGGGACTGTCATACAGTGACCTACCCGCTCTAAACGAAGATAACTTTACGTTCGTAGCTAACACATGTCCAGTTAAAAATGTAAGATATTTTCGCGAAGATCCCTCGAGTTAAGAAAAGGGTGGAGTTTACGAATGTTGTTGGCAAGTGAGTGTTAGAAGGTATTGGCAAATGTGTCCTACTGTAGTGGCTGTATTGACGCGACAGACGGTTCTGACAGATGCCTGAATAGTATTGTAGCAGAGAACACAATTGTCAGGTAAGGAAGTGCCGCCTGTTTTCTCACACCTTGTTGTAGTTGTAGGCTGTGATGTTACCGTTTATTAGAAATATTCAATAAAATGTTTTGTCTATAAAGAGACGGTCAATTGTTAGACGAGTTAAATAAGCATGTATCTAGTACATCTTTAGAGGGAAATACAATGTATATTTTTAATGACATAGTAAATAAGTAAGTAAGCAAGCAATTTCTCAGGAAATAACTCCCATACTCATAATTGGGAGATGAATAGTTAAAAACGGAGATATCGAGGAAACAGAAGCTTGGCAACTCCCATCTGACAAACTGATTGAGGAAGTAATCTTACTGCAGCTATAGATGGGGCAGGGCAGCAACGCCAGGCATTTGTATTACTTATTTTCCCTATCTGGATTGGCTGGCTGTATCAAAACGAGCATCTGGCGCAGTTGTTGTTGTTTTGCCTGTTCCCTGTAATGTCATACACGTCAGTAAGTTTGTTTCTGAAGTAGTTAGATAATGCTTCCATTAGAACATGTAATTTGTGTTATCTCCATCTGTAGTGAGAGATGAAGAGAGTGTCGTTAACGTGAAGGTCCAAACCTACCAGAGAGGATACACAACACACAGAGCAATATATCCCGGGCCTGGTGGGTGGGCCAGCAGCTCTGCCAGATGGAGCTTGGTTCAGGTGACAGTAGTCCCCAAGGAGACCATGGGTCCATGTCCCAGCAGTGCCCTGGATCTAGGGTGCCAACAGGGATGCAGCTGCACAGCATAAAGGACCAAACTGCTGAGAAGGCCACTGTCACCAAGAGACCCCAGACAGAGGGACAGCAGCAGCAGGTGACCACCAATTTTTACATTTACCAGATGCTGTTTTCCAGAGCAACTTACAGTAGTGAGTGGACACATTTATGTACTTTTTCCCGTGCTGGTCCCCCATGGGAATTGAACCCACAACGTTGCAAGCGTCATGCTCTACCAACTGAGCCACACGGGACCCCGTGTGCTTATGCCTTTCACTGTATAATCATTAACAATGAAACAATTTGTGTAACAGTACATATCTTTTCGATTAAAAGATAAACTGACATACCTAATCATTGTCATGGCTCATTGTTGACTTTCTTTTAATCAACAGGGCCAAGAAAAGTCCCCCAGGAGAGATCAGGATATGAAAAAGAAGAAGACAAGGAGAGGTAACAGAAGAAAAAAGAAAGAAATGAAAAATCAAGTTGACAGGGATCCTCAGAGTACACTGGGAAAGGAGGAGATGGAGACCCAAACCGACCAGGTGTGTCAAACCATGGAAACACAGACACAAGAACACAACCAAGACCAACACCAAGCTGAAACCAGTCAACAACAGTTTCAACAGGACCAGTTCATGCATCAGACAAATGATACAAAACAAACGCATGTCAAGGATGCTAAGAGAGTTCAGGCCCAGACTCAAACAAATCAACCTAATGGCAAGAACCAGGCAACTCAGACCCCTATAGTTGTTCAGAACACACAGCAGACACAGACAGAACCCTCTGATTCCACTCAGCCAATAAATCAGCAAACTCAGAACAGCGATGGAGCAGGCAGTGAAGGAGCAGCATCAGAACCACCTAAGGGGGAGAATCCAAACTCCACCGAAGGGGTAAAGAGTAAGCCCGAATCAGAGAAAGGGGTACAACATTCAGGAGAAAGCTCAGGGAGTCCCGCAGCCTGCCAGGTAGAAAGGGGAGTCAAATCAACCACCAAGTCTTATGCTGAAGCTGCAGCGGAAAATAAAAAGACTGAGAAGGGGTCGATGGAGCCGAGTCCTCAGACTTCAGATCAAGGCAAAAAGGATTCCAAGAGTAGAGGAAGTCGGTAAGCTGGCAATAGGTTTATGGCATGCTGTTATTGTTTAAAAAAAATATATATATATACACTACCAGTCAAAGGTTTGGACACACCTACTCATTCAAGGGTTTTTCTTTATTTCTATATTGTAGAATAAGACATCAAAACTATGAAATAAAACGTATAATAACACTTTTTTTGGTTAGTACATGATTCCATATGTGTTATTTCATAGTTTTGATGTCTTCACTATTATTGTAGAAAATAGTAAAAATAAAGAAAAACCCTTGAATGAGTAGGTGTTCTAAAAATGTTGACCCGGTAGAGTGTGTGTGTGTGTGTGTGTATATATACAGTGGGGAGAACAAGTATTTGATACACTGCCGATTTTGCAGGTTTTCCTACTTACAAAGCATGTAGAGGTCTGTAATTTTTATCATAGGTACACTTCAACTGTGAGAGGCGGATTCTAAAACAAAAATCCAGAAAATCCCATTGTATGATTTTTAAGTAATTAATTTGCATTTTATTGTTACCTGTATAAAAGACACCTGTCCACACACTCAATCAAACAGACTCCAACCTCTCCACAATGGCCAAGACCAGAGAGCTGTGTAAGGACATCAGGGATAAAATTGTAGACCTGCACAAGGCTGGGATGGGCTACAGGACAATAGGCAAGCAGCTTGGTGAGAAGGCAACAATTGTTGGCGCAATTATTAGAAAATGGAAGAAGTTCAAGATGACGGTCAATCACCCTCGGTCTGTGGCTCCATGCAAGATCTCACCTCGTGGGGCATCAATGATCATAAGGAAGGTGAGGGATCAGCCCAGAACTACACGGCAGGACCTGGTCAATGACCTGAAGAGAGCTGGGACCACAGTCTCAAAGAAAACCATTAGTAACACACTACGCCGTCATGGATTAAAATCCTGCAGCGCACGCAAGGTCCCCCTGCTCAAGCCAGCGCATGTCCAGGCCCGTCTGAAGTTTGCCAATGACCATCTGGATGATCCAGAGGAGGAATGGGAGAAGGTCATGTGGTCTGATGAGACAAAAATAGAGCTTTTTGGTCTGAACTCCACTCGCCGTGTTTGGAGGAAGAAGAAGGATGAGTACAACCCCAAGAACACCATCCCAACCGTGAAGCATGGAGGTGGAAACATCATTCTTTGGGGATGCTTTTCTGCAAAGGGGACAGGACGACTGCACCATATTGAGGGGAGGATGGATGGGGCCATGTATCGCGAGATCTTGGCCAACAACCTCCTTCCCTCAGTAAGAGCATTGAAGATGGGTCGTGGCTGAGTCTTCCAGCATGACAACGACCCGAAACACACAGCCAGGGCAACTAAGGAGTGGCTCCGTAAGAAGCATCTCAAGGTCCTGGAGTGGCCTAGCCAGTCTCCAGACCTGAACCCAATAGAAAATCTTTGGAGGGAGCTGAAAGTCCGTATTGCCCAGCGACAGCCCCGAAACCTGAAGGATCTGGAGAAGGTCTGTATGGAGGAGTGGGCCAAAATCCCTGCTGCAGTGTGTGCAAACCTGGTCAAGACCTACAGGAAACGTATGATCTCTGTAATTGCAAACAAAGGTTTCTGTACCAAATATTAAGTTCTGCTTTTCTGATGTATCAAATACTTATGTCATGCAATAAAATGCAAATTAATTACTTAAAAATCATACAATGGGATTTTCTGGATTTTTGTTTTAGATTCCGTCTCTCACAGTTGAAGTGTACCTATGATAAAAATTAAAGACCTATACATGCTTTGTAAGTAGGAAAACCTGCAATATCGGCAGTGTATCAAATACTTGTTCTCCCCACTGTATATATATATTATATAATAAAAATCAACAAAAATATTTTCCTCTTCAAAACAATGAGTAACATAACTACTTCTTCTGTATTACAAAAAAAAAAAAAATACATCTGTGTTGTTTTATACTCTCAACTTCAACAGAGAGCGGTCCCCAGTAAGGTGTCCTCCTGGGGTTCCTAAGTTCACCTTTCATATCTACACTGTGCTGGACAAGAAGTTCAGGTTTAACCGAGAATATGACACACTGTTGTTGCACCACGGAAATGGATATATGTCCTTGAAAATTGAACATTTCATGTGAGTGTGCATAATGTTCTGATTGGGTCTGATACAAAGCTACAAACAACCACATACTGTATATATGAAATACAATACAAGCATATTAAATAATGCATATTTCTATGTTTAGGGACTGTCAAAAAGGCTATCTAATAGAAGCAAGTCTCTCAGTAGCAGAAAGCTTCATGACCAGGGGACACATTTTGACTTACCAATATGGTGTGCAGCAACGGCAGAAACAGAGTGTGGAGATCGCCACAAGGCATATTGAAATTCCATACGATCCACAAGTAATAGGTAAGAACTAGTGTGTCCTACATGCATTTAGTGATGAACTTATACCAATCAATGTACTACTGTATTTAATTTTCATGTCTTTTTTAGAGCTATCAGAGTTAATCAGTTAACTCGAGTTAACTTTTAGTAGCTTTCAGGGCTCCTTTTTTTTTGTGATTAATCGCATTGTCTGAAAGCGTTCATAATACACTGAAAACAAAATACATAATATTTTTGGGATGTTAAGATAACAGCTAAAAACAACAATACCATGTCAAAACAAGTTAACATTGAGGTTAAAGAAGTGTGATTTATCAATTTACCAAATTTTACTAACCATTACTTTTGACAAAATCAAGACTTCAATTTGAGCAAATTCTTAAATCATATATATTTTTTTTATATCGTTTGACAGGTCTACTGTTTTTTTTACTATGTAACCTCACTACCTGTAATGTCATTTTTCTATCCAGAGTTGCACCTTTATGAAGGTCACATTAATACGATGGAGGGGTGGTCTCTCCAAGGCTGGCTCAAAAGTTGGACTAAAACAAAGGGGATGGAGATTTCAGAAGCCTGGAAAACATCTGCTAATGTCTTGCTGGACAGAGTCTTCCAAAAATGGCTTCCATCCAAGAACGAGAGCACCCAGCACTTAGTCAAGAACTTAAAACATCTTCTCCAGAGTTTCAGCTCAGCTGCCCAGCGGGTACTCTACCCAGACAATTCAACACCCCCCCCGATCAAGGTTGGTATAGCAACAATGTTTGACATTTTTTATAAAAAAATCGATGACTGTAGGAGACAGTAAATCTGGGTAGATGCTGTATTCACCACAGTTTTCTCTACTCTTTCTGCACAGGCTTCAGAGTTGATTTCTGAGCGTTTGCTGCAGCTCATGCATGCTGAGTCCCAGGGAACGTCACAAAAGGGCAACCCTCTTCTGCTGGGCTTGTCTGTGTTCATGGTCTGCACAGCTTGTGGAATAGATCTTGGAGTGAAAGGCTGGGCAGAGCTTTGTCGTCTGGTGTCCTCGAGCACTGCGTTGGACAACAAAAGCATTGAGGGATTGCGGATGATCTCACAGCCCCGCAATAGTAAGCATGCACATTAGGATTCATTTTGTTTTGTACTTGTACTAACCCTAACCTAACCCTTGAAGAAAATATCAAAATGATAATCACATATGTACACTTATTTTAACACTGCAACCGTTTATGTGTTCCCTTTCAGTACTGTGGTTGGTCTGATGAACCACCTTGCGCAGAAGGTGGTCTCAGAGCTTCCCCTGCTCATTCCTCTACTGCACACGCTCAGACAGCCGGGAGCAGACGCTGGCAGCCTTGGTCCTACTATAGAGGAGGAGAACTGGGCAGGGCTTGAACATGTTCAGTTCAACAACTTCAGAGAGAGGATCAGAAGCTTTTCTGACAAAAGAAGGTTTGTCCAATTATCCCTCAAAGTGTCTCAAAACTCTATTTGAGTGGTCCACAATGTGCTTTTTAAATCTGTATTTTGTATTGTGAATAATTGTATCATTGTGGAGTAAAACTTAAATAAATTAAATGTAAATAACAAAAATGTTACTCTTTCTAACTCTGCATATACAGTTGAAGTCAGAAGTTTACATACACTTAGGTTAGAGTCATTAAAACTCGTTTTTCAACCACTCCACAAATTTCTTGTTAACAAACTATAGTTTTGGCAAGTCGGTTAGGACATCTATTTTGTGCATGACACAAGTCATTTTTCCAACAATTGTTTATAGACAGATTATTTCACTTATAATTTACTGTATCACAATTCCAGTGGGTCAGAAGTGTACATACACTAAGTTGACTCTGCCTTTAAACAGCTTGGAAAATTCCAGAAAATGATGTCATGGCTTTAGAAGCTTCTGACAGGCTAATTGACATCATTTGAGTCAATTGGAGGTGTACCTGTGGATGTATTTCAAGGCCTACCTTCAAACTCAGTGCCTCTTTGCTAAACATCATGGGAAAATCAAAAGAAATCAGCCAAGACCTCAGAAAAAAAATTTTAGACCTCCACAAGTCTGGTTCATCCTTGGGAGCAATTTCCAAATGCCTGAAGGTACCACGTTCATCTGTACAAACAATAGTACGGAAGTATAAACACCATGGGACCACGCAGCCGTCATACTGCTCAGGAAGGAGATGCGTTCTGTCTCCTAGAGATGAACGTACTTTGGTGCGAAAAGTGCAAATCAATCCCAGAACAACAGCAAAGGACCTTGTGAAGATGCTGGAGGAAACCGGTACAAAAGTATCTATATCCACAGTAAAATGAGACCTATATCGACATAATCTGAATGGCAGCTCAGCAAGGAAGAAGCCACTGCTCCCAAACCACCATAAAAAAGCCAGACTACGGTTTGCAAACTGCACAACGACAAAGATCGTACTTTTTGGAGAAACTGTCCTCTGGTCTGATGAAACAAAAATAGAACTGTTTGGCCATAATGACCATCATTATGTTTGGAGGAAAAAGGGGATGCTTGCAAGCCGAAGAACACCATCCCAACCGTGAAGCACGGGGGTGGCAGCATCATACTGTGGGGGTGCTTTGCTACAGGAGGGACTGGTGCACTTCACAAAATAGATGGCATCATGAGGAAGGAAAATTATGTGGATATATTGAAGCAACATTTCAAGACATCAGTCAGGAAGTTAAAGTTTGGTCGCAAATGGGTCTTCCAAATGGACAATGACCCCAAGCATACTTCCAAAGTCTTGGCTGATTTATTTTGATTTTCCCATGATGTCAAGCAAAGAGGCACTGAGTTTGAAGGTAGGCCTTGAAATACATCCACAGGTACACCTCCAATTGACTCAAATGATGTCAATTCACCTATCAGAAGCTTCTAAAGCCATGACATAATTTTCTGGAATTTCCCAAGCTGTTTAAAGGCACAGTCAACTTAGTGTATGTAAACTTCTGACCCACTGGAATTGTGATACGGTGAATTATAAGTGAAATAATCTGTCTGTAAACAATTGTTAGAAAAATGACTTGTGTTATGCACAAAGTAGATGTCCTAACCGACTTGCCAAAACTATAGTTTGTTAACAAGAAATTTGTGGAGTGGTTGAAAAACGAGTTTTAATGACTCCTACCTAAGTGTATGTAAACTTCCGACTTCAACTGTATTCAATTAGACTATTATTCCAGTTAGTTCACATTTCGGCTTTTACCTCAGGAGAAAGACATTACAGTACATTGACCTCAAATATGCATAACATCGATGACACTTTCCTCTTTGCAGTATAATGCTCACTTTGATCCAGAATCACATTTCTGTGGCTAAAGAGATGCCTCTGGTTTGGACCAGCTGGCTGTCCCTGGTGGCCTCTGAGGACCTTCCAGCATTCTCCACCCTGACGGGCATACCTCCAGAACACCTGATCCAGAGCCTGCTGTACAGGCTTCGACAGTATGGGGAGAATACTGATAACAACAAAACACAACAAAATGTAGAGGTAAGTTATGGATGATTAATGTCTGATAAGATTACTCAGTTAAAGAGTAGTGCTATTGTGGTGGATCTTTAAATATTCATTTGTGACATTTTTATTTCAACTTCCAGGTTACTCAAAAGATCCTGTGCTTTGTACTGGAGAAAGTTGAAGAAGAGAAGGAAAGGTATTGGAATTTGAGATCTGTGAGCGTGAGTCCTTTGAGTGTTATATTATTCTGCTATTGTATGTGTGGTTTTTGTTTATAGGCTAGCAAATTCTGGATTTGTGGACTCCATCCTCTTGAGTTGCATCAATGTTCTGAAGAGCACTTGCCGGATGGCGCGACTTGTCCCGTTCTACAAGGCGGCAGTGCTATCCTTCCAACTAGTGCTGAAAGTAGCTGACATTCTGGATGCTGCACTTGCAAACGAGGTAATTATCTTTCCTATAATTTCAATATGGTAATTGCTGTTGTTCTTTGAGCTCTAATAGTACACCTAATGTTGTGTGTGTTCCTCCCCAGACTCCGGATGGTGAGGAGAGGAGACCTGAGCAGTCCCAGCTCTATGAAAAGCTTGGCCATGTGCAGCAACATCTCAGCAAGTGGAGAGACAATCTTCTCCACAATGCTCTTCTGAAACAAGGAGCTCAGTCCAAATCACTCAGCTACCCCAAAGAAATAGAGGTACTATAGCCAAACTAGCAGACGTACAAGACCTTAGCAGACAATATTTGTTCCCAGACATTCACACAGTTTTCTGTTAATTATAAACATGTTTGTATGTGTATGTTCACCTTGTGTTGGTAGATGTGGGATGCCTTCCTGAGGGTAGAATGCTCGCTGCAGAGTGTGTCAGCCCAGTGGAGGTCCAGCCTGGACAGAGACCTGAGGAAGAGGATCTCTAGGGTGAGTGTATGGGCCTACGGACCAGGTCACACATTCAGGAAACCTAGGAGAGGTTTGAGATTTGAGAGTAGCTGGACAAAATGGTCATATTCAGTCAGACACAGATCAAACCTAGTCCGGGACTAAGGAGACAATTCAATGGACATTCTTTATTGAGAATTATTTTTAGTCTAGGATTAGGCTTAATCTGTCAGGGAAACCGGCCGGGTCATTCCTACTGTGCGGTGCCTTTTCTGTCCCCAAATCACTTCTTATTTAAGTAAAATGTGGATTCCAAAAGGCTTTAAATATAAGGTCAGGTGTCCTTTACTTTAAAAACTATGGATCTTGAAAGGGAATTTTATGCATTTTGAAAAGTTTTTTCAGTAGATGTAGGCATTTTTGCCATGTCCCCGGGTGTTATTTGTCAACTTCTAGGATAATTATAAGCCGTCAAATAATACAATGTTTTAAATCTTTCATTATTTTAGAGTTGTGGACTTGAGTCACATGACTTGGACTGGAGTCACAAATTTGAGGACTTGGATCCTCAAGACTCAGGACACGACTTTGACTTGAAACTGATGACTTGAAATGATCTGGCCAGGTTTTGTAATGTTTTGGCACTCATTTTGTGGCACAGAGTCTACGTGGATGACTCTCCACGCAGCCAGAGACAGTAGCCGCAGCATCTCCCTTGCAAAAAAACCTGCAACAGATTGGCTAGTGAAATGCACACTCGGCATCAGCAAACTGTCAATCAACACAGGTCGGATGGTGAGCTAGCGAACAGATTGCTAATTTGCAGTACAGCAATAGGATCGGGTGCAGCGCAAACATGAAATTATAGGAAGAGAGGATTGCCATAATGAATAAATATGCAGCTCCAAAAATGGTTTGGTGATCAAGAATATGAACTGTTTACTTTGCAAGCTCATCAGCAATGGGGCAACAATTACTAGCATAGGCCTACTGGTATTTTGGTATGTAACAATTGCATGAAATGTATCATTTACTTATGAAGCTTGCATTTGGAATTTGTTTCAAATGAAATATTACTGTTGCGACGACGCACCACAGGAGTGGCTCTTCACTTGCGCTCTCCAAACTCCCGCCAGTGGAGAGTGCTTTTTTTCTCCTATTGAAATGTTTGCTCTCGCTTTCACACGTTTAAATGCATAAGCCCTATGTGGTAAATCTATATTCCATCTAATAATACAAGAATTGCTAGCGTTTCATCATTCCATCCCCGTACTGTTTATTGCACCACGTAGACATTTCTGTTTCATGTTTGATAGGCCTACGATACACATATACTTGGACTTGACTCGAGTCTTGACCCGATCTACTTGGGACTCGACTTGAGACTCGGATCTTGTGACTTGAGACTTGGATCTTGTGACTTGAGACTTGCTTGTGACTCGAATAATAGTGACTTGGTCCCACCTCTGCTATTTTATAGTCCTAGTTAAAATCTCTGTAATCAAAAACTTTTATTTTTCATGATTATTGTATTTTTTATTGCTGTATTTAACATTTTCTGTGTCCCTGATAACACTTTCCACCCAATTTGTAGTAATTCTCCTTCAGAAAACAGCCCCTTCCCACAATGACATCACATTCTGGATGTGTCATCATTTGTTTGGTGGGAAAACAATGGTGCAAAGCTAAATACATATAAACACTCAGTTTTATTTATTTTTTCATGTTTCATGATGATAATCTGTCTCACTAATACATTTCCACGCTGTTAGACTAAATTATACAGAAAATGTATCAAATTTCAAAATTTTAAAATATATTTAATATAGAAGTTAAAACCCTCTTCACGTGTTTACCATTATTCTAGCGTAATCTCAATCACCCACAGAGCTATGGATAATTCAGACTCCAAATTTCCACCATATTATCCACCCTGTTAGGATTATGCAATAACAAAGGGATTATGCACCTAAAACGGATTACATTTTCTGATCTTGACCAATATGTTATTCTGAAAGTTACGAGGTCCAAAAGGCACCACATAGTATGAATGACCCAGCCCTATATCTCCCTGAGGTCAATCATTTTCTCTTTGCTCCACAGGAAAGTGATAAGGACAAGGTGGTGGTGTGCTGCCTTGAGATATCCGTGGAGGCTATAGGGAAGAGCCATGCCACCATACAGACCTGCTTTCAGGAACTGTGTCACTCTGCCATCAAGAACATCTGTCAGGTTAGTGGCGTCCATCTTAACAAGCTGACAGGAAGACGGTCAGAATTATCATTACATTTACATTGACATTTACGAGCGACTTACAAATTGGTGCATTCACCTTATAGCCAGTGGGATAACCACTTTACAATATGTTTTTTAATTTTTTTCTTTGGGGGGGGGGGGGGGGGGGGGGGGTAGAAGGATTACTTTATCCTATCCCAGGTATTCCTTAAAGAGGTGGGGTTTCAGGTGTCTCCGGAAAGTGGTGAGTGACTCCGCTGTCCTGGCGTTGTGAGGGAGCTTGTTCCACCATTGGGGTGCCAGAGCAGCAAACAGTTTTGACTGGGCTGAGCGGGAACTGTGCTTCCGCAGAGGTAGGGGGGCCAGCAGGCCAGAGGTGGATGAACGCAATGCCCTCGTTTGGGTGTAGGGACTGATCAGAGCCTGAAGGTATGGAGGTGCCGTTCCCCTCACAGCTCCGTAGGCAAGCACCATGGTCTTGTAGCAGATGCGAGCTTCAACTGGAAGCCAGTGGAGTGTGCGGAGGAGCGGGGTGACGTGAGAGAACTTGGGAAGGTTGAACACCAGATGGGCTGCGGCATTCTGGATGAGTTGTAGGGGTTTAATGGCACAGGCAGGGAGCCCAGCCAACAGCGAGTTGCAGTAATCCAGACGGGAGATGACAAGTGACTGGATTAGGACCTGTGCCGCTTCCTGTGTAAGGCAGGGTCGTACTCTCCGAATGTTGTAGAGCATGAACCTACAGGATCGGGTCACCGCCTTGATGTTAGCGGAGAACGACAGGGTGTTGTCCAGGGTCACGCCAAGGCTCTTCGCACTCTGGGAGGAGGACACAACGGAGTTGTCAACCGTGATGGCGAGATCATGGAACGGGCAGTCCTTCCCCGGGAGGAAGAGCAGCTCCGTCTTGCTGAGGTTCAGCTTGAGGTGGTGATCCGTCATCCACACTGATATGTCTGCCAGACATGCAGAGATGCGATTCGCCACCTGGTTATCAGAAGGGGGAAAGGAGAAGATTAGTTGTGTGTCGTCTGCGTAGCAATGATAGGAGAGGCCATGTGAGGATATGACAGAGCCAAGTGACTTGGTGTATAGCGAGAATAGGAGAGGGCCTAGAACTGAGCCCTGGGGGACACCAGTGGTGAGAGCACGTGGTGCGGAGACAGATTCTCGCCACGCCACTTGGTAGGAGCGACCGGTCAGGTAGGACGCAATCCAAGAGTGAGCCGCGCCGGAGATGCCCAACTCGGAGAGGGTGGAGAGGAGGATCTGATGGTTCACAGTATCAAAGGCAGCAGACAGGTCTAGAAGGACAAGAGCAGAGGAGAGAGAGTTAGCTTTAGCAGTGCGGAGAGCCTCCGTGACACAGAGAAGAGCAGTCTCAGTTGAATGACCAGTCTTGAAACCTGACTGGTTTGGATCAAGAAGGTCATTCTGAGAGAGATAGCAAGAGAGTTGGCTAAAGACGGCACGCTCAAGAGTTTTGGAGAGAAAAGAAAGAAGGGATACTGGTCTGTAGTTGTTGACATCAGAGGGATCGAGTGTTGGTTTTTTGAGAAGGGGTGCAACTAGTGAATGAGTGAGCCTTTCAGTGAGTGAGTGAGAATGAGTGAGTGAGTGAGGGGAGGAATTGAGTGAGCGAGTGAGTGAGTGAGTGAGTGAATGAGTGTGAACATGATCGTGATTGTTATTGATGAGTTCTTTCTCATTTTCAGGATGGGAAAGAGGGGGACCTTATGCGGATGCTGTCTCCCCTGTCTAAGGTGCCCCCCTCCTCTGTCCTGTCTTCCATCGTGGTTGAGTCAGCGGCCCGGTTTGAGAACGACCCTGTTGGTCACCTGCTGGACCCCCAGTCTGCCCTCAACCACCTCCTGTCTCATGGTACACCAATCACTCAATCAGTCTGAATAGTCATAGTTACAATATGTCCACTAGTGTAATCTTATCTATTGATATGCACCAGAGGTACTGTAGCTTACTAGCTCACCATGGTTTATATATGTTTATTGCTTACATATCTTAAACATTATTGTTTTTGACATGATTATGACAGCCTTATGTAGGCCTTATGATGGAGTGTTCAAGTAAGTTTTACCCTTATTTTTTAGAGATCCTGCATTAAATGTGTATACAGGTATGTGAGGTTTATACTTGAACTATAGCTAACAGGTACCTGACTCTTTTCCAGGGGACTGGAAGGCGTTCCAGGTGGATGCTGCGGCTGGTGATGTGATCGGAGGCTGTCAGAGTGCCCTGGCCTCCCTGGTAGAGGCTCTGTGTCTGGGTCATGTACCTGTGGGACATCTCCAGACCACCCTGAAACACAGAGGGCAGTTCAAACAGATCTACCGCCAGTGTAAGTGCCCTCATATCTCTCAAGACATGGACTTAGATGATGGTAGTGGATTTGCCAAAGTTCAATGTTCTCAACATGTTAAATAACAGCCAACCATAGATTGCTATGGAATAGTTTTTGCAATCTCCCCATGAATGCATTTTATCCTGCTCTTCCACAGATAAGAAGCATGCTAAATTGGAGAATGTTCCTGCTGATGCTGAGGTGATCCTGGCTCAAAGAGAGAAAGACCTCCAGGCATTCAACCAGCGACAAGAGCACGTGGACATGCTCATCAAGATGATGGGAAAGGTCTCAGAGAACATCACAGGTGAGAAACAGAATGTCTCAGCAATAAAATGTAATAAGATACAATATAATGTAATAAGCTATTGTAATAAGCTACAATAAAATGTAAAAAGCTACAATAAAATGTAATAAGCTACAATAGAATGTAATAAGCTACTGTACAGATGCAAAGTCACAGAGATAGGTGCAGTAAGTCATCTCAAAATAAAAAAAGTAATCAGAGAGAGAATGGTTGGCTAAGGTATTCTCTCAGCTATGATGTAGTACAGTATGATTCAACATGTTTATCTCTTTCCATCAGCTCCAGAGATCTCCACTCTGGAAGGCCAACACAGAGCTGACCTCCAAACAGTCAGCCTGAACATGCTGGTGGTGGTCCAGCCCTGCTGTATGAAGCAGGGGGAGGAGCAGCAGACATCCCCAGGGCTGGTTCTATGGTACAGCGCTGACCAGGGGGTTCTGGAGATGGCCAGGGAGATGCACGAGCTGGGTGGTAGTAACCTGCTGCTTCGCTCCTGGGTGGAAGGGTCTTTAGAGGTAGCCAATAAATACCTTACTAGACCTATCCCTGTCCCAATGACCCTCACACAGGTCTGCCAAGTAATCTGGAAACCCCGGTTGAGAGTCTTCTGTGAGCTAGGCCTTAGGATCGCTAGGGCACGTGCCACCTTTGAGGAGATCGACCAGGCACTGAAAGCATCAGGGGACCAGGGAGAGGGGATTCAGATGAGGAGGGAGCTGGTGCTGATGTCTGGGAGGCTGCAGGGGTACCAGGAACTGGAGCAAGGCTGGGTAGAGGTTAGGCTGGGCCAGATCCAGGAGTATCGTCAGGTCCATCAGACAGTAGCCTCGGCCAGTGCAATCCTGAGGATCGCTGAGAGGATGGATCTTAGAGGAGACTTCAGTGAGATCCACAGTCTCACCCAACTGGTAATAAAGCAGTCTCTTTATCATAGAGGTTTCATAATGGTGTTGTTAATATGAAATAATGTTGTTAATGTTTATGATTGCAATTTCTGCCAGAAGGTGTACTGTATACTACATTACCTTGTCTGCTTTTCTCTATTCTATAACAGTTCTATACTTTGTAATTAAGTGTGTCATGTAACATACAGGAGGACGACTCGTTCAAGAGGAGGGTCCTGGGGTCGCTCAGTGATGACCTCATCCGTGCCAAGCAGCAGCTGTCCATGGTCACCCCGCAGCACACTGCATGTCTGGAGATGTTCCTAGAGAGCCATACTCTGGTCAGCTGGGTCCAGGACCAACTCAATAGTAAGACCACTGTCCAACACCACGGTCCAACACCACGGTCCAACACCACTGTCCAGCACCACGATCCAACACCACTGTCCATTTCAGCCATTATGGTTGGCCATTCAGCCATTATGGTTGGCCATTCAGCCATTAAGTTCTAAGTCTCTTCTTTTACTGTTTATTTTCATTCAACAGATATGAGTGACGTGAAAGTGTTTGTGGACCTGGCCTCCATCTCGGCTGGAGAGAATGACACGGAGATCGACCGAGTGGCCTGTTTCCACGATGCGGTGATGGGCTACAGTCCCTTGCTCTACTCTCTCTCCCCCAGCGCTGGGTTTGAGGAGTTCATGACCTCTGCCAAACAGGTGTGGGACACCCTACGAAGAGACGAGAGACTCCCTGCCAAATTGGTGATTATTTCTCTCCATTCTTTGAATTCAATATTAAAGGTATTTTGTCCTGTTTTTGGGGAGACCTAAGGTGACTGTTCTGTAATCATTGGGTGTGTATAGTAACCTGATGATGTTCACACTGAAATACTGGTATGTGTATTCTAGAGGGACTCTAGTCGTTTGCTGGTCTGGCTGAAGGGACTGAGGGAGACCCATGGGTCTGTGGAGCAGTCCTCTCTCTCCCTGGCCTCGGCCATTAATGCACAGGGGGTATACCACGTGGGCTGGTCTGAGACACACACAGACAGGGTGAGTGGAACATCTCAAATGAACACAGATCTGACATCAATCAACAAGGAACCATGAAATACACTTCTTCTTCTTCTTCTTCTTCCTGTTTGTAGAGATGTCTGCAGAGCCTCCTGGTGGTCAGCGTGAGGAAGGACCACGAGGTGAAGAGCTATAGCCTGGAGGAGCTACTGGAGCTGCAGAATAAGCTGATGCTCATGTCATCCAAAGGAGAGCATGGCAAGGAGCAAGTCAACAGGTTCACCCAGGTCAGTTGATTTCAATGATGCCTTTACCATTCAGCCCTACTGTATCACAACAAGAACATAACAATAGCAACATGACTGATTTGTTTGAAAAGTTAATGCAATTTTGTGTTGACATTAAATATTTCAACTCCCTGTCTCTCTAGGTGTTTGAGGGAGTTCAGAGACTGGGCTGCATCCTCCTCCAAATGCAGTCTTCTGGCAACATGCTTTTCCGGGAGTGGCGAGCCCAGGTACAGTGTAGCCAGGAGAAGCAGCCATGCATTTGGGTCACCTTCTCTTCCCTGCGGGGTAAAGAGATGGTGTACAGTGGGGAGGTGACAGAACAGCTCCAGACCCTGTGTCGCTCCATGGAGACCTGCCATAAGGAATGGTGTGCTTTCATCAGCGAGAAACGTTCCCAATTCCACACGCTGAACCACTACACATCTGAGCAGGTGATGTACCTGTGCAGGTGGATCTACAGCGTGTGTGTGAGGCGGGCCTGTGTTCCTCAACAGGTGTGGCACCTGCTGTCTCCCATCAAGGCTGGGTGCACGCTGAATGATGTCAGAGAGGCCTTCGCCACGGTAACAGAGGTGTTGTCAGGGACACAGTCTGGCAATCCAGCAGTGTGGGAAGACGATGATGAAGATGATGCTAGACAGTCTATGGACTTTAGATCAATTGGACACAACGTTGACAAAAGATGGGGGTACAATGACGAAAATATCGATAGCAATGTTGAAGAAGTCGGGGATATGATTAAGTTCTCAGATACTGAGGAAGATGAGGAGATAGAAGAACGCTCATCTATAGCCCAGAGTGATGCAATGGAGGAGGAGGCTGAGGAAGGTCTGGAAGTCCTGTGGAGGCGATTTAAAGAGGACATGCCAAGGTACCTCATACAGCATGTAGACATCACTACTCTGGCTCGCTTCCTCTCCTGCCTCTCAGAAATGAACCAACAGCATATCAAGAGGAAGCTGCCTCCTGCACTCCAAGAAGGGAAGCCCAACCTCGTCCTCTGCCCAGCAACAGAGGTCCTGAGCACCACTCTGTCCTTCTACATGGAGAGCCCAGAGCAGCCTCTGCCATCCACTGATGAAGTTCTGGTCTGCAGAGAGGACACCACAGAGGAACAGGTGGAGATCTTCCTCAGTCGAGCCCTGGGCCGGGGCGATGGTGCCATAGGGAGCCAGCAGAGGATCTACACCCTGGTCAACCCAGGCCTGCTGGGGTACGAAGTCAGTGTGGCCGTTGGGGAGCTATTCGAGGACCTGGAGAGAAGTGCGGGTCCCCATTACCGCCTGGTGATGGCCAGCCCAGTGATGCACCAGCACAGATACGTGCCCTCTTTCTTCAGCAACCACAAAGTACAGGCAGGAGTGGGCATCACTGCAGAGAATGCCAGAAGATATCTCCGTCACCACTTTACTGTTCCGTTCCAACACAACTCTATCTCACACATCTATCCAGACAAACTGTCCGTCTGGGTTGTCTCGTCCGCTCGCCCTGCAGTTGGTAAGGAAAAATACACATTTTATTCAATATTGTATTATCAGTTACTAGAATGTACTTGTGTTATAAAAAGTATTTACCTTATACTATATGATGTTCTTTTATTTTTTGCAATAGGGAAATCTCTTTATGTGGACCGACTGTTTGAGAAGTTCCCGCAGACTTCTACCAAGGCCCAGCATGTTAGGATCAGACTGATAGAGCCACGGGTTGATCTAGACTCATTGATACAGACCCTGTCAGAGAGGCTGGCACCGTTGAGAGAGCAGGACCCTGTTCTGCTTCACATCGACACTGCTGCGGTAGGTCTACAGCTGTCTCTTTTCTGTGTAATGATCGTGTATAAGGATCAAACTGTCACTATTTGTGCACATAAGATCATGGTAATACTTTGCAGAGAATCAATTAAGCCGATTCTGTTGAATTTCAGGTTAATGCCGGTCTAGAAGAGTTCCTGTTCCACTTACTGGTTCTGGGATGTTTGTGTGACAACAAGGGAATGCTTTGGAGAAGAAATGTAGCTCATCTGATAGCGGTTGAGGTTCTGAGACCATACGCAACCCTTCAGAATCAACCACACACTAAGGAGGTAGGACTCACGACTACTTCTATTAATACTACCCAGACCTCTTTTGGAATATCCTTCTTCATATATCTAATGTGGTCTTATTTTTTCCATAGATGAGAGTTGGACTTCTTGACATTCTACCTACCATCCAATGCAGACCACCGAAGGAGGTGAAGAAGTTGTTGTTGGCGAATCAGAGCACTCGGACCAGGAGAACCTTGGACCCATTGATGGACGAGCAGGAGTTTGCCAGTGGAGGTATTCAGAGGCCTTATCAGTTCCTGAAACGATTCAACAGAAATGAGAACCTGGATCCATTTTACCACCGGGAAGGTTCCAGAGAGGGGGATCCTATTGACTGTCTACATCACCTTCTGGCAAACTGTGGATTGAAAGATCCGTCATGGGCTGAGCTCAAAAACTTCACCTGGTTCCTGAATTTGCAGTTGAAAGACTGTGAGAAGTCAGTTTTCTGTGACCCAGACTTCCTTGCTGAACACCTGCGGGGTTTCAAGGGCTTCATAGTGAAGTTCATGATCCGGATGGCAAGGGATTTTGCTTCACCGTCTATGGACACTTCTGACCAGAGTCCCGCTCTGCTCCTTGATGACAACCAAGAAGATGACCTTCTGGCCCGTTTGACCATTCGTAAGCGTTGGGAATGCGAGTCTCATCCATACATTTTCTTCAATGCGGACCGCTTCTCGATGTCATTCCTGGGCTTTCATGTGATGAGAAGTCCTGGCGGAAACACTCTCAATGCAGTTGATCCTCAGAGTCATACAGTGTTGATGGGAGACGTGATGACTCATGAACTTCTACAGGGCCTTCAGCGACAAGGGATCTCACTCACTGAAGACTTTGACGGTTTGCCCAGAGCAGACAAGATCAAGAGGATTTCATGTGTTGTTGGTGCCAAGAAAGGGATGATGAAGGGGACATTTGATCCAGACCCGACCTATGAGCTCACCGCTGATAACGTGATGAAGATGCTAGCCATTCACATGAGGTTCCGTTGTGGAATCCCCGTCATCATCATGGGAGAGACCGGCTGTGGGAAGACCCGATTGGTCCGTTTCCTCTGTGATCTCCAGAGGGAAGACAGAGAGATAGAAAACATGAAGCTGGTCAAAGTGCATGGAGGAACCACAGCTGAGATGATCTACAGAAAGGTGAGGGAGGCAGAGAGACAGGCAGATATAAACCTGAGAACACACAAACTGGACACTGTTTTGTTTTTCGATGAAGCCAACACCACGGAATCCATCTTTGCTATAAAAGAAGTTCTGTGTGACAGAACTGTGCAAGGACGTCCCCTGAAGGTGAACACTGGCCTGAAGATAATCGCTGCCTGCAACCCTTATCGGAGGCACTCTCCTGAAATGGTGGAACGCTTGGAACGTGCTGGGTTGGGATACAGAGTGAAGGCAGGAGAAACAGAAGACCGTCTTGGCAAAGTCCCTTTGAGGCAGCTAGTGTACCGGGTCCATCCACTGCCTCCTAGCATGGCTCCTTTGGTCTGGGACTTTGGCCAGTTGAGCAATTCCACTGAGCTCTCCTACATCAGACAGATTGTCCAGAAGCAAGCCAAGGATCATGATTTGCCTGTTGCTTGTGGTAATGTAATATCAGGTGTGCTGGCAGCCTCTCAAAGTTACATGCGCAATCGAAAGAATGAGTGCAGTTTTGTGAGTCTGAGAGATGTGGAGAGGTCCATGAAGGTGCTAATATGGTTTTACCACCATAGCGATGACCTGTTCCCTGATTCCAACGAACTCACCAGCGTTCAGAGGACTTTGAAGTGCCTGGCACTTGCAGTGGGAGTGTGCTACTACCCATCTCTGGTTTCAAAGTACCAGTACTTATCAGCTATCAGTCGACACTTCCCAGAACCGCTGAACACCCCAGAATCACTGCAGCAGGTGATTTCGTCATGTCAAGACTTCTTCCTCGCGAACATAGAGACGAGGGAGACAGTGGCCAAGAACATAGCGCTTAAAGAGAACGTGTTCCTCATGGTGGTCTGCATTGAGCTCAGGATCCCACTCTTTCTGGTTGGCAAACCAGGGAGCTCCAAGTCTCTGGCCAAGACTGTGGTTGCTGACGCCATGCAGGGCCAAGCATCCCACTGTAGGCTCTTCCAGAAGCTCAAGCAGGTGCACATGGTCTCCTTCCAGTGCAGTCCTCACTCCAGCCCTGAGGGCATCATCGGAACCTTCAGGAACTGTGCCCGATTCCAGAAAGACAAAAACATGGATGAGTATGTGTCGGTGGTGGTGCTGGATGAGATCGGGTTAGCAGAAGACTCCCCACAGATGCCCTTGAAGACCCTTCATCCCCTCTTGGAGGATGGCTGCATTGACAATGACAGGCCAGACCCGCACATGAAGGTTGGGTTTGTTGGGATATCAAACTGGGCTCTGGACCCGGCAAAGATGAACAGGGGGATCTTTGTGTCTCGGTGGGATCCGAGTGAGAATGAGCTGGTGGAAACAGCCAAAGGGATCTGCTCATCCTCCAACCCAATTCTTCTGAAAATCAAACACCTCTTTCCGCTGTTAGCGAAGGCCTTTTTGAAGATTTGTAAAGAGACAGCGAAGAACCAGTTCTTTGGTCTCAGAGACTATTACAGTCTGGTGAAAATGCTTTTTGCCATAGTCAAATTTTCAGAAAAAGAACCAAACGACAGACAGTTGGTGGAAGCCATCTTGCGTAACTTCAGTGGACAACCTGAAGACTTTGATCCTGTCATTTTCTTCCAAGATGTCTCCCAGAACCTCAGAGAAGTTCCCAGACCAAGCACTCTGCAAATGGTTGAACAAAGTCTTGCCCGAGACAACAACCAAGAAAGCCGTTACCTCCTTCTTCTCACCACCAACAACGCAGCCCTCCATATCCTTCAGCAGCAAGTCTTTGCCAAGGCAAACTATGCATCCCCTGAGATTGTGTTTGGCTCAGGCTTTCCCAAGGATCAGGAATATGCCCAGATATGCCGTAACGTGAACCGGGTGAAGACCTGCATGGAAACAGGCCGTACTGTCATCCTTCTGAACCTACAGAATCTCTATGAGAGCCTGTACGATGCCTTGAACCAGTACTACGTCTATCTGAGTGGGCAGCAGTATGTGGATCTGGGACTGGGATCCCACAGGGTAAAGTGTCGTGTCCACAGAGACTTCAGGCTGGTGGTGGTAGAAGACCAGATGAAGGTCTACACACAGTTCCCAGTGCCACTCATCAACAGGCTGGAAAAACACAGGGTGGACAGAAGCACAGACCTGACTCCCTGGCAGCACAGGGTTATGGCCAAACTCAAAGAGTGGGTGCAGGATTTCTCTGGCACTGCGGCGTCAGAAGATTTCCAACTGTCTGATGTTTTTGTTGGTTTCCATGGGGATGCCTGTGCCAGTGCTGTCTTGCAGGCCCTGGAGAGTAGGGAACAGCAGAGGGATCAGGCTGTGGATCAGCAACACAAGGATGAAGGCGATGAGCCTCTGGAGGACGTGGACGCAAATGAGACAGGTGAGCACAGACAGAAAGAAGGGGTTGATCCTTGTGTTATGGATGTGGATGCTGATGACGAAGAGAAGAGGAACATTTCAATGGATAAGACTGAGGATGATGTTCTCATGGAGGTGGTAGATGATCAAGATAGAGAACCGGCATGTACACCTACCAATAGCGAAGTAGATGATGATTACATGGCAATGGATGCAGACAAAGATGATGTGGAGACAGGAAACAGTCAGTCTAAAGGGACAGATGAGGAAGAGAAGGTATTTGAATCAGCCAAGGGTTTCCTGTTGAATTGTGCCACACCTGACTCAGTGCTAAGACTGAAGTATACAGACCTTGGAAATCAGGAGAAAGAGAGACTTCAGCAGATGTACTTTCATCAACAGCATAATCACTCACTAAGGGACTTCATGAAGAGCCACTTGAACAAGTCAGAAAACTCCAGCAAGTTTATTGAAGTAAGTAGAGTAACATATAATTAGTTGTGAACTTGTGAACCCAAATAATACTAGTACAGTTTATAGTACCAGTTTACTTCACCAAAACTGTCTATTCATCCATTTTGTAAGGTCACCACATTCTCCAGTTTGCTTACCAAATATGATGTGCGAGGGTTGGCTTGCGCTCTGGGCCTGCACACCCAAACCTTCCTCCTGCTGTCCCTTCACCAATTTGACACAGAGGTCTCCTTCTGCAGCAAGATACGGTACAACACCACTATATCTTAACACCACAAGTTATACACAAGTTTTTCTCTCTACCTGTTTTCATCACTCTCACATTCTCTCTCCTTGACTGCTTTAGCGGCTTCCTACGAGATTCTGGTCCGTCCCTCCATATTCTGGTCGTTCAGATGGACATTGAGGACTCTCACTGTAGTGACGAGCTGATAGCATCAGCAAAGTACGTTTTTTTTTTTCATCTGATCGTGTTTGAGATGTTGTATTGGTCACAGTGTTAAAGGATCACTATGTTAAACACTGGCCCCTTGTTGAAATTAGGAGAATTGCAACAACACAGCTTGCATTCAACACAACCTTGGACACTTGCCCTTTGCTGGCCCAGGTCAATTTGACAACAAGAGACGGTCCAATAAGAAGGCTGCACCATTGGAATGCAATTTTGTGTGGGCCCCAAAAAATGTGGAGCAATTATTTTTCACACTATCATTCCGCTATTAATGTAGATATATTTATCTGAAATTACAATGCACAAATATTTAATATACTGTAGCTCCTTTAACGAAATTGGCAAATTATAATATTGGTTTAAAACTTAATCTATGTTGTTAAAAATAGTGGGTCAATCCAGTGCTGAAGAGATAGTACACTGCTCAAAAAAATAAAGGGAACTCTTAAACAACACAATGTAACTCCAAGTCAATCACACTTCTGTGAAATCAAACTGTCCACTTAGGAAGCAACACTGATTGACAATAAATGTCACATGCTGTTGTGCAAATGGAATAGACAACAGGTGGAAATTATAGGCAATTAGCAAGACACCCCCAATAAAGGACTGGTTTTGCAGGTGGTGACCACAGACCACTTCTCAGTTCCTATGCTTCCTGGCTGATGTTTTGGTCACTTTTGAATGCTGGCAGTGCTTTCACTCTAGTGGTAGCATGAGACGGAGTCTACAACCCACACAAGTGGCTCAGGTAGTGCAGCTCATCCAGGATGGCACATCAATGCGAGCTGTGGCAAGAAGGTTTGCTGTGTCTGTCAGCGTAGTGTCCAGAGCATGGAGGCGCTACCAGGAGACAGGCCAGTACATCAGGAGATGTGGAGGAGGCCGTAGGAGGGCAACAACCCAGCAGCAGGACCGCTACCTCCACCTTTGTGCAAGGAGGAGCAGGAGGAGCACTGCCAGAGCCCTGCAAAATGACCTCCAGCAGGCCACAAATGTGCATGTGTCTGCTCCATGAGGGTGGTATGAGGGCCCGACGTCCACAGGTGGGGGTTGTGCTTACAGCCCAACACCGTGCAGGACGTTTGGCATTTGCCAGAGAACACCAAGATTGGCAAATTCGCCACTGGCGCCCTGTGCTCTTCACAGATGAAAGCAGGTTCACACTGAGCACGTGACAGACGTGACAGAGTCTGGAGACGCCGTGGAGAACGTTCTGCTGCCTGCAACATTCTCCAGCATGACCGGTTTGGCGGTGGGTCAGTCATGGTGTGGGGTGGCATTTCTTTGGGGGGCCGCACAGCCCTCCATGTGCTCGCCAGAGGTAGCCTGACTGCCATTAGGTACCGAGATGAGATCCTCAGACTCCTTGTGAGACCATATGCTGGTGCGGTTGGCCCTGGGTTCCTCCTAAGGCAAGACAATGCTAGACCTCATGTGGCTGGAGTGTGTCAGCAGTTCCTGCAAGAGGAAGGCATTGATGCTATGGACTGGCCCGTCCGTTCCCCAGACCTGAATCCAGTTGAGCACATCTGGGACATCATGTCTCGCTCCATCCACCAACGCCACGTTGCACCACAGACTGTCCAGGAGTTGGCGGATGCTTTAGTCCAGGTTTGGGAGGAGATCCCTCAGGAGACCATCCGCCACCTCATCAGGAGCATGCCTAGGCGTTGTAGGGAGGTCATACAGGCACGTGGAGCCACACACACTACTGAGCCTCATTTTGACTTGTTTTAAGGACATTACATCAAAGTTGGATCAGCCTGTAGTGTGGTTTTCCACTTTAATTTTGAGGGTGACGCCAAATCCAGACCTCCATGGGTTGATCAATTTGATTTCCATTGATAATTTTTGTGTGATTTTGTTGTCAGCACATTCAACTATGTAAACAAAAAAGTATAATTCATTCAGATCTAGGATGTGTTATTTTAGTGTTCCCTTTATTTTTTTGAGCAGTGTACAGTGGGGAAAAAAAGTATTTAGTCAGCCACCAATTGTGCAAGTTCTCCCACTTAAAAATATGAGAGAGGCCTGTAATTTTCACCATAGGTACACGTCAACTATGACAGACAAATTGAGGAAAAAAAGTCCTGAAAATCACATTGTAGGATTTTTAATGAATTTATTTGCAATTTATGGTGGAAAATAAGTATTTGGTCACCTACAATCAAGCAAGATTTTTGGCTCTCACAGACCTGTAACTTCTTCTTTAAGAGGCTCCTCTGTCCTCCACTCGTTACCTGTATTAATGGCACCTGTTTGAACTTGTTATCAGTATAAAAGACACCTGTCCACAACCTCAAACAGTCACACTCCAAACTCCACTATGGCCAAGACCAAAGAGCTGTCAAAGGACACCAGAAACAAAATTGTAGACCTGCACCAGGCTGGGAAGACTGAATCTGCAATAGGTAAGCAGCTTGGTTTGAATAAATCAACTGTGGGAGCAATTATTAGGAAATGGAAGACATACAAGACCACTGATAATCTCCCTCGATCTGGGGCTCCACGCAAGATCTCACCCCGTGGGGTCAAAATGATCACAAGAACGGTGAGCAAAAATCCCAGAACCACACGGGGGGACCTAGTGAATGACCTGCAGAGAGCTGGGACCAAAGTAACAAAGCCTACCATCAGTAACACACTACGCCGCCAGGGACTGGACTCAAATCCTGCAGTGCCAGACGTGTCCCCCTGCTTAAGCCAGTACATGTCCAGGCCCGTCTGAAGTTTGCTAGAGTGCATTTGGATGATCCAGAAGAGGATTGGGAGAATGTCATATGGTCAGATGAAACCAAAATAGAACTTTTTGGTAAAAACTCAACTCGTCGTGTTTGGAGGACAAAGAATGCTGAGTTGCATCCAAAGAACACCATACCTACTGTGAAGCATGGGGGTGGAAACATCATGCTTTGGGGCTGTTTTTCTGCAAAGGGACCAGGACGACTGATCCGTGTAAAGGAAAGAATGAATGGGGCCATGTATCGTGAGACTTTGAGTGAAAACCTCCTTCCATCAGCAAGGGCATTGAAGATGAAACGTGGCTGGGTCTTTCAGCATGACAATGATCACAAACACACCGCCCGGGCAACGAAGGAGTGGCTTCGTAAGAAGCATTTCAAGGTCCTGGAGTGGCCTAGCCAGTCTCCAGATCTCAACCACATAGAAAATCTTTGGAGGGAGTTGAAAGTCTGTGTTGCCCAGCGACAGCCCCAAAACATCACTGCCCTAGAGGAGATATGCATGGAGGAATGGGCCAACATACCAGCATCAGTGTGTGAAAACCTTGTGAAGACTTACAGAAAACGTTTGACCTGTGTCATTGCCAACAAAGGGTATATAACAAAGTATTGAGAAACTTTTGTTATTGACCAAATACTTATTTTCCACCATAATTTGCAAATAAATTCATTAAAAATCCTACAATGTGATTTTCTGGATTTCTTTTTCTAATTTTGTCTGTCATAGTTGACGTGTACCTATGATGAAAATTACAGGCCTCTCTCATCTTTTTAAGTGGGAGAACTTGCACAATTGGTGGCTGACTAAATACTTTTTTCCCCCACTGTATATTGTCTGACAAAAGCTTATGTTGCAATCCCTCAGTGAAACTAACGTTATCGCACTGTGTGTGTCCAGGTACTGCACAATGAACTACCTGATAACACTGGAGTCAGATCAGTCCTGTTGTTATGTGGTCTTCATCACCAAGCTGTCCCGCATTCAGAGTGGAGGATCTCAACACATTGGCTTCCAAGGAGGTGAGTCACAGTTTCCAGTCTGGCAAGGCTAATGTACAGTGATGTGGTGTTGACTATTGCATATATCCATTAATTAATTAATTCATATTTGTTTGTTTATGGTTCGTTTTGTTTCCAGGTGTCTGGCTTTCAGTGCACATTGATGATCTCAGGGACACAGAAGACATGAGCTTGAACTTGTCGGTTTTCTGTGGAATGCCAATCAGCAAGCTTGTCCCACCTGCACAGTCACGTATAGAGACCTGTGAGTCTGTTGATGCCCAAGCAGAGACAGAGACGGCACACCTGCATAGTCTATCCCTGGTGAGGTCCTGCATTCAGAAAGCAGTGGGTTTGTTGAGAGACCCCAATGACATGACCTCCAGGAGCATGCAGCGCATGAACATACTGCTGGGGCTTCTTGGAGAGAACCACGGAGAGATGGGAGGTAAATAGACAGTCCTTGAGATTATTTTACTGCTCTTGAACTTCGTTGCTCATTATTGCTGTTTTTGATGTGATTCTCACATACAGCCGTCATGTTACTAAAGTATACAAACACACAGTGGAAAACTGTCTCAGTGTACTGCATATACTGTACTAAAGTGAAGTGAAAGCATTAGGGACAGATCGAAATTTACTGGAGAGGGAGGGGCTGGTCCAACTCAAGGTGTCATTAACAACAAAAACGCACCCACCCTCCCCAAAGTAAAAAATATTTTCACATGACCCTCCCCTTTTTACTGTAAAATAAATTGGAACACCCTCCCCCCTCATAGAATTAACTCAAAATAATGTTTACAACCACAAATAACAATACCTGTAGCGACGCTGTGTTTATAAACGTGCATATAGACTTTGCCACTTCAGCATGCATTTGTGGCACAGTCGATGCCACGCAGGGCTACGGGCCAGAAGGTTGAGGGTTCGCCAACCACCACAGACGAGCTAACTCTCCCTGCCTGTTTCATTACACTACGATCAGAGCCGGCTGCAGACAATGATCAGCTAGGGGGAAATCTGATTTCCAATATTTTTATGCCATATTTATAATTATATAAAATATATGCAACAAATTTTCCACCAACAGTTTTCTGTGCCAAAGCATCACATAACCAATAAACAAAGAATACCAACTTCGGGCACTTCAATATCATGGTTTGCGTTTTCAACACCACAATAAATAGACTATGTAAATCTCGACAAACAGAAAATACATAGGCTTACCCGGTTTCGAAGGCTTGGCAATCTCCGAATCTCATTAAACTTTTTGGTGTTTTGTAATAGATGTCTCTTTCCATTCATCAATTGGCCGCTGTACAGTTTGGATTGATTGATTGCTTTTATTTGTCAGTTAAAAGAAGACATACAGTACCAGTCAAAAGTTTGGACACACCTACTCATTCCAGGGTATTTCTTTATTTTTACTATTTTCTACACTGTAGAATAATAGTGAATACATCAAAACTATGAAATAACACATATGGAATCATGTAGAAACCAAAAAAGTGTTAAACGAATCAAAATATATGTTATATTTGAGATTCTTCAAATAGCCACCCTTTGCCTTGATGACAGCTTTACACACTCTTGGCATTCTTTCAACCAGCTTCACCTGGAATGCTTTTCCAACAGTCTTGAAGGAGTTCCCACATATGCTGAGCACTTGTTGGTTGCTTTTCCTTCACTCTGTGGTCCGACTCATCCCAAACCATCTCAATTGGGTTGAGGTCGGGAGATTGTGGAGGCCAGGTCATCTGATGCAGCACTCCATCATTCTCCTGGAGGTGTGTTGGGTCATTGTCATGTTGAAAAACAAATGATAGTCCCACTAAGCCCAAACCAGATGGGATGGCGTAACGCTGCAGAATGCTGTGGTAGCCATGCTGGTTAAGTGTGCCTTGAATTCTAAATAAATCACAGACAGTGTCACCAGCAAGGCACCCCCACACCATAACACCTCCTCCTCCATGCTTTACGGTGGGAAATACACATGCGGAGATCATCCGTTCACCCACACCGCGTCTCACAAAGCCACGGCTGTTGGAACCAAAAATCTCCAATTTGGACTCCAGACCAAAGGACAAATTTCCACCGGTCTAATGTCCATTGCTAGTGTTTCTTGGCCCAAGCAAGTCTCTTCTTCTTATTGGTGTCCTTCAGTAGTGGTTTCTTTGCAGAAATTCGACCATGAAGGCCTGATTCACGCAGTCTCCTCTGAACTGTAAAGTTCCCTGTAGCTCAGTTGGTAGAGCATGGCGCTTGCAACGCCAGGGTTGTGGGTTCGTTTCCCACGGGGGGCCAGTATGAAAATGTATGCACTCACTAACTGTAAATCGCTCTGGATAAGAGCGTCTGCTAAAATTACTAAAATAAAAAATAACAGTTGATGTTGAGATGTGTCTGTTACTTGAACTCTGTGAAGCATTTATTTGGGCTGCAATTTCTGAGGCTGGTAACTCTAATGAACTTATCCTCTACAGCAGAGGTAACTCTGGGTCTTCCATTCCTGTGGTGGTCCTCATGAAAGCCAGTTTCATCATAGCGCTTGATGGTTTTTGCGACTGCACTTGAAGAAACTTTCAAAGTTATTGAAATGTTCTGGATTGACTGACCTTCATGTCTTAAAGTAATGATGCACTGTCGTTTCTCTTTGCTTATTTGAGCTGTTCTTGCCATAATATAATTTGTTCTTTTACCAAATAGGGCAATCTTCTGTATACCACCCCTACATTGTCACAACACAACTTGATTGGCTCAAACGCATTAAGAAGGAAAGAAATTCCACAAATTGACTTATAACAAGGCACACCTGTTAATTGAAATGCATTCCAGGTGACTACCTCATGAAGCTGGTTGATAGAATGCCAAGAGTGTGCAAATCTATCATCAAGGCAAAGGGTGGCTACTTTGAAGAATCTCAAATATAAAATATATTTTGATTTGTTTAACACTTTTTTGGTTACTTCATGATTCCATATGTATTATTTCATAGTGTTGATGTCTTCACTATTATTCTACAATGTAGAAAATAGTACAAATAACGAAAAACCCTTGAATGAGTAGGTGTGTCCAAACTTTTGACTGGTAGTGTATATAAATAAATAAATAAAGGAAGAGAAGTTTAGGCCTAACCCCAGAGAGATAGAGATATGCCGGTGGCATGCTACGACACCGATATGCATTTCTTTATGTCAGATTTCTACTGTGTCTGCTATACAGATATAGACTTATATAAGCATTATATTGTTACAGTCTTCCCCACCAAAAGTTCACAAGTCGGAGTCAGTTGGCGCACCGGGATGCACTGCCTTCATATCATAGGCCTGCAGTAACTAAAGCTTAATAATAGCCACACCATACCAAACCTTCACAAACGTTTCTGAAGTTTATTAGGGTAATATCAAAAGTAAGTCAAGACATTGTTAATAAGGAATATACGAGCAGAAGAGGGAATTTAAACCAGGTGGAAAAAACGCACTACCCTCCCCTGTGCCCCCCCAAAAACCACACAACGCTCCCCAAAGCACCCCAAAATGTTTGACAAACCTTCTCTACTTTGAACCCAACCCCCCCCCCCACCCCCCCAATCAATTTTGATCTGTCCCTTAGGCAATACTGTTTCATGTGCCCTACAGCTCTTTTCCAGAAGGTGTTGCTGGGTAGACTGGCAGGGACCCTGGCACAGAGGGAGGAGCTGGTTCACAATCCAGGGGAGTGGGTGAACAGAGAAGCCAAGAAACGCCAGGCTCTACAGGAGGGGGGCACTCTAAGGTAGTAGAACACCTGGTAGAACACTCTAGAAGTAGAACACTCTAGAAGTAGAACTCTCTAAGGTAGTAGAACACCTGGTAGAACACACTAGAAGTAGAACACTTTAAAGTAGAACTCTCTAAGGTAGTAGAACACCTGGTAGAACACACTAGAAGTAGAACACTTTAAAGTAGAACTCTCTAAGGTAGTAGAACACCTGGTAGAACACTCTAGAAGTAGAACACTTTAAAGTAGAACTCTCTAAGGTAGTTGAACACCTGTTCGAACACTCTAGAAGTAGAACACTTTAATGTAGAACTCTCTAAGGTAGTAGAACACCTGGTAGAACACTCTAGAAGTAGAACACTTTAAAGTAGAACTCTCTAAGGTAGTAGAACACCTGGTAGAACACTAGAAGTAGAACACTTTAAAGAAGAACTCTATAAGGTAGTAGAACACCAATACCATCTGATTAGACCGACCATGAACTATAGCAATTGTCTTGGATAGAAGATAGTTGATATTGGAAGATACCTCTTTAGTATTTCTTCCTGGGTCTGATGTGTGCTGTTCTTATATAGTTGGTATAAGAAGATGCTTTCCTTAGAATTTCTTCCTGGGTCTGATATGTTCTCTCTGTGTATTCCTTCACTGTAAGACACACCCTATGGCGCTGTCTACAGTCCACCCTGACTCCAGTACTGGCCTATATGGTGGAGGTTCTGGACAGGGATGCCAACCTGGACCTGCTGATCTCTGCTGGGCTCAGTCAGGCCCTCATACAGCTGTGGTTGGACATTCTGGCAGACAGACATATTCTGGACCTTACACCACCACAAAACTCCAGGTATCCAGTTCAGTAAATTGTTATTGTCCCCAAACTGCAATTGTTTTGTATTTTCTGAGATCTGTATAAATGTCACTCTATGAGTAGTTCCAATAACCTTTTGTGATCTAAATTGAAGAAATCAACATAAATAACTAAAATACCTGACTGATATATAGTTGTATAATTCTATTTCCATTTTCCTCTCTAGCGGGTCAGACCAGGAGGTCTTGGTGCAACATTACTTACAGTTGGGTGGTGAGGAACACCCCTGTGCTGCCCCCTTCAGTTGGCTCATGAGAATGCACTTCCAAAGCCTGTGGGAGGAATCAGAGTTTGTACCAGGTGAGTGACAAACTTCATAAACTGGTTTATCTATGTCCCCAATCATGTGTCCATATTGGGACTATCTAGAATGAAATAAATGATATTATGCTATGAGTATATTGTCTAACTCTAATTGAATCTCACTCTTAGTCACAAAGGAGGATGACAGCACCCAGAGGATTGTCCAGTTTGTGAGCACGGCAACCAGTAGCAAGCTGGGTAGCCTCATAGGGAAGCTCTCAGACCAGGAGCGCCTGAACTTGGACCAACGATACCTGCGTGACTTTCTGCTGCTTTCCTTCAAGATCAAGTCTGAGGATGAGCTGAGGGTGCGACTGTGTGAATCTTGAGATCCCATTTGACATCACATTTTAAAACAGTCTAGTAAAAAGATATTGGGAACACTTTATAACAACTGTCAATTAATGATTTATAAATGGATAATTATCATTCATAATGGCTTATTAATGAAAGTTATAATAGTGTTGCCAATATATTTTCGCAAATTGGTTACTCATGTTCCTTGTTTCCGTACACAGGTGTTCACCAGAGCGGCGCTGGGCTGTGTGTCTGAACTCCAGCGTTCCATGACCATGACCCCTGATCTGTCTCCTGCCTGGGTGATGGCTGCAGCCAGACACTATGCTCCCAGACTTGACACTCTGTCCCATATCCTGCTGCTGCAGCCCCAGCTGGCCCCCGACATTCTACAGCAGGCCTCACACACAGAGCCCACAGACATGGTGAGATCACATCAATAACACCATAAATAAGGTCCAGAGTTAAGCGTTTAACTAGGGCGGGAAGTTTTTCCTGGTCACAAATGGCCACAAGGAACAACACCCAAAGAATGATGTTACGACCTGGAGTAAAAAAGAAAGCATGATGACGATCGTGGTCTCTTTTTGTGGCAGCTAGAGGATATTTTGGCTCTTGGAATTTGTGTGGAGAGGACCAAGCTGCAGACTGTGACCTCCCTGACAGAGTGTAAGTCCCTCTTACGCAGAGTGGAGCTCCTACAGCCATGTCTGGATAGAGCATTTGGTCAGAACTACAGCTCCCTCTGCAACCCAGGCTGTCTCCAGCACCTAGACTCCATCAGGTACATTCATTGATTGATATAGTTAGTTAGTTATTCTTTGATTGATTGACTGACTGACTGACCGACTGGTTGATCAGCAGATTGATTGATTCTTACCAAATAAAGTCAAAACAATTTTTTAATATTATGCACCTTCTTCAACTTCATCTTCTGTCCTTCAGGTCTATTTGGCGTGGGATGCTTGTAGTAGCAGCATTCATCCAGCAGGTGATGTTTGAGGGGAAACAGATAGACCCCAGGCTGGAGGATCTGGCTCTGAAACACTGTAGCCTTCTCCAAAATGTAAGTGAGAGGTTGGGTTTAGACAGTATTAGCAATAATGATCCACCCACCCTTGCAGTAGTGTAGTGGAGGGTATACACAGGTATTCGCCGTATACCCACTTTTATTTTTAGGGCATTGTGTATACTCACTTCCTAATCCCCAGGATGCGTATCAAAGTAGTGGAGTGGAGGTATACGGCGTATCAATTAATACGGCTGATTGAACAGATCAGAATGTTTAGCTTAAAATGTTTATAAACTATTATTTCTTGACATTTTAAGCCAGCAATGTGCACACGGCAGTAGGCATATGTGCAAATGTTCCAAAAGGCAATTTGGGGAAAACACTGTTCTAAAATGTACACTGCACATGCAAGCAATTTTATGGACAGAGATGGTAATATCGGTTAGAAATTTAGAAAGAGGGGAGATCTAAAGATGCAACAACTATCATGGGTTGCTAATATGAATAGGATATTGCCTTTGGCTGCTAGACAATGAAAGACAGGAGAGCGTGTAAGTCTTTATAAAATAATTGCCTCCACGGTTCTATGGTGGGATTTTGGCTATAGGCTACTTTGAAGCAAGGAAAGACATGCCTCATAATATGTAGTAAAACGTCCAGGTTTCAAACAGGAAATATATAGTGATGCTAATGATAGGATAACCGTCTTTTGGTAGATGGAAAGGCTTTCCCAAAAATCTTCTTAAATGTTAACTAGCTACAACTAGCTACGACGTCGCCTATGCCTACCTGTCAGAATTATATCATGATTATTTGCATCAATCCAGTGGCCATTTTGTTTTGCAAACTCCATCTCATGTGTGCTACAGAAACATCGCTAACCAAACAACAGTGCTAGTTGAATTAAAGGGTATCTACACTCAGAAATCTAAATTTCGTACATTTTCCCATATCTCAAAAGTGGTCTCCTGATGTGGTGTAAGCATTGTTGTGGACTTACAGCATCTTTTTTTTTTTTTTTTTTTGTGACTTTGAGAGTGAAAACCTGATTTTTTTTTTGAGATATCTGACTTAGTTGACATTCTCATTTATCTGTTTCAATAGAAGGCCTACTATTAGCCTACTTGCACAGTACAGCTTGGGTTGGCCTGTCTGTGGAAGACCCATATGGGATTTATCATTTTAGGTCATTCAGAGTGTATGTTACTGTATGTCATAGAATTTTTCACACAGGGCGCCTTTTCTTTGCCAAGCGAGCCGTTTGGGAGATGTTTGGTAAAAATTAGAGTATACAGTGCATTCGGAAAGTATTCAGACCCCTTGACGTTTTCCACATTTTGTTACGTTACAGCCTTATTCTAAAATTGATTAAATTGTTTTTTTCCTCATCAGTCTACACACAATACCCCATAATGACAAAGCAAAAAAAGGTTTTTATGAGTTTTTGCAAATTTATTAAAAATAAAAACGGATATATCACATTTACATAAGTATTCAGACCCTTTACTCAGTACTTTGTTGAAGCAACTTTGGCAGCGATTACAGCCTTGAGTCTTCTTGGGTATGACGATGGGCCACTCAAGGGCATTCAGAGACTTGTCCTGAAGCCACTCCTGCGTTGTCTTGGCTGTGTGCTTAGGGTTGTGTTCCTGTTCGAAGGTGAACCTTCGCCCCAGTCTGGTCCTGAGCGCTCTGGAGCAGGTTTTCATCAAGGATCTCTCTGGACTTTGCTCTGTTCATCTTTCCCTCGATCCTGACTAGTCTCCCAGTCCCTGCCTCTGAAAAACATCCCCACAGCATAATGCTGCCACCACCATGCTTCACTGTAGGGCTGGTGCCAGGTTTCCTTCAGAAGTGACGCTTGGCTTTCAGTCCAAAGTAATAAAATATGGAAAAAGGGAAGTGGTCTGAATATTTTCTGAATGCTGTGTACCCACTTCTCAAGGCACCACTACACCACTGCCCTTGATTGAATACTTTATTGATTACCCGTTCTTTGTCATGTTTAAAGAGAGCTCTGCAAGGCCTATTCAACATGTTGGAATCAGTTTGCAGTTTTTATATGTTTTTCTTCCTATCAGCTGATGCAGGATTCTCCTGATCTGAGGAACGTGGACACACTGCAGCAGCTGATCCGTATCCTCAACTCCTATCATCAACAGTGCATCAGCGGGGACATACGGTAAGACTCAATTCAACATCATATTGTTTGGTTTTGTATTAAACTAATATACATTTGGCCAAAAGTATGTGGACACCTGCTCGTTTGAACATCTCATTCCAAAATCATGGGCCTTAATATGGAGTTGGTCCCCCTTTGCTGCTATAACAGCCTCCACTCTTCTGGGAAGGCTTTCCACTAGATGTTGGAACGTTACTGCGGGGACTTGCTTCCATTCAGCCACAAGAGCATTAGTGAGGTCAGGCACTGATGTTGGGCGATCAGGCCTTGTTTGCAGTCGACGTTCCAATTCATCCCAAAGGTGTTCAATGAGGTTGAGGTCAGGGCTCTGTGCAGGCCAGTCAAGTTCTTCCACACCGATCTCGACAAACCATTTCTGTATGGACCTCGCTTTGTGCACAGGGGCATTGTCATGCTGAAACAGCTGTTGCCACAAAGTTGAAAGCACAGAATCATCTAGAATGTCATTGTATGCTGTAGCGTTAAGATTCCTTTCACTGGAACGAAGGGGTCTAGCCCGAACCATGAAAAACAGCCCCAGACCATTATTCCTCCTCCACCAAACATTACAGTTCGGTCTATGCATTGGGGAAGGGAGTGTTCTCCTGGCATCCACCAAAACCAGATTAGTCCGTCGGACTGCCAGATGGTGAAGCGTGATTCATCAATCCAGAGAACGCGTCTCCACTGCTCCAGAGTCCAATGGCGGCGAGCTTTACACCACTAGAGCCGACGCTTGGCATTGCGCATGGTGATCTTAGGCTTGTGTGTGGCTGCTCAGCCATGGAAACCCGTTTCATGAAGCTCCCAACTAACAGTTATTGTGCTGACATTGCTTCCAGAGGCAGTTTGGAACTCGGTAGTGAGTGTTGCAACCGAGGACAGACGATTTTTACACGCTACGCGCTTCAGCACTCGGCGGTCCCATTTTGTGAGCTTGTGTGGCATACCACTTCACGGTTGAGCCGTTGTTGCTCCTAGACAATTCCACTTCACAATAACACTTACAGTTGACCGGGGCAGCTCTAGCAGGGCAGAAATTTGACGAACTGACTTGTTGGAAAGGTGGCATCCTATGACGGTGCCATGTTGAAAGTCACTGAGCTCTTCAGTACGGGCTATTCTACTGCCAGTGTTTGTCTATGGAGATTGCATGGCTGTGTGCTCGATTTTATACACCTTTCAGAAACGGGTGTGGCTGAAATAGCCGAATGTGTGTCCACATAGCTTCACATCACTTAAACATTAAACTTGACGTTTTCCACGGTATATATTGAGCCATAGTTGTATTTCTTATTTCTCATGATACTTTCTACCTCCTAGGTTTGGCATCAATTGCCCAGTGTGCCTATCAGAGCTCAAAGAGCCATCCACACTGCCCTGTGGACATGTCTTCTGTCTGTCCTGCATCCAGAGCAGCCTCCAGACAGACAGGCATTACTGTCCCAAGTGCAGGGAAGACCTGCCACCAAACTTCCAACCCTCTGTGTCTAAAACCATCAAGTGAGTTCAGAGACGGCCTTCAACATCCACCTGTCGACCATCTTACCTAATTTACCTTTTCTCTGAAGCGGGCGTTTGTCTTTACCCCATCACACAGAACAAACTTTATACAAATTGTAGTGGAAATATTTTTATGAACGTGATAGTGTCCAGCATTCACAGTGAATGCATTGACTCCAGTGCTGTAACAAAGCCCTGTGTTATCTCAGGTCAGCCCTGCAGCAGTGTGCAGAGATCAGGGGCTGCTGTAACTCCTTCTTCCTGGAGGTGGTGTCCCGGTTCTGTCTGTCTGATGGGGAGAGCCCCAGAGAGGGCGTCATAGAGCTGCTCTTCTCACTACTCATCTCTGCACAAGGTGAGTGCCCTGGAGGAGATGGGAATCCATTTTGAGTGGTACTGCAGCTACAGTGTAGCAGCTGGAGACAATTCAAATATTAAAGAAAAACATTAAATCTACATGTTTCCGATTTTGTATGCCTGCAAGTTTTAGAGTTCAAAATGTTGATTATAAAAGGCTTGTGTGTGCTTGTGTGTGCTTGTAGGGAATGTGTACAGGACCAGAGAGCTCACTCCCTTCCTAGAGTGTGTTGACAACAGTCCTGTTGTCCGCTCTGTACTGCCTAAACTCCTGCTGCAATACAGGTACTTCAAAGTATACATCCTACACTGACATATACTAACATACGCACACATTTCTCTCACATTGTCTATGAAAGAGCTGGCCTTACTCTGTCACTTAAAAACAAAGACTGAGATTGAAAAAATCTAAAGTATTGTGTTTATTTAAAAAACAGCATTTCCAGAGCAAGTAAAAACCAATTGTAGTATTGGTGGTAATAGGGTTTTCATAGGCAATGGGTTAGTTATAGTGACATATTTTGGGGTGGTTTGTAGGTGTGGAGTTATTATAGTTGGTTATAGTGGACTAGTAGAGTAGGCTAGAGTGAGTAATAAGCAATTTTGTGGCAGTGATTTCGGTTTAGAATGTTGAAGCCTGCATTCCGTCATTTATAGTTGAAGTATGAATGGTAGCAAAAAGCTGTGTTGAAGCCATCTAAGTTGAGTCGGTCTGCACATTTCAACGTTGGGTTGGTGTTTGCAGGTGAAACGGATCAAGAGCAGTGGCAAATCCAGATTTTGCCTTTGGAGTCTATGAAGCGTTTATGCTAATTTAAAACGGTTATAGTTCAAAAAGTATGAAAGCTTGCTTCCAGACCGGAAGGAACTCTGGGGCCTTGGCTGGTAGAGGTGTAGAATGATTGGGGCCTTTTCTCAATTGCATACTTCTCGCGTCCTCTCTCCTCGCCTCTTTCTCAAAACCCATTGGGTGACCATCAAGTCGATGGTCACCGCCTTTCATAGTGTGTTGCATTCTGGGGATCAAAATTGTTCGACTTGTGTCTACATGTCGACTGCATGAACTTTACAAAAATCATGTGAGGTCATGAATTTTTAACTGTAGTCGACTGCAAGTTTCTGCAGTTGCTCTTCACTGACTTCGTCCTGCAGCCATCGCCTGCATTGTGGGAGGCTCTATTGTCAACAAATAATCAGGGTGTTTTTGTTTGACCCACGAGAACGTGACCAAAGACTTGACTGAAACAGGAACCAACTCTGCCGCAATTAATGTATTCAGTGGATATGTACAAATTAATGTGATATTTGAGACTCTTTCTCACTAATCGATAGTACAATGTACACACATATATTTTCAGTTTGTGAGTGTGTGATATGGGGGTTGGAGACATGTTTATTTCGACATTATAAAGAACAACTTTTATAAACAATGGCAACACTGCCATGTTGCACTGAGCCTTGCTGTTGGAAAACCACATCAGTGTCTGACTTTCGGCTGTCGCAAATCAAATAAAAATCTAATTTTATTTGTCACATGCTTGGTAAACTACAGGTGTAGACTAACAGTGAATTGCTTCCATACGGGCCCTTCCCAACAATGCAGAGAGAAAGAAAAGAGAAATAATAGAAAAGTAATAACATGTAATAATAAAACGTATAATAAATACACAATGAGTAACGATAACTTGACTATATACGATACAATATACTTTATACTCCATTTACATGGAAATTCATTCTGTGACGTCAGCATACAAATTCACAAACACAACACAATATTATATTACATGCAGTACGGAAAACTAGAACGTTAGTAAACAAGTCACACATTTACATTTTCACATATTCAAAGTCTCCGCGTCCTTCTGTCAACCGTGTATTGTGCCTACATCTGTCCTGTCCCACTGTTCAGCAGCACGATGGCTGATGGAATGGAACTTGCTCCTATTCTTACTGAACAGTGGGACCCTTAAACTCCTTCTGGAAGGCAGCAGCTCAAAAGATTGGGCAAGATTGTGTGTGGGGTCCTCTATGATGCGTTTGGCCTTGTCCTTTGCCCATTTATCATAGAGGCCCTGAAGCCCCCCGCACTGCAGCCTGCGGAGCTTGGACCCCAGGTTCACAGTCCGCCTGAGGATACCCTTATTAGCCACTGACAGCCCACCGGTCAGGAAACAGAAAGTCAGCACACTCTCTATATGGCAGGTGTAGTAGTTGGAGAGTATCCGGGTGTTGACATTCAGTTGTCTCCGTCTGTGCAGGAGGTACGAGGTAATTGAGGTAGATATGTACATATAACTAGGAGTAAAGTGACTAGGCAACAGGATAGATAATAAACAGATGCACCTCCCCGACTTCACGCCTCAACTTTCGTCTACAGTCGGTTGCTTTCGCCTTACCCACTCAAACGAGCCCAGTGTGATATGTTTGACTTGAGTGAATGTCAACAAGATGCATAACAAGCATTGTTAACAGTGGGTGTTGGTCTCAGCACACAGACACTTCAATTAGATGGAACTTTTGAGTACATCTTTTAACAAAGCTTGTGCGGAGTGAAACTAGGGTTTAAGTAAATGTGAACATACCGGTTGTTACAGTGTATGTGTACTGAGAGACTGTATGTGTACTGAGAGACTGTATGTGTACTGAGAGACTGTATGTGTACTGGGAGACTGTATGTGTACTGAGAGACTGTATGTGTACTGAGAGACTGTATGTGTACTGATTAATTAGATGCCTAAGTAGCAAGAAAACAATGGGTGGATGACTACTGGAATTTGAGTGAAACTATGCTTTAATTACATTCCATTAAATACTAGTTATTAGGATATAATTTGCGGTTGCTAGGTTATTAATCAGGTGTGCCCAATTTTGATGTATCCTTATAGCGACTAAGTAGGTGATAGGAATGTATTTGATAGCATAGCTAAATCTTTGCCTAAATATGCTCCAGCTTTTTCACCTGCAACTGTTGACAGTCATATGGCACTCTAAGCGGGGTTCAGTTAGTTGCAAGGGAATCACAGCCTAATACAGACTCATGATGGGCCAATGCCAATCTACTAGTTTAATTTCTTAAAAGAGGAATTTATACCAGGGTTGGGGTCAATTACATTTCAAATCCATTCAATTTAGAAAGTAAACCTAATTTTAATTCCAATTCCAAATGTTCCTAATTGAAAAGCATTGAAGAGAATTGGAATTTCCGTGTACTTCCTGAGTTGACTTGAATTGATAGGCCTACCTGTACTCTCCAGGGTGTTGTCCTCTTCCTCCTCCTCCTCCTCATGGTATGCCTCTCCCCCAGCTTAATTGTCATCACCTACAGTATGTGGAGATTGTGAATCATAACATTATTGCAAGTTTCACCAGTAGCAGTCAACAATCAATGCTCAGCCAGATCATGTTTTGAGTATGACAATTTGCTTTAGGCCTATAGCCTAACCAACTTATCGTTACTTACCAGCATGTTAGCTGGTTATGTTGGTGAGCATTGAGGCAACAGCAGGTCTTTGTCTTAGGATTTCATACATTTCCGATAGAAAGCGATACATGCTTTACCTCCAGCACCGCTTCCAGTGACTTCTCTTTTTTCATGCAGGTAGCGCTGTTTCAAGGCTTTGCACTTATTTCTTAGGATGTGTCACAGTTTGTTATATCCCTTACTTTGCAAGTCCTGATGTAATTGTTGAAACATAGAGGAGTTTCTTTGGCGTTTCCCATTTAAAATAGATTGGGAAACGTGTCTTGTTCGTGAATTAAACTTAGAAAGACCTTGGTGTCTTCCTCTGTCCGCTTGTATCTTGTCATGATTGGCATGTCGTTTTGTCCCACAAGCAGTAGGAGCTTTATAGTTACATGATCACATCACGTGCCCCGTGTACCTTCATAATTATTTGACAATCATCATTTATTTGAAAAACGCAGTTTCCATCATCATTTGTCGCAATAAAGAAAGTTTGACAAAATAAAAATGGGGGGCGTTATTGAGTTGAAGATTCTGTGGTGGTGGCTGTCCTCAAAGAATACATTTCATCGAATTCAAAATTAAATTGACCCTTACGGAAAAACCACATGAATTTCACGTGATCACATGAAGTGTTCCAGAAACACATGTTTTCATGTGATCACGTGATCTTATGTGAAGCTAATGTGATATGTGACAACATGTAAAGCAACATGTAATAACATGAATCTTTTTCACATGATTTCACATCTGAAATTTCACATGAAATCATGTGGTATTCCACATGTGATATCATGTGGTTTTTCTGTAAGGGGAATTCATCAGATACAATGGTTCAAGTCAAATCACAGTACAATAAAATACTTACATGCAGGTTGACTCTCGACAATGCAACATAATAAGAATAATACATGGAATAATACAAATTAGCTCAATAGAATAAAAATAGTGTACATTTGAAGAAATATTAATACAGGGAAGGCACTCAACAATTTACAGTAGGATATTTACACATGTGGCGGGGAGCAGGAATGGAGAGCAGTGTTGAATTGTGCAATAGGTTGTGGAATAATAGTATACACTCCCCTCCATATCTATTTGGACAGTGAGGCTATTAAATCACATTTGGCTCTATACTCCAGCATTTTAGATTTGAGATAGAATGTCGTCTTTATCCTCACCATAGCAACCACGGTGCTTGGCCTATACTGTAGTCTCAGTCGGTATTAGATAGAACATCGCGACCCCACCCGCCTGTGGGGAAAACAACTTGTGGTTACCTAGGTTACCCCATTGGCTCACAGCAAAAAACCTGACCTTTTTCAAATTTGTGGGCGTGGTTGAGGGGGATTCCTTACGTGAATATCGACTCGGAGCATGGAAGCGCGTGGGGGAAAGGGCTGTGGGAAAAAGATCCCAAATCTCGTCATTGCCCCCCAGCAAATTTAGGCTATTGTTTATATGTGTATTTCACACTACATTGAGGTAAAAATCGGAGGATAATGCTTGTATGGATTTCAACCTCAACACATTTTCATGTCATCGTCACCAATCAACTGCATTACAGTTAAAACCGACTTTGACTACCACCACGGATTTCTGTATGCGAGCTATGCTAACCAACTTATACGAATGGAAGTTAGCATTTAGAAGTCACTTCTTCTAAACCTGAAAAGGTACAACTTCTAAATGTTATGCTGCGAAAAAGCTAAATATATCCAAATTGGACTTAAGTAACCACATTGTGGGCCTGTTACAATACATAAATCATGACGGATTTGACGAATATCCACTTTGTTAGATCAGATTGGTTGAATGTGCGCCAATCTGGTCAATGGAGCGGTCTGCGTTCCATCGACCCCTGTAACGCATCCATTAGGCGACAGTACAGAATGTCAGCTTTTATTTGAGTGTATTTTCTTATGTATCTGTTTTACCGTTTAGAAATGAAGCACTTTATGTTTCTAGTCCCCCCATTTGAAGAAGTCATAACCCGCTGATCAATGTCTAAATGGGTTGACATGATAGCACAGCTGAAACGAACACAGCTTGTTTACAAAGCTGAGCAGGGTACATAAAAGTAGGTATCTGGATGGTAGACTCGTTCTCACTGAAGTGCATTTTCCCTTGTATACCAGTAGGAGTCACTGTTCAGGCAGGAATCGTTGGACTGTGGCTTTGCATTTTATTTCAATATTCCTCTTTATTTAGGTTGATGGCATGATGTTGAAACAATGATGTCGATTCAAACATACCATTTTACTATCAACATTGAATCAAGGTAAAATAAAATGTATAATCAAACTTTTTATTTATTTATTATTATATTATTATTTTTTTCCACTTAGATTCCACGTCACAATACGTTGACAAATTATGTTGAAACAATGTTGATTCAACCAGTGGGAAGTATTTGGACAAATTAATTTATAGTGTATTAAAGTAGTAAAAAGTGTAGTAATTGGTCCCATAGTCCTTGCACGCAATGACTCCATCAAGCTTGTGACTCTACAAACTTGTGGATGTGTTTGCAGTTTGTTTCAGTGTTTTGCCCAATAGGAACTGAATGGTGAATAATGTATTGTGCCATTTTGGACTCACTTTTATTGTAAGTAAGAATAGAAGATGTTTCTGAACACTTCTATAATATAATATGGGATCAAATACTACTCTTTTGACTACTTTGAAACATTATAAGTACATTTGTCCAAATACTTATGACTTTTTCACATCGGGGGACTAGATACATAAAGTGCTTTAATTTCTAAACAGTAAAACAGATATGTATGAAAATACACTCAAATAAAAGTTGACATGCTGTACTCTTATTTAGAAGCTCGATCTCACACGTGGGACCAGTACGAAAACGTACATAAACGACTAATGTAAGTACATAAACGACTAATGTAAGTCGCACTGGATAAGAACGTCTGCTAAATTACAAAAATGTACAGTAAATGTTAAATGTACTGTCGTCTCATATGGCACATTTGATCTCAAATCCAAAATGCTGGAGTATAGAGAAACATTTTACATTTTGGCTTCACTGTCCAATTAGATATGGAGGGGAGTGGAAGTCAAATGGCAGCAGTCATGGTGTGTAGATATAGTTCTCACACCCAGTAGAACATTCTGAACCTTTCTTCTCCCACACATTTCACTTACATCTGGTTAGGGCAACAGGTGTTTTTCCAGTTTGCATTCTGGCTAGGCATGATGATTAAGAACAATGCTCTTCGAGATGCCCTACGAAAGCCACCATCCCTCATCGTGCACAGTCTAATCCATCATTCATTTTGCGTGCCTGCAGTGCATGACATTGCTCTCATCCATGAATGTCAAGATTCTTAACATAAACAAATATATTATTATTTGTCATCATAGCTACATTCCATCTTATTACGGGTGGGTGTAATCCTGAATGCTGATTGTTTAAAACTGCATTCCAGCCGGTGTCTATTCCACAAGTTGCCACTGGCTAAATATATGACGTTAAAATGCCAATTTACTCTGTTCCATCTGACTGTGCAATCCACTGTTTCATCAGCCCAGCCAGGCAACTTATAAACTTGATCTCCACTATAAAAAGCAGCTAGACATTATCTCACATTTATTTTAGACTAACATTTCGTTTTCAACAGAGGAGATTTGTATAAACCTCGCTGTCTGTCTATCCGACATTTGCAACAT